AGTCTGCATTTTGTACCCACTCTGCAGTCTATATTTTGTATCCGATCTGCAGTCTGCTGTATACATTTTGTACTAACAGGTATCCGTGGCACCAATACAGTTTATTTTTGGTTACATTTATTTTACCACAAAATACCTGTGTGTGAGGTAATTCGACATTTTCATTCTTTCCCGCGTTAACAATCTTCTTTCCTTTTGTAAGAATGTAGACCACTTACAATGTTTCAAGTAATCCACCCACCCTACAAAAAATAACTCTTGCATGCATAGCATGCCTATGTTTTGAGACAGGTGTATGCCCTTGACCAGACTTGAGCTCACTATTTCAGTATACTAGTCCGACACGCGTGGTATCACTACACTTGATTCCACGGATCCAGTACCATCCAGGTATCCCAGTTACCCTGCTCACAGGGTCTAGTTTTTCCTCCGCCACAAAATGGAAAAATTGCGCAATAGTACCCAGAGGTCATTGGGCCCTCAACACCAGGACAACTAACTGTGATCCAATGAGGTGTTCACATGCTGATCCCGCGTGTTATCCCTCAACACCATGACAACTAACTGTGATCCAATGAGGTGTTCACATGCTGATCACGCGTGTTATCTTGATGATGATTGACGTTGTCATGCACAGACAGGGCCGGGTCACATGACGAATCACGAGATTTGCTTATAAAACTCTTTGGTCAGTTGTTTTGTATTTCAACGTATTTGGATTGCGATCTCCTGGAGCATTATGGCGCAAACGCGCAAAATACTTACAGACGCATATACAAGTCGTAATAATCGCGGCTAATCCACACTGAAAGATGTTATTGAGCGGTAATTTTGGAACGGATTGAGTCGCGAACGCTTGAAAGCCATGAAAGCCTTGAATGCCTTGTATGCTAAGTATGCCAATGTCTTAGTTGAAAAACGTTCACTTGTTGTAAAAAGCAAAATCTGAAATCTGAACTAAACTGCATATACTATAACTATAACTATAATGGATGCAAACTGCTTGTGAAGAAAGACGACATGTTGGATTCACTTGATGGCAAGGAACTTCGCTACGATAACAGTACGAATGGTATTAATTTCGCGATCAGAAAGGTGAATCTTATGTTTGTTTTCATTGTAGTTGTATGGATATTCTTTTTTAATAAATACGTGATCCAAAACCCTGTGTTTTTTTGTGTATAATGTTATTATGTTAAATATTGTTTACGCAATTGTCTTGCCACAGGCGGCCCAAGCTCACGTCTCGAGAAAAAGCCAACGATTAATTCATGAACGCGTCACGCGTTGTGTGACTCGGTGTTAAGTTACGAGAGGAACTGCACGTTATAAGGAATAGTATAGAGAACGAAGTATGGTCGATTTACAACGATATATATTTCGAAATATGAACATTTTTCACGTAAAATCAATAAAACTTACTCATACCCTGTGTATCCGTTGTATTTTCTGGCGATTTCTGCCGTTTTAAGCTTGCTTTAGCATCACTGTTATTCACGTCATCTACTTTTATTACGTTGGTAAAATCTGTACAGACATCACACCAACCAACTCGCGCGCAAAGTAAGATGACTATATTGAAGGCTTGAAATAATATTGCGATCGATTTTCATCAAGAAATGGGCCAGGAAGGCGGATCGCAGAAAAGCGATTGCGTGACGCTCGGTAAGCTGTAAGATGACATGTTATTATATACCAGACGAAAAAACTCTTCAGATTCTTAGTCTGCATTTTGTACCCACTCTGCAGTCTGCAGTCTATGTTTTGTATCCGGTCTGCAGTCTGCTGTCTGCATTTTGTACTAACAGGTATCTGTGGCACCAATACAGTTTATTTTTGGTTACATTTATTCGCAAAACACACATAATCTACCACAAAATACCTGTGAGTGAGGTAATTTGACATTTTCGTTCTTTCCCACATTAATATTCTTCTCTCCTTTTGTAAGAATGTAGACATCACTCACAATGTTTCAAGTAATCCACCCACCCTACAAAAAAGTAACTCTTGCATGTATAGCATGCCTATGTTTTGAAATAGGTGTATACCCTTGGTCAGACTTGAGCGCACTATTTCAGTATACCAGTCCGACACCCGTAGTATCACTACACTTGATTCCAAGGATCCAGTATCATCCAGGTATCCCAGTTACCCTGCTCACAGGGTCTAGTTGTATTATTGTATGTCTCTAATACGCAATTGATTGTCATACTGTGCAATTGATTTTCTATTGGTGTTAATGATCAACCATTACGCGAGATTGAAAGTATATTTGTCGTGTTTGTTTGTCCAAAGGTGCAATTGTTCATCCGTTGATGCTATTGAATGTTAATATATATGCAAATAGCAATCTTGAAAATTCGTCCGCGTTAATGAAGTTCATGGATGTGCTAATGAATGTATATTTGCCGTATAGTTTCAACTGTTGACGTAAATGAATGTACATTTTGCGTAAATGAACAGCAAAAGGTGTAAATGTGGCACACCAATAATCCCCTCATGGTACTTCCTCGTGTGTATTCTCTAACCACCCGCCCTCGATATCCAAGTGTCACCTGATGCGTGGTCTCCATGTGTAACGATAGGAGGTTCTTTACTCAAATAAAAGCATTTACTCGAGTTTATTTGATATAAACTAAATTGCAAAAAATGGCAGCTTGTTTGAACTATCATTTTAGCAGCCAAATCAAACGTGAACAAGTAGTGGCTTCGGCTAGCGCCTTCATTAGAATTTCATTCTTCGTCTCCCGCGTCTTTGGAATGTTATGGACTAAAGCCAATTACTTGCGAATACTGTTAACGTACTGTTTCTCACCTATAGTGTGCTCTATGGCTAGGGCACAACTTGTGTGTTCTCTGCAAGCCTCAATATCATCAACAGGTACTTCAACAAGTGGCGCTTAATGGCCACTGGGATTGTAATGTGTGGTCAAGGATGGGGGGTCCTTATTTTAAGTCCCCTTTTGCAGACCATGATAGCCACCCTTGGCTGGCAGAACACCTACAAAATAGTGGCCGGCGTGGTGCCAGTATTGCGCCTGTCTGGTTTTACTTATGGCCCCAATGTACAGATACCTGATATTGACAAAAATGATGTGGCTGAAAAGGACGCTGAAATAACCAGTGGCGGGGAGAACCCAAAAGAAGGACAGGGGAGGATGGAGTTAAGAGAGACTCAGAAGCAGCAGAACAAGTCAGGATGCTTGTGTACATAGCAGTGTGGAAAGAACCGAAATTTGTAGCGACTGTCATGATGTTCACTCATTATGTACCACAGATTCATTTGATAATTTTAATTTTATGGGAGGGGGTGAGAGATGTTGATGCAAAAAAGTTTTCGCGATGGAGGAGAATGACGGGTGTATTTTGTCAGATTAGCTTAATAATCCCGGACAAGTTTACATCTCCTGTATCAATAACAGTCGTGTCTGTTTAATATTACCTTGATTTTCAATCCTGCTATTTGTTTTTAGGTGAAATATTGCGAGGAATTTGGAATCCAAGCTGGTGCAGCCTCCAGACTCTTTGTGTATTATGGAATCGCTTCATACGCGGGGAGACTGGTGTCAGGTCGACTGTGTGCCTTCGAAAAGGTAAACACATTCTATGTCTACCAATTTCTACCAGAAAATATACTCGCATTGAAATACAACTATATTTTGAAGTGAAACGTTACCAAGCCCAAATGAAAATTTTTGGTTTCCCCTTTTTTTTAAGGGGAGGGGGGCTCGTTTGGGGAAGGAGGGGGAGGCTAATGAGAACTATTAAGGCTAAGAGGGGGGTTTTAATCAATGGGGCACGGGGCATGAATGGCACCAACGATATCTCTGATACTATTCTCGTTACTGAAATTAAATAAGCTTTCTTTTGTTAAAAAGCCCAAAATGGACTAAATGAGACTGGATGCCTGTGTATGCTGATTCTTAGGTGCGATATTGTGAAGATATTGGAATCACTCAAGACGCGGCCTCCCGACTATTTGTTTATTATAGACTGTCATTGTGCGCTGGGAGACTGGTATCTAGTCGTCTTTGTGACTTCAAGATGATCCACACATTCTTTGTGTATCAGATTGCCGAGATTGGAATGTCAATTCCAGCGACATGAAGTATAAAGTGACTAAGAATATCGCTCCTCCCCCTGAATGCCGTTCAATCGCTTTTTACCGCTCAGCGTTTTGTCTGAATACCTTATCAGTTCGCCTGTACTCTTTTAAACTCCTGGGTGGAGAGTTTTAAGTGTCTTACTCGGCCAGATCTCGAACGCAGATCTCTCGCTAACGTTCGACCTCCGCGTGTCCCATTAACTACTCATGCGCATGCTATGTAAACTTTTTTATTATCTTGTTCAGTTACAAAGGCGAGGCGTATATTTTGCTATTAGTGCTCAACTTGGACTGATGATTACCAATTACATTCGTAAACTTTTATTACAATTTTGTTACTATTTGTTCATTTCTGCAGCAGCGTGAATTCGTTTTCCTTTATGAGGATATGGCCACTCAAAGTTGAAAAAAAAGTCAGCTTCATGATGGTCTTTACTACGAAAAATTCTGACGTGCGTGCGGGCTCACTTTGGAACCCTTATTCATTATGACGACACAGTGCTTGACATTGATCAGATTTTGTGTGTCACGGCTAAGCGACGATGAGGAGAGGAACTTTCTTCGTCGTTTTTCTCCTGCTTTCGTTTTTGTGCATTGCTTTATCTACTGAAGCCTCTCGTAAGTTACAATTTACTCTTTTGGAATATTTTCTGATAACTTTTTGCCTTCTCTGAAAGTTGTAAAAGTTGCAAAAGCTGGTTTCTTTGGCCGAATTTCTAGGATGTGGCTCACCACTCGGAATTTCGCGGACTAATATCACGATACCAGATAATCGACTGACAGCCTCGAGCCAAGACCCGCATTTTCCCGCGGCTTATGGCCGATTTTACCTCACGGGTTGGGCCCCAAAATTTCGGTACAAGGAGTTTTTTCCATATTTTCAAGTAAACCTGGGTGCTATGCATCTTGTTTGTGGATTTGAAATCCAAGGCTGTGTCGCTATGGGGCCACGCCCCGGCTGGGTAACAAGATACAGGGTCCAGGTATCACCTGAAAAGGACTATTGGGACGACTGGAATTTCATAAAGGTGTGGTTTTTGCCTGACTTATTTTCTTGAGTTTCCCTTTTCCTTTTTTTCACTTAAAGATGCCTAATTGTGGAGATCGAGTTTGAAAAAGTAGAAAAGTAGAACTACTGACCTCCCGACTATGATATTTCAACGTATTTTTTGTTTTCGCCGCAGCCGGAATTTTACGGAAGCACATCAGCCAGGGCGAAGCCGGTCTACAGCGAAGCGAAAGAACGAAAACTTGGGCAATATGTCAGAATATATCCAGTAGCGAGCAAGAATAGGGTATGCATGAAGGTAGAAGTCTATGGATATGCTTTTGGTAAGTATTCCGTTTTATTTTGTTTTTGATGATAGAAACGCGGTGTATGATCGTATAATGTTAGCTGCCAGGTTTTCCAAATGTGACCCTCGACAGGAAACGTGTACTGAAGTGAACGCACATGAAAATGACACGTTAAACAACAGGCATAGAGTGAAATGAAGCGGCGGCCTCTGAGCAGTGGCGTGTCTGATGGCACGATTAATTAAAATTTTCCTTTTGTTTATGCGGCTCGCTAGGAACAAAGGTGCGTGCCAAGAAGAACCGAATACTATGTTTGCCGAGTATAGTGAATCCCAGAGTTCCAAATAGTACGGCCGTTCCAGACTTAAGAAACACCTATTCTTGTTACAAAAATAGCAAAAGATGAATGCAGAATTGCATTCCTAATGAACTTCGAACAAATCTCTTTTGCAGTACGATTTAAAGGCATATGAGAACTACCTGTCAAGCGGTAAAAATAATTTACAAAAGATGATTTTTTTTTCGCTGAACTAACCATTTTGCTGCGTAGGTTTTCGCCGTTCATGACAAGAGATTGAAAATTAGTCGTAATATATGTCAAAAGGAAAGGGGTTTTATTTGAAAAAAGTTTGCGGATGAAAACTTTGACTAATGAGAGAGGAAATGGGAGAGACCTGATTTATGCATTTCGCGCTTGGGTCATAAATCTGAGCGGAAAAAACTCAGTTGGTAACTTGCAGAACAGATATTAAACTCGGCTAGTAAGAGGTAAATATTTCGTCCAATTTTCTTCACACAATAAGATTTGCTGTGATTTGTTTTTAGCCAAGGGTATGGATGTATTTCTCCCTCTGTTCAAGCCTTATGCCATGACATCAGAAGTGAACTACCGTAGAGATTCCGTGAGCCGAGTGCACGATGGGGGTTTAAAGGTAGAAGTGAAAAGCGGAAAAACAATCGAAACTAAGCAGCTTGGAGAGGTATTTTGAGATTTTCTTTTTTTAATAGGGGACAAGTAATTTTTTTTATCCCCGAACGGGGGTGGGGTAGGGAGGGGGTGATTTTAAGGGGGGCGGCTTGGTTATCAGGGAATAAATAAGGGACGGGGGATCATTATGTTGCATAGCCTTAAAAGGGGATCAGCTGAATTTTACTGTGACAAAACCTTAATCTTCCTCCTCCGATCTCTCTTCCCCCCTGCTCCTACAGGCGATAAACAATAATGCAATGATTGGTCCCTCCTAATGGTTGAAATCTTTGCAGGCAACTCTCACTTTACCTATCTCCTATTCCTACGAACAGAAGTTCAAGTAATCCGTGGTCAGAAAATACAAATAAATGTAGACAACTCCTGCTATTGAGGAATTGCAGACACTTCATACGTTCCCGGAAAAGCATTTTCATTGTTCTACTCTTATTTAACCACAGAAAAATTCTGCGGTTTTTCGAGTACTCATGTTTTCCCTAAAACGTGTTCGTAAAACTATTTCGTTATCAATTGGAGATATGCATTTTATGGCCACGTTATGCAAATAGCTAATACGCGTTTCCTTCGATGTCCTCTTTTCGTGCCCGATTTTTTAAATCATGTACTGTTTGGAACTTTAAGACTTGCCCGGTGCCAATGAGTAGGCAGAAATTTTTTGTACGAGTATGGTTGAGATTGTTACTGAAACATACCTATTCATTCCAGATTATTCCAGCCATGGTGCCGTTAGAAGGAGAGCTGAGAGATAACGCATGCGTTCTCGTTGAGGTTGGACGTACTTACAAATCAGGTCGCGTACATGGGATATCAAGCGCCTCTGGAGAGCACTATTTGATAGAGATCTTTGATGAAGATAAACCTCGAAAGTTCACAGTCAAACAAATTTTTCCTTTTTTTAATGCTTTGTGTAGTAAGTATTTTTGTTTTTCAATTCATTGCCATGTGTTACGATCCTATTAGGGACCGTTCTTTTTCTTACGGGGTAAGAGAGGTCAATGGGGGGGAGGGGGGTCTCGGGGAAAAAATGGCTTCAAAGAGAGTGGGAGGCATCGAAAAAAATGGAGAAAGGAGGTTACGCGAAATATTTTAGTAATTGCAGAGTATATATGGTTCTTATTATTTAAATAAAAATACAAACAAGAAAAGAAACAAAAGGTTTCTAAACCAGACATGGTTTGATGCTACTCTGGTTTAAAGATTAAATGAATGTAACCGAAAAGTTACAATTCATGGACCCAACGTTTCGACACTCCTGTCTAGTGCCTTCATTAGGGGTGATCTAAACGTCGCAACAAGAGGTCCTTTTATACGATCAATAATTAGCTGCCTTTTTTTCTGACGAGGTGTAAATAGGCGTCAGGAAGTAAGCCGCCATCATCACGATTTAAAGGAGCGTGTGCGGATTAATATGCCAGGCTTCCAAACAAAGGCGCTGGTGGTAACACCGATCAATGATGATAATTTTGGACTTATCCCTCCCAATTTTATGGTTGGTTAGGCATGTGTGCTCCAATAAAGCTGAACTTTCTCTTTTGCAAAAGATGTTGCAGAATTCTCCACGGCGTTAGGGAAAATATCTGCGGAGTGCTGGTTCGACAATCAATAGGACAGTATCTTTCCGATTTTTTGCGTTTATTTGCGATCGCCACAATATCCGAACTTTCTATATTCAATCGTTTCCAAATCTTCTGTTACAAGATAATGATTCTAATTATTTGCAACCCACAATTCCTCCAATCGCTCTAACGAAGGGCTAACGCTCGAAACGTCAGCTTTTTTACCCTTTATGGTGGCCAATTTACGTTTTCAACTCAGTTGTTAACACTAAAAATACCAACAATTTTCAAAGCCAGGGTACAGCTATGAAAAGAAACTTTATCGGCTTAGTCCTTTACAGCGTCTCTCTGCTAATCTGCCTCCTCGTCACCATCGTCAAGCTATTCCTCATCATACTTGCTGTTGTGAGCGTTTCTTTCGTCGTTTTCAGCCACGGCATACTCTTTAGGATACGTGGCGCTGTACACTTTATCTCTAACCTCTGCTTTGAGGTTTATTATGAATCTGCTTCCTGGTTGTTCACTGAAATGCATTCCTTGCAAGAGCTGTGCGATGTATGCTGCAACTCGACCAAACTACAATGCGGAAACATTCTCAACGTCGATGCACCCTCCAAGGACGGTATATGGCAGGGAGATACAAAGATATTTTGGAAGATCATTGCCTAACAAGTTTCCGACACAAATACTATCCGCAAGTAAAATGTTGATTTCAAACCTTTTCTTTTACCTTTCAACTGATTTTCGACGCTTTTCTTTTTTTCTTGCCTTGTTGGTGTATTCCTTTCTAGGTTATTGAATGTGCTAGGAAAATTTACGCTACACCCTTCTAGTGTCTCCTTATCTTGCAATACCTTTAGCACCTTGGCCGCGACGCATGAAGAAGTGTGTAGAAAATCTCTTTGGCTTTTCTAGATTCCCAATTACAATTCCCACCCCACCCACCTTCTTTTTTTTGTATTCACGCGCGGCGCGTGTGATTTCAAAAATTTGTCAATCGCATTAAATAACTCTAATCTCGACATTGAAAATTGACGTTTGACGTGGACATTTGGGCTTTTTATGTTGTTTGTTTTTCGGAGTCTTTTTCAGATATTTTTTGGCTGTCTTTCACGCAAACGTATCACCCCTTTGTTCGGAAATTTTAGAAGTTTCTGAGCTTTTATTGGAGCCAAATGTTATGGTTAATTTAAAAAGTTCAGTGTATATTTTTCTACGGAGTCTGGAATCTAGCCTCATTTTTCGAAAATTGATTTTTTACCTCGTGAGCAAATTCTTCTCCTTGCTTCAAGGTAAGTCCATCAGACTAGAAAAGTGTACAAAGCATATGTTCAAGGCTTCCAAGGCTGTTCAGCTTCTCACGTACACTTTTGTGCTCTTTGATCGAGAAAGTTTAAGTCCTTGCCATCACTGGGCCTAAGCTGAATTCCTGGCAGGGAAATTCGGTTTTGGTTATGTCAGATTGAGAAAGTGAGGCTGCATTTTCCGAAAGAAGGAATTGTGAAGGCAATGTTTGTGGTTGATTACCTTCAGCACCTTGCGGTGATGGAGTTAAAAAAAGAATAAGAGAGCAGATCAGCGGGCAAAGGAGGGCCAAAAAACAAAAAGAAAACTGAAGTTTATGATGATTTTGCTTTCTTTGAATAATCTGAGTGACGATTCTGTAAAACTAAAACAGCTTTGACCTGCAAAGCTGAACAAGTATCTCAAGCTATAAACTAGGCCAACATAGCAAAAGTACTAAGAAAGACAAAGTGAAAGCCATTATGAGGCATTGGCCTCTCCTAATGAATCCTGAAGGCCTTATGCATTTATGCTGCAAACACGACTGGGACAGTCGATGAAGAGGAGTACAGCACAAGTGAAAGCAATGGTAACGATGAGACAGACACTGATTCCATCATTACATCAATTTTTACTACTCTGGGACGAAAGATGACTCGACATACGATGTCATTCTTGCTTTTATCGATTACGAGAAATGCATCGAGAGACCAGCTACGAAATGCTGAGGAAGATCTATCACCAGAGGATAAATAAGTGACGTATTTGCAATCTTTGTAAATTTGTAAAAATTTAAATGTCATAGCAATTATACAGGACTTGTTTTTTAAGTTCATAGTTACATGGGCACTAGATCAGTAGAATAAGTTATGATTAGCTTTATATTGAACAAAATTAAGAATTATCTTTTAAGGGGGGGGGGAGAGCCATGGGGAAAATGAGGATAGAGGGGGGCCATGGTAATTCGTAATGGGTGTTCAAAAAAAATCCCACTGTCCCCCCTCCACCATAACTAAAAAAAATGAACGGTCCCATATGGCCAAGAAGTTGTGTATTGAACCTCCTCACATGTTTTCATTGTTTGTCTTTATATTACCTTAATATACATAGGTCAGGCAGCGTCCCTCTGTTATTTTAAAATTTCTTCGGTTTCCTGTTTGTTTTGATCTTTCGCATGAACCATGTTTGTGTGTACGCATTACGGACCTATTTTGTGTGTGCGTGTGTGTGTTTTGCAGAGAAATACATGTTGTATAAAGTTACGAGAGATCCTAGCTCGCTTTCCTGTGGGAGTACGGTCTTCCGAGTGGACTCCAAGATTATTTTGAAAGGGTACAGAGACTTTAAGTTCACTGCAGTTTCTTACCAAAAGGAAAAAGAATGGACAAAAAGATTTCAAATCCCCGACCAGGCCTACTTAGAGGAAATTGAAAGTGGTGACCAGGTCTGGTACTTCGATCGCGTGCGTGGTTGTGATAGGACAGCATATGTTAAATCAGTTGTGAAAAAGAAGGGAGTGCTACATGACATTATAACGCGTAGAGACGATGTGCACATTGCACCTAATGAAATTCGTAAACCATGTAAGTATATTAAAGGTTTTTAATGCAACATATTAGAGTTAGTTTTCTATATTTTGGCTCAAAAATACAAGCCTCGATCGTAAAGATATATATAAAAAAAAAAAAAAAGCAGGACGAGTGCACTGTTGAGTTAGATAAGCACGCAGGATGTTTTAATAACTACTGACTTCCGTAAAATCCTATTGTGCTCCCTTTGCATTATACTGGCGATTTCGGCCCAAGAATGTAATTAGGTCTTCAGTACGGTCCAAGTCTCTGAGGAAAATTGGGGGCGGTCCTTCTTATTGGCAGGGAAGTTATCAGGGGTAATTCTATACGAGCTAAAAAGCTCGATATTGCTGTAGGTTAACTGCACTGCAATATCAATAATAGTGCACCCTACATGCAGCAATATTTTTGATATTGACGTGGCGAACGTTTTCGATTTCATTGTGTTATTGCTTTATTTATTGCAATTACGCAAGTCATCTTACAGCAGCAAAATTTCTTACTTATATGAAATAACAATTTTATCAGTATCGGTTCTAATTTCAACTGTCTGATTATAGTCCTCTTCATTGCTCTTTTGCTCGAAAACTTTTGCGTTAAACCCCATAACATGATTCTCAAATAACTCTTCCTCTTTTGCTAGAGAAGCACGTGCCTCAGGCAAATTTTTCTTGAGTGTTCTTAAGACACCCCAAGTTTGCGATGATTTTTGCGCTGTTGTAAGTGGCGCTGTTTTGATCCCAAAGATTTGAGACAATTAATAAAAAAATTTATAGAATGAACAAAAATACGCCATTTCAAGATAGAAATCTTTGCACGCTGTTTTTATGTATCTCTCCCTCCTCTTTGAAAGTTCATAATTAAGCCTCGGTATGATACTAAATATTTCCTCAATTTTTTTTGGATAGAATAATTAAGTTTATAACATTTGCGTGTTTTTAGATTTTCCAGATAAGTGCATAGTACTTGCGCATAATTGTGATGACAGCAGACGTCCTGACGTGAGAAAAAATAGACTGTGTCCAAGCCAATTGATTTATCGGTATCCCGTAGTAGGTTGTAAAGGTATCTGAGTTCCATAGCCAGAATACAACAGTTTCTAACAGTTTTTTTTCTTGCGTGTGCAACGTTTCTCTGCTTGTCAAGTACTACATGCTTAAGTTCAAACCGTTACATTTCGTGGTTATTGCCTTGTCTCTCGTATACTCCTGTACTTAAACAGAACTTCCGCCCAGAGACTTTTTGAAAGACTTTGACGAGTTGTTCACTACTGATACGCGACATTCTCTCTCAGTTTCAAAATGTCAAATTTCGGGTTCTTATTTTTTCTCTTCTTGCCCATTTTGTTTTAGTGGAAGATGTTTCAAGAGAATGTTGTGCCAGTTTGATGTCAAAATGACCTACCCCAACTCTCCCCCAAAAAGAGTTTTGTGTGATGTGGAAAATTTTCCGTCGTGACATATTCTAATACACTGCTTACCTTTTTTGTTAGGAGTGAATGCGATCTGTACGACTGGTTTTGCGGCATGTGCACGGAATACCGTCTGCAAAGATATCCCAGGGTTTTACAAGTGCTCATGCCGCACGGGTTTCTCGAGTAAAGACCCCCGCAGAGAAAATTGTCGCGACATCGATGAATGCGCGAAAGGATTATGTCATAAGAATGCGCAATGCGACAACACTCAAGGGAGTTTCTCTTGTCGCTGCCGGTACGGATACGTGGGTGACGGCAAGAAAAAATGTGACTTCAAAGATGAGTGCAAAGTTGCTGCTAACAAGGTACGAGTCTGATAACTTACATTCTAGAACTGTTCATCAAGGCCCACACAGCATTCAAACGTTTGCACGAGTGCGAACGTCGTAATGACTAGGCAGCGTGCTTTCAGGCTGTCAGAACCAAAAGTTATCAGCAATCACACAAATCAGTAAGTCACGGTGTTTAAGAAGCGTATAAATTTTTTGGCAAAGCTCGAGAAAGAATGGAAATACAACAGGATACTCGTATTTGAATAAGCTCTGTGTTCAAAAGTCTCGAATGTTCCTTTCCCATAGTTTTATTTCCTGTTACAGATTTCTATGAAAGTTTCAATGTTCTTTGACTGATTTTGTGAGACATCTGTTGTTTCTTATGTTTTCCTATAAAACCTTTGCGCGGAAGCTGGGGCGGGGCCAGGTTAAATCCTCGAATCCGATTGGCTTATAGTGCTTGTAACCCTTGTAACTTTTTACAATGCGAACCACGGTGCGATATTCGCACCGTTCGCAGCAAAGCGGAAAACAAACAAACCACCAGGCAAAAAATACTTTTACCTTTCCAGGTCCGTCTGTATGAAAAGAAAAAAAAAAAAAAAAAAAAAAAAACTGGGGGCCGTTAGTCTTGTGTAACGCTTTCAGCCTTCGGTCTCAGGCCGCGCTCAGTTTTTTTCCCATACGTACCTCCCGCCCGGTAATGAGCTCAGTTTGTTATTCGATGTCAACAGCGATTGTGCGAAAGCTACAAACACTCTGTCTGCGTGGGTCATCTTGGTGGATTCAAATGTAAATGTAAAAAAGGATACTACGGAGCTAATTTTAAATCTTGTAAACTGGCCGACGAATGCGAACTTGGCATCCACAAATGTCACAAATGGGCCAAATGTCTGAATACGAAAAAGAGTTATAACTGCAAATGTAGATTGGGTTTCGATGGAAATGGATGGAGCAGATGCAAACGTAAGCTTTATTCATTTTAACATCATAGTGAAATCACTTTTCATCAACACATACTAAGCTTTTTTCTCGGTACTGCATGATAAAGCTGAGAGGGGTGGTGCAAGTCGCAAATGAAAAGTTTTTTATAACGATGAGTGATTTCCATGAGGCAACTGCTATTGACAAATTTGATTTATTATCATGCAAATCAAGATATCTATTTTTTTAAAGCAGTAACAAATCATACACCGAATGCAAACATGGCGGACTACTAGAGCAGGGCACTGGTAAACTATGCACTGGATTATTCTTTGGACCTTTTTTGGGAACACTTTTTGGACCATTTCATGGGGGGGGAGTACACCATTAGTTCTCAGGGAGGGGTGGGGTGTAGTCTATCAGTGCTGAGGGAGGGGTGGAAGGTACGGTATTATTACTCAGGGAGGGGTGAGAGACGGACTATTACTACGCAGGGAAGGGTGGGAGGTGGTTGCAATAGTAAACGCTACAGGTAAATGGAGCTTTTCCTTGATCATACAAATTATTTTAATCGACTTTTCGGCTTAATTTTTTTATGCCAAAATGGGCCGCGGCATTTCTTCCTTTTTGTCTAAAAATGCAACTTGAATCAAGGAGCCGAAATGTTCTCACCCAGGGAACCGGTAGCAGGTTCATTTCAACACACGCTGTGACCACGCAGAGGAGCATCAGAGGCAGCCTTATTGGTTAGCCGCGCATTTGCGTTCGTCTTCAGTTGGTATAAAGTAGTCATTGCTTCATCAATGTGCTTGTCCTAGGGAGTTCTTCAACATTCAGTCCGCACATTAATCATAGCGGCCAAGATAATCTCACTAACATTTTTTTTCGAGCTCCAATATTTCGGTCCGAACTTGAGGCTCGCTCGAACAAAAACAATACCAATACGGTTGGTACAAAATGCAGACTGCAGACCAGGTACAAAATGCAGACAGCGAATTTATAATGTTTTTTTTGTCTGATACGTGACAACATGTCAACTTACAACTTAGCGAGCGTCAGGCAATCGCTTTTCCACGATTGTCGTTCACGATTATTTGCACTGTTGTGGAATACTCCTTGCCCGTTTCTTGATCACAATCGTTCCTAATATAATTTCAAGCCTTCATGCAGTCTTCTCACTTTGCGCTTTCGTGAGTGGCCATTTGTTTACTTTTCTAATGGTTTTATCTCTCATCTGTTTGGTGACAACGCAAATATTAACATGTGAAAATCAGACTATGTGAAGGCTTGAAATTCTATTAGGAACGATTGTGGCCGCTTTTTTAAAAACCAAATGCAATGGCCGCTTTGTCAAAAACAAAAGATATCAAGAAACGGGCAGGGAATATTTCACAATGATGGAAATGATCGTGAAAGACGAAATTACTAATTAATTAGTAATATTTAGCAGTAAGAGCAACATCTGATGCCTGATTATGCACACCCAGCCCATCCTAGGCCCCACAACACACGCACACCAACAACAAGGACACTGTCTGCCTAATGACCTCTGCCCATCCCACCTCCAGCCCGCGCCACCTTTTTCCAACTTCCATCACGACGAATGCACAAGTTTTCTCATCACACCACAGGTGGCCCAAGCTCACGTCTCGAGAAAAAGCCAACGATTAATTCATGAACGCGTCACGCGTTGTGTGACTCGGTGTTAAGTTACGATAGGATTCCTTGAAAATTTGAACACGTTATAAGGAATAGTATGGGGAACGAAATATTGTCGATTTACAACAGTAAATATTTCGAAATATGAATATTTTACACGTAAAATCAATAACACTTGCTCACATCCTGTGTGACCGTTGTAGTTTCTGGCGATTTCTTCCGTTTTAGGCTTGCTTTACCATCACTGTTAATCCTGTCTAAACATAGGCGGCCCAAGCTCCAGCTGTGAGATGATCATCTTGCGCAATAACAGTCATGGCGGAATTATAAGAGTTTGTATGGGCATATTTACGACCGCCCTCAGGAATAAACAAAATACGTCAAATTCTCAAAAAAAAATACCTCACCTTACTTCCACAGTGTATCATTTGTTATCTGACCGCTTACTTTGATGAAAGGAGCCCATTTTAGCGAGTTGTTCATTTCGAGGTTTTCAACGTTCATAAGAAAAGCCCAAGGCTGAACACTCCATTTCCGAACGCCTGAGCCGAGAAGCGAAAAATCCAAGCTCAAAATGACCGGGCGACCACAAATCCAACGCAGAATCCAAGAAAATATACTGTAGTTTCATTCCAATTCACTAAAAACTCAATCTTCCCCGCGCAACCGACACTAAGCCGAAGTTTGCTTCAAAAATTTCCAATTTAGAGGTTTCTAACAGCCCGCGGCCACATCAACCTTGACGGGAGTTACTACATCACGGGCGACGAGCGGGGATAGAAAAAACGACCCAAATATGAGCGGTCAGCGGTGAAACAGCTTTTATACTTCATATAGAGACATAATTTGTTGTTCCAGAGACAATCGTGTTGTAAAGCCGAAATGTTAACAGTTTACTTCACAGTTTAAGCAATTTTTCAAAAGTGTTGATTGAACTCATATCTTTTACTGCTTTAATAAACAATGGAGGCTTCGGAGAGGGAGTCAGTGGCATTTGGAAAGGCACCAAGAATAATTATATACATGGTTTGTAGCTAGCTGCGTGACGTGCGTGACGTTAAGATAGATTTTCACGAGCGTCAATGGTACAGAATCGTAACTTGATGGAGCCAACAGTGGACAACATCCCAGAATTCAAACTTTGTGATTTTTTTCTCGGCTTAAATGCTAAGTCAGTTGTTCAATTGAATAGGAAGAAAAACATTTCGAACGGAAAACAGCATTATTTGCACGTGTGGATCTTTTGAGAAAAGGTCTCCTAAACGAGTGGTCTTGATTGTAAATATTTAAGGAATGGTAAATACATTAGCCTTAACATGGCTGTTTCTCGAAGCTCAGTGTTTTCCTACTTGCCTTTTTTCCACGTGAACTGGGGGCGATTGAATAGATATAATATGCAGTAAAAGAACTTCAGCTGATAGAAATTTTAAATTTCTCATCTTAGGCTGTGGATACAAAATTCAAGTGAAAAGGAAGCCAACTGTGATTAATGCTTCGAACAAGTCAAGATACGTTTTTTTCGTCACACAACAAGTTACATAACGTGAATATCATTCTTCTTAATGCCTTTCCCGGTGTCATCAATGCCTTTCCCGATGCCTCCGTTGGTTAATAGGGCATTAAAAGTATTGTTCCAGTTAAAGCTTGAGGAAAATTGCTTAACTTTTTAAGTAGCAAAGTGTAACTTGGTAACATTTCGGCTTTACAACACGATTGTTTTCTGCAACTACAAAACGTACATTTAATTCTTCTTGGTACCTTTCGGATGCCACCGATGTCTTCATTGTTTACTAAAGCAGTAAAAGATATATGTACAATCAACACTTTTGAATTGCTTAACATTTTATTTAGCGAAGTAAACTGTTTACACTTCGGCTTTACAACACGATTGTTTCCTGATACTACAAATGATCTGTCTATATATGAAATATGAAAGTTGTTTCACCGCTGACCACTCGTATTTGGGTCGTTTTTTCTATCCCCGCTCGTCGCCCGTGATGTAGTAATTAGGGAGTTTAAGATACGGTCACTACGGACTACGGACTACGTCTGGGTGTGAGAATCCAAGCCACGCGTGGACTGGGCCGACTACGCTAAAAGGGCGCGAAAATTGGAGTGTTGTTTGACATTAAGATCGTGACAACGACTACGGACTACGGCTGCACTTGGAAAAAAAATGTCCTTCGAAGATGCTAGAAACGCCCTTTTAATCGCTTATGCGGATGGTTTTCTGGATGATGAAGAGTTTATTGTTCTTTACGATTATTACCAACCCGTTAATCCTTCATTTCCGTACTGGAATTTTGATCCATTCTGTTTGGATGTGTTCGACTCTTGCGAGTGCGAAGCTCACTTCAGGGTGGCCAAGGATGATATTCCGATGTTATTGAACGCATTGCGGATTCCGGCGAGTTTCAAGTGCCCACAGGGAACAGTTTGCAGTGGCTTAGAAGGACTTTGTTTACTGCTAAAACGACTAGAATACCCATGCCGCTATTTCGATTTAATTTCAACTTTTGGACGTCCGGTGTCATCTCCTGTTGACATCCTAATCTGCTTGTAAACACAACAGAATTCAAAGGGCGTCAGTAATCAGAACCAGAAACAGAAAAAAATGCGATTTTTACTTCTTTTTCGCTCAAGTTTAATTGCCTAAAGGCTGTTCAACATAAAAGTAGCGTTTAGAAAACAAAACTGGTCAAAAATCGGCAAAAAAATACTTACGTAGTCCTCACTACGCGAATCTCCTCGACTACTCCCCGTAGCCTGCAACCACACGACGGACTGCGAAACCCACATGCTATCGAGCATGCGCAGTAAATCTCGAACCAGGTCCTCGCCGTGTATTACCGTAGTCCGTAGTCCGTAGTGACCGTATCTTAAACTCCCTACTCCCAACCTTGACACACGACCGTTGAAAACCAGCTTGGTAACCCTACCTCCTTTTCGAACTGAGCCTCGCCGGGGACCATACCGTCAGTTATGACTCAAAAGAAATCGATCAAGAGGCTATTGTTTCGATCGACCAATCGAATTCGCCTCCGGAAATGTTTTACAAATCTGTGATTATTTTCGGAGTCAGAGGAAAACCTTGGAAGGATTTATTCCAGTATTCAATTTAGTTCTATCTGGACATACTTAGTTTAATTTTGCCAACAAGACAACTGTTATTTCGTTTCGTCCGCATGGATATCCAGCAACAATACTTACCACGATTTCCATTTCAGATACGAGTTCGAATTGATTACGTCCTTGCTGCAACCGTGGAATAGACTATTTTTTACCGACGACATTTTTTCCTTTTGAAATTGAAAGGAAATTATCGAGATTTACGAGATCAGCTGTGCTGTTTGCAACTATGCCTGTAAATTATTTTGAATTTGTAAACATTTCCGGAGGCGAATTCGATTGGCAGTTTTGCATTCGCATGGCAAAAGAACTGCCCAGCGTAATAGCCCAGCTCAAAAAATAGTCAGTCGAAAAACCGCTCATTTGTATGATCCAATAAATACTCCATCAATCAATAGCATTTACTTCTATAACCACCTCCCACCCCTCTCTGCGTACTACTAACAACAATCTGCCTCTTATCCCTCCCTAAGAACTGATAGACTGCACCCCACCCCTCCAAGAATACTAATGGTGCCCCCTCCCCCCATAAAATGGTCCAAAAATAAATGGTCCAAAAATAAATGGTCCAAAAATAAATGGTCCAAAAATAAATGGTCCAAAAATAAATGGTCCAAAAATGAATGGTCCAAAAATAAATGGTCCAAAAATAAATGGTCCAAAAATAAATGGTCCAAAAATAAATGGTCCAAAAATAAATGGTCCAAAAATAAATGGTCCAAAAATAAATGGTCCAAAAATAAATGGTCCAAAAATAAATGGTCCAAAAATAAATGGTCCAAAAATAAATGGTCCAAAAATAAATGGTCCAAAAATAAATGGTCCAGAAGATGGTCCGAAAAAATGGTTCAAAAAATAGTCCAAAAAATAGTTCAAAAAAAAGTTCAAGGGCCCAATGGTCCAGTCGATATTTTACCCCATGCCCTCGGACGGCCCCGGACCAGTGGAATGAAAGCGAAGCTAGTCACACCTTTCACTTCTTGGATAAATTTTATTTTGACTACGCGTCCTTGAATCTATCTTGTTTTGTCGATTCATTTCGCCTTCGTACTACTGCAAACCCAACTGCAATCAGAAAGGATGTACTTCATTATCAGGAGACAAAGTTTCTTTTATCAATTTTCCCAAGTCACCTTTGTTGAGAAAAAAGTAGGTACACGCGATCATATATCCGTCGAGACAAAGGCAACGATTTCGTCATGACAGAGCGTACGAAATTCTTTTCGCCGCATTTCAGACCTGAAGATCTAAGAAAGTCTTTCAACGGACGAATTTATATCAGGGAAGTAGGTGTCCCTTCAAAATTTGATTGGTCAGGACCTTCTCCGAAAAAAAGGAAAGGCTCCAACTGAACGGCAACCGCTGCCCGCGAAGAAAAGAACTGCTCACCGGAGATTGCTCTCAGCCTGTAAACAATGATATGCAAGAAACCTATGTAGTCGAGACGACAGCCTCCCCAGACTCGATAGATGATAGATGTCTCCGAAGATTTTTACAACTCAGACTCTGACAAGGAGGATAATGTTCAGGCTACGAGGAAAAGACGCCCCCGTACTGAAGCCACTGGACGAATTTTTTTCATTGTGCTTTGTCGCTTGAGGAGAAGTTTCTCTGAGAAACATTTAGGTCATCTTAACAGTGTAGTTCAGTCTGCTGTGAGCCAAATTTTCGTGCAATGGATAAATTACATTTACTTGAAATTTTGCCAGAAATGCATTTGGCCATCAAGAGATGGAAACTATGCTGACCGATTTTCAGGACAAATTCTCAACTACAAGAGTTATCACAGACAGCACAGAAGTGCGCTGTGAAATGTCCAGCAGTTTGCTGCTCAATTTGGAGTTATTTAGCTCCTACAAGAACCATGTAACTCTGAAAGGACTAGTGGATATAACCCCAAGTGGTGCAATCACTTTCATTAGCCAGCTTTACACTGGTATCACTTCTGGTCGCGAAATCGTTCTTCAAAGTGGTTTGTTGTCTCAGAAGTTTGAGGATAATGACAGCGTCATGACTGACAAAGGATTTCAAGTTCAATACATTTTGCCACTTCGAGTAAAATTGAACATTCCACCTTTCCTTGGGGACGACAGTAGAATGTCGAAGACAGTCGAATGTCTGGTCTGGGGATATGTGTGGAGAGGGCAATAATCAAAATCAAGAACTTCCTCATCTGGAAAGGAAAAATTCCTTTAAGATTGCTCGTAGTTGTTAACAAGATGTGGAGTGTGTGTACCTTCCTTTGTAATGCTCAAGATCCATTGATTTCAGAATAGGTTGTATCATTTCTATCAATATTTGTGTAGTTCCAGGAATTTCTATACTTCTCACAGAAGGGGAGTATGGTGTGAGTTCTCAAAGACCAAAAAATTTGAAAAAAATGCGTAAACTAAGTTTTATTGGAATTTTCAGAGAGGTGGGAGGTTCTTTTAAAAAAAAATCCCTTCTGTGAGGGAGGTACATGTATAGATATTTTACGTAGCTACACACTTTCCTCTCACTTTAGAGAGTTTTTAGGAACAGCCGGCTCTCAAAAACAGCGCGTTGCAAACCCACTGCATTTTCTCTTCTAACTCTTTCTTCTTGAGCTAACCTTAAAAAGCTTAAATAATTAATTGTTTTCTACCACTGGCAGTCAACTGTTATATGGCTTTCCAGAGTTTAAAAATGACATGATAAGAAAGAACACTGCTATTTTTTAAATTTATTCTATTAAGTCACAGAATCAACCAAACAGATTCTCCCTACATTTCTGGTACATTTCTTTACAACTAATTGAGAGAATTGATATGTTTGATCGTGTTTTAATGGAAATATAGATATTTATTATTTTATCAAATGCTAAAATAAGTTTCCTTATATTTTAAAAGTGTTCTCAGTATAAAATTCATTTTGCATTATTTACCATCATTATTCAGATCTTATGTTCTCATCCAAAGCTTTAAAGTATAAACATGTAAATGGAATCGGAAAACATCTCTTTGATAACTGTTGTGGAAGTCTTGGAATTGTGTAACCACTTCCACTCGCATGAACACAGCTCAGTTTTATTGTTGGGTAAATTTTTCAAATGTTGTGAAAATTTTAACGCAATTTTTGATAAATACCCAAATTATGAAAGTTATCATGGTTTACTTTGTACATGTCCCAGTTAGTGACTGAAGTATTAGCTTTCATTTGCAAATGTTTAACCAAGAATTCAAGGCTCCCTGGCTGCCTTGGCATGAAAATGTGTTAAGTAACCACAAAGTCACACTATCTAGCGCCAGTAACCCCTATCAGTCCCTGCACTTGAGTATAGTATGACTGTGTTTCAGTTTGGCTTTACCATTGACATTCTCTAGAAAAAAACTGCTGTCTGAACATGCATCTATTGGGGTAACCAGCAATTTTGTTTCTGGACACTTGACCTCTAAAAGGCCAAAGGGGGATGAGCAGCCAATATTAATAACTCCATCAGGTGAAGCACCCAAATATGGTGCATCCAGACTCATTACTAGACCTGATTTCAGGACTTGTACAGGACAATGGATGGAAAACATGTACCTTTGATACTGCTCTAGGGCATCTGTTTTATATTGAATCCCATGATTAGCGTACTGCGATGTGAAGGGCATGGGATGTAACAGACTTTCTACAAAATTCTCCAGATGCCTTTTCCTTGCAATAATCAAGCCAAAGTTTGAAGATGTGAATCTAAATTTTCATCCCTTCTTCCACTCCTCGCAATTAGATTGCTTCCACGTTTTCTTTTCAATTTCACTGATTCTGTCTTCATTGACCCAAAGCCTTTTCAGAAAGGTTTTGTTTACCTCTGGTATTCCATTTGGCACGATGAATCTAGAAAAACCATTCATCGGCTCATTGAAGGTGCGGCCTAGGTTACACCTGGGTACTGATGCAACCTTGCCAACAACTTGTGCCCATCTGCTCTTTGACCTTGATGCTTTTATTTGTCCTGGTTTCGTATAATAGACACCTCACCCCAGGTTCTCTTAATAAAGATTTGTCTAAGTACGGATGAGTTTTTTGAACTACAACTTCTATAGGTGTTGTGGAACTATAGTGTCCCCTCTACCCTTTCGATACCACTGCTGCAATATAGATGTGCAAGCCTGTTTTCGTTTCATGTCACTTTCATTGTCTAAGTCACTGATACTCTTGCATTGATACAGTGTGAACTTGCAGACTTTCATCATGAAGACCAACACATGGTTAAAAAAACCAACTGCACCGGCAACACTGGTTCTACCTCACCATTTACAATGCACAGAGCCACTTTTAAGTTATGAGGTGGATCATTCTTTTTGAAACTGTGATGACATTGCGACTTGAGAGAAAAATAACTGTCGTCACTTGCTGCCACGATTTCTTTCAAGTATTCGTCTTAAAGGAATGCATTTCTAGCACTCGTTGAAATAGAGCGGGTGCGGGTGTTGGAGTCAATACTTTTCCTTGACTTTGATATATGTTCATTCATTTCTACGCGAGTGAAGATTCTTCGCATTCTGGTGAGATCGATAGACCAGCCATCAGATGGATACTTCAGTTGTGATTCACCGGAAACACTCGAATTGGTGTCTTTGCTCGCCGCTTCGTTGTGTTGTTTCCTTTTCGTGTAAATCCTGTTCGGATCTGGATCGAAAATGTTCTGATCACGGCCAGACTTTATATAACCTTCAATCCTCTATTGAAGAAAAAGGAATTGTATTAATTCCGAATAATTTTTGTATCGAATTCAAGCCAGATGGGTTTAGTTTTCAAACCCTTTTAACGAATCTCCGCGACATTTCAACCAGAGCCGATGTTCTTCGTTTTTCAAAGTCGCAGGTTCTCTTCCAGCCAGGGAAGCACCGGGAATATTGTCTTCTGACAAAGCACATGCCGCCACACGTGATGATCAAAACTTGCTGGGAAAGCCACCGTGGAGGAGTGACTAACCTCGCTTTCACGCTGCCAGTCCTGGGCCATCCGAAGGTCCGCCATATTTGCATTCGGTGCATGATCAAGTTAAGGAAAAGGTTTTTTTTTTACTCATAAACTCTTCACCGTTTTTCTTATATTTCAACGTAGACTAATTGTCAATTGCAAACTACTCATGCCACCTTCATTTATCTACCTACCTGTAACTAAGATGGACCAAAAAAAAGGAACATCGTTTACAATTTTATTTAGCTCTTAAATTCGTTGTCATTGTGCCTCAAAATTCTGTGTTATTTAATTTATTGTGGCTGATTACTTCTTTAAAATAATATTTTTAGCACGCTTTTACTGTCTGAGGAAAATGCCCGAATGTGACCTTGAAAAGGGAACTTGTGAAAAAACTTCAAAAGGAGAGTTCACTTGTAAATGCAAACGTGGTTACCATGGAATCGACAACTACTGCTTGGGTAACTAATTAACCTCGTTTTAATGATATTATCATTGCTTTAGATGAGCCAAATGAATAACTTCACTTTGATAACCAAGATTACGTCATCGAACATTCCCTTTAAACTCTGCTTGTTTGATTTGTGTCATCACATAGATTGTTGGCATTAACAAATGTTTCTTTGCACCTTGAAATTAAGCCTTTTGTTCACCATACATTTCCTAAATAATTGACAAAGAGAATTTTTGACTATCAAGAGCAGCCTTTTTGCGTGGTGAATATTTTCTTTACTTTCATCATCTCAGTGTTTGATTTAGTTGTGACACTGTTTGGAGAAATTAGATGCTGGTTGTTCTTGAGGGTTCAAAGTTCAAACACAATACACTTCATAATTATGGATTATATATTCAATTTAAAAGAAATCTAAATTAGCCCTTGCGTAAATCTAAATCGTAATGAACATGTTGTTCCACATGCAAAAGTCACACTAAGGTTCTTTTTCTTTAGATATCAATGAGTGCCAGAATGATATATGCAATAAAAATGCAGAGTGTAAGAATATTCCAGGAAGTTACTCATGTACTTGCAAGAAAGGATTCCAAGGAAATGGCTTGTCATGCTCGGGTATTTAATTAAGTTTAGCATTTAGTGTTTTCTTATCCATGGCATTCTAATGATGGTACACCCAGTCGTATTGAAAATTTTGTAAATTTGTATATCTCTTCATAATGAGCACTCGATTGCGAAAAAGAACCACTGCAGTCTGAACACGGAAAACAACCCAGATATATCTTCTTTCCTCCGGTTTGAGACCCATTGATCCAATGTGTATGATTTTCCTCAATAAGTCTAAAACTCCTCGGGATAGTTATTGAAAACATATCCTATATCCAATTATATTAAAAAAGACCACTTTTTGCCAATTCAGGCGTGTACATAGAACCCCCACCCACCCACCCCCCACAACGTTATGTTACGTTAATAATGTTAGAAAAGTGTTCAAAGCGCACAAAATTGAACATTTTTCAGGGGAGAGGCGAGGAGTAATTCGACACGTCGAATGTCACGAGACTTTTAATCTCCTCTTTAGTTCTCAACTGTACTTTATCGACTGAGATTATGCTCATTTTTCTTGGAGGGAATGTTATTCTCGAATACTAAGCCTGGATCTCCAATCAGAGCTTTTTAGTCTGATCGCATGATCAAAAAGGACAAAGGCAAAGTGATTTTGTTTCATCAAATGATTTGATAATGTAAATTGTAGTAACTTCGGAGAATAATCTCCTTAGTCACCCTGAAAACAAACGGAAGCCTGCAGACTTTCCCCACATCTAGACAGCTGATCGGAAAGCCGTAAAACTCTAGAACTAAATTTATCTTTCAAATCGGCGCTCCCACGGTATCAACCAACGCTTTTCAATATTCAGCAAGTTTATTCCTGTGTTTTTCACATTGCTAAGGTCCCACTACCAATACAGCTTGATTTTTCTATTTATAAACCGTACACAACCCACAATTCCTCTATTTACATTGACTGAGGGCTAACGCTCGTAACGTCACCTTTACAATCTCTTTCTTTCGGCTGCTTGTAATACACTCCAGCGACCCAGCATCACAGTTTCTGAAGAAACTTGCCCCTTTCAAACGAAGGTAAAGTAGTCTTATTTGTGCAGTACCATGTTGTCTAATGTCTAACTTTGCTTGAAGATATCGACGAATGTAAAACTAGAAGGGCGTGTGGTAAAAATGAAGAATGTGTGAACTACGAGGGATCATTCTTGTGCAACTGTAAGAGCGGGTACTACGGAAATCCTCCATCTGAAAAATGCAAAGGTAAAATATTCATTCTGTTAAGTTGAGAATGAGAGAAAGAAACGCGATTCTTGATTAGAAAAGGAAAGCTGTCATAATCTTAGTGATAGATAAAAAATTATCCACTTAGGTGGAGGTAAAAATCCGCCACTTTTACGAGGGTCTCAAAGGGGTTATCCGTAAAACAGCTAAAAAATTAGCCCTCGATATTTTTCCACTTTCTAAGTGGGAGAGTATTCATATGTGATAACTTAAAAAAAAACCAAAAAAACAAGGAAAATATCAATGACAGATTGCCCACACCCGCCCTTGTTTGACATCGATTCAGCCAAATATTTGTTGCAGATTTTACTACTCTTTGGATTTCCGGATATTTCACTGATCAATTCTTCAGTAGAATCAAGAGAGAAAAATTAGCTTTTCATGTTAAATTGATTTTTATCTTTTTTTTTTATCGTAGATATTAACGAGTGTGATATCGAAGACCCATGTGGAAAGTATAAGTGCGTGAATCAACCTGGAGGTTACACATGTCAATGCAAAAAGGGCTTCAACTTCAACAAGAAGGACAAAGAATGCCAAGGTATGCATTATTTCAAAATTACCCAAGATGATTGAGTTATTTTTAATCACCAATTCTTTTGATGGACATTAGCTTCCCTGCTTCTTTGTTCAAAGTACATAATACCGTGGTTGTGGACATATCCCTATGCGCCGAGTTCTTGGTAAAAGACCCTCTCCCAGTCCGACCACCTGACCTCTGGTCGATGTGTAATACATACATCTTGTTCGATGGATTCAGAGATTTGCAAGTTGTGTAGTATTTTCCCGAGCCCCTACGGGGGCGCTTAACTACGAGTCATGTCATGAGGGACTTATCATTCCACTTTTGTTTCACTTTTAAGTCCTGAACTTGGCTTCTAGTGTTTGAAACACATCTCGGGGAGATATATTAGCATAGCATCAATCACATAAAAACATAAGTGAAACCACTGAAATGCTTTTTTGAGTATCAAAAAAGTCTGATGCACTCGGCCTGAGCTTGAAAGATGAAATAAAGCCAAGTTGGGATTGTTCAGTGCGGCCATTTTGTTTTTCCGCTTTTTGTCCGTTGCCCTGCTCTACAGTGTAACGTCATTGCGTATTTACCGCGTTCCGATGCCCTAATATGGTCAAATAACGTACTGGTAGAATAATGACCTTCATCCTTTGTCTTTAGACATAAATGAATGCGAGCAAGGGGCTAAATGCAAGCTGAAGAAGAACTCAGAATGTGTGAACACTGTAGGTAGCTACGACTGTGCCTGTGTCAGCGGATATTCCGGCGATGGAAACCTTTGTGAAGGCAAGAAGAATAAAAATGAACATAGACTTGGGGTTCAACGTGGTCTGCAATCAAACTTGTGGTTCAAAAAATCAGATCAATGCGAAGCGGGAGCCCGATTTTGGAAACACGACTATGATCAGATAGAATTGAACAGCACAAAGTCCTGTAAAAAAATAATCAAAACTTGGAGAAATTCGAGAAAGAAAAAACCTATCGGTTAAATAAAACAAAAACAATATAGTTGCTTTTTTCCAGGAAAGTAAACAGATGGTCGCTATGACTCAGCTAATAAATGACGCGCACTCCGCTACAATTAAAAGTATTCCCATGCCTATAACCATTACTACTAGGACTGTGACGTGGCACATAAAGGAGTACAATTCCCTTTAAACTCTGCTTTTTAGATTTGTGTCATCACATAGATTGTTTACGTTAAAAAGTTTTTATTTGCACCTCGAAATTAAGCCTTTCGTTCTCTATGCACTTCCTAAACTGTTGACAAAGAGAATTTTTTAATTGTCAAGAGCTGCCTTTTTGCATGGTGAACATTTTCTTTACTTTTATCATCTCAATGTTTAATTAAGTTGTGACACTGTCTGGAGTAATTAGATGCTGGTCGTTCTTAAGGGTTTAAGGGTCAAACACAATACACTTCATAATTATGGATTATATATTCAATTTAAAAGAAATCTAAGTGAGCCCTTGCGTGAATCTAAATCGTTATGAACATGTTGTTCAACAGGCAAAAGTCAAACCAAGGTTTTTTTTCTTTAGATATCGATGAATGCAAGAATAATGCATGCAGTAAAGATGCAAAGTGTAAGAACATTCCAGGAAGTTACTCATGTACTTGCAAGAAAGGATTCCAAGGAAATGGCTTGTCATGCTCGGGTATTTAATTAAGTTTAGCATTTAGTGTTTTCTGATCCATGGCATTCTAATGATGGTACACCCAATCATAGAGAAAATTTGTAAATATGTATATCTCTTCATAATGAGCACTCGATTGCGAAAAAGAACCACTGCGGTCTGAACACGGAAAACAACCCAGATATGTCTTCTTTCCTCCGGTTTGAAACCCGTTGATCCAATGTGTATGATTTGCCTCAATAAGCCTAAAACTCCTCGGGATAGTTATTGAAAACATATCCTATATCCAATTATATTAAAAAAGACTACTTTTTGCCAATTAAGGCGTGAACACAGAACCTCCCCCCCCTCTTACAACGTTGGTAACAAAAAAAAGTCACCAAGTCTTGGAAAAGTATTCAAAGTGCAAAAAATTGAACATTTTGTGACACGTCAAATGTCACGAGACTTTTTAATCTCCTCTTTAGTTCTCAACTTTACTTTATCGACTGAGATTATGCTCAGTTTTCTTGAAGGGAATGTTATTCTCCAATCAGAGCTTTTTAGTCTGGTCGTATGATCAAAAAGGACAAAGGCAAAGTAATTTTGTTTCATCAAATGATTAGATAATGTAAATTGTATTAACTTCGGAGAATAATCTCCTAAGTTACTCTAAACAACAAACAGAAGCCTGCAGACTTTCCCTACTTCTAGGCAGCGGATCGGAAAGCCGTAAAACTCTAGAACTAAATTTATCTTTCAAATCGGCGCTCCCACGGTATCAACCAACGCTTTTCAATATTCAGCAAGTTTATTCTTGTGTTTTTTAACATTGCTAAGGTCCCACTACTAATACAGATTGATTTTTCTATTTATAAACCGTACACAACTCACAATTCTTCTATTCGCATTGACTAAGGGCTAACGCTCGTAACGTCACCTTTACAATCTCTTTCTTTCGACTGCTTGTAATACACTCCACCGACGCAGCACAGCAGTTTCTGAAGAAGCTTACCCCTTTCGAGCGAAGGTAAAGTAGTCTTATTTGTGTACCGTGTTGAAATGTCTAACTTTGCTTGAAGATATCGACGAATGTAAAACTGGAAGGGCGTGTGGTGAAAATGAAGAATGTGTGAACAACAAGGGGTCATTCTTGTGCAACTGTAAGAGCGGATACCACAGAACTCGTTCATCTGAAAAATGCAAAGGTAAAATAGTAATTCTATTAAGTTGAGAATAAGAAAAAGAAATGCGATTCTTGCATTGATTAGAAAAGGAAAGCTGTCATAATCTCAGTGATAGATAGAAATTATCAACCTAGGTGGAGGTAAAAATCCGCCACTTTTACAAAGGTCTCAAAGGGGTTATCCGTAAAACAGCTAAAAAATTAGCCTACGGTATTTGACAAATTCTAACACTAGTCATACCAAAAGTTAACCTTAAAATGTTTCCCATCGTTAATGGGTCATTTTGCGTCACTGCTAGCTGTATAAAATAGCCAAAATTTTAGCCCCTTAGCCGTAAAAGTCATCACTCAGTTGAGACCCTCTTTCACCGACACTGATATGAATAATTGTTTGAGTATATACCACACAAGATAAAAAAAAAAACATTCGTTTATTTCTGTCTGCATACCGTAAAATTCTTGAAAATCAAACTCTTGGCACGCGGTTTGGCTCTTTCGGCTGTGAGTTAAATAAACATCGGCGCGAAAAGCACCATTCCCCTGTGTATTTTCATACTGACGCTGCACATTGGTTTACACCTTTTCAATTAATTCACTTGCAACTAAAGGTGGATTGTGCGACGATTCCCTGACAGTGAAGGAAAAAGACAGATGGGAATTTTGAGACATAGAGAAATGAGAAGATTTATCACAAGCGCGGGATAAGAAACTGAAAATCTGACTTGTTCGTTACGATTCGAAAATCTGTTCGGATGCTCCATCGCCTGGGTACCCAGCTTGGAAATTACGCGTCAATTTTACGGCATACTCTGTCTTACTAACTGGGAGAGTATTCATATGTGATAACTTAAAAAAAAAAAAAACAAGGAAAATATCAAAGACAGATTGCCCACACCCGCCCTTGTTTGACATTGATTCAGCCAAATATTTGTTGCAGATTTTACTGCTCTTTGGATTTCCGGATATTTCACTGATCAATTCTTCAGTAGAATCAAGAGAGAAAAATTAGCTTTTCATGTTAAATTGATTTTTATCTTTTTTTGTTATCGTAGATATTAACGAATGTGATATCAAAGACCCATGTGGAAAGTATAAGTGCGTGAATCAACCTGGAGGTTACACATGTCAATGCAAAAAGGGCTTCAACTTCAACAAGAAAGACAAAGAATGCCAAGGTATGCATTATTTCAAAATTACCCAAAATGATTGAGTTATTTTTAATCACCAATTCTTTTGATGGACATTAGCTTCCCTGCTTCTTTGTTCAAAGTACATAATACCCTGGTTGTGGACATATCCCTATGCGCCGAGTTCTTGGTAAAAGACCCTCTCCCAGTCCGACCACCTGACCTCTGGTCGATGTGTAATACATACATCTTGTTCGATGGATTCAGAGATTTGCAAGTTGTGTAGTATTTTCCCGAGCCCCTACGGGGGTGCTTAACTACGAGTCATGTCATGAGGGACTTATCATTCCACTTTTGTTTCACTTTTAAGTCCTGAACTTGGCTTCTAGTGTTTGAAACACATCTCGGGGAGATATATAAGCATAGCATCAATCACATAAAAACATAAGTGAAACCACTGAAATGCTTTTTTGAGTATCAAAAAAGTCTGATGCACTCGGCCTAAGCTTGAAAGATGAAATAAAGCCAAGTTGGGATTGTTCAGTGCGGCCATTTTGTTTTTCCGCTTTTTGTCCGTTGCCCTGCTCTACAGTGTAACGTCATTGCGTATTTACCGCGTTCCTATGCCCTAATATGGTCAAATAACGTACTGGTAGAATAATGACCTCCATCCTTTGTCTTTAGACATAAATGAATGCGAGCAAGGGGCTGAATGCAAGCGGGAGAACTCAGAATGTGTGAACACCGTAGGTAGCTACGACTGTGCCTGTGTCAGCGGATATTCCGGCGATGGAAACCTTTGTGAAGGCAAGAAGAATAAAAATGAACATAGACTTGGAGTCAAATTTGGTCTGTAATCAAAGCAGTGATTCATAAAATCGGATCCATGCGAAGCAGGAGCCCGATTTTGGAAACACGACTATGATCAGATAGAATTGAACAGCACAAAGTCCTGTAACCAATTAATCAAAACTTTGAGAAATTCGAGAAACGAAAAACTCATCGGTTAAATAAAACAAAAACAACGCAGCTACTTTTAATTTCAGTAAAATTAACAGATGGTCGCTATGACGCGCACTCCGCTACAATTAAAAGCATGACACGTTCACTGTCCTATTAGTAATGGTTATAGGACGAAGTGGAGTACAATTTGAGAAGTGATTGAAAATTTGGCTGAGCGTGTAGCGCGAGGCTGATATGATATAACGAACACGATTGGCATTAACAAATGTTTATTTGCACCTCGAAGTTAAGCCTTTTTTTCTCTATACATTTCCTAAATTTTTGACAAAGAGAATTTTAAACTATCAAGAGCTGCCTTTTTGCGTGGAGAATATTTTCTTTACTTTTATCATCTCAATGTTTAATTAAGTTTTGACACTGTTTGGAGAAATTAGATGCTGGTCGTTCTTGAGGGTTCAAGGGTCCAGCACAGTACACTTCATAATTATGGATTATATATTCAATTTAAAAGAAATCTAAATAAGCCCTTGCGTAAATTTAAATCGTAATGAACATGCTGTTCAACAGGCAAAAGTCAAACCAAGGTTTTTTTTCTTTAGATATTGATGAATGCAAGAATGATGTATGCGATAAAGATGCAGAGTGTAAAAACATTCAAGGAAGTTACTCATGTACTTGCAAGAAAGGATTCCTAGGAAATGACTCGTCATGTTTTGGTAATTAATGAAGTTTAGCGTTTAGTGTTTTCTGATTAAAAAGACTACTTTTTGCCAATTTAGGCGTGTACACAAAACCTCCCCCCACCTCTCTAACAACGTTGGTAACAATAAACAGTCACCACGTCTTGGTAAAGTATTTGAAGCGCACAAAATTAAGCATTGTCAAGGGGAGAGACGAGGAGCAATTCGACACGTCAAGTGTCACAAGACTTTTGATCTCCACTTTAGTAGGAGCTTAACTACTCGCTTAGTTTTCTTGGAAATGTTATTCTCGGATGCTAAACCTGGATCTCCAATCAAAGCTTTTTAGTCTGGTCGTATGATCAAAAAGGACAAAGTAATTTTGTCTCATCAAATGATTTGATAATGTAAATTGTAGTAATTTCGGAGAATAATCTCCTAAATCACTCTAAACAAGAAATGGAAGCCTGCAGATCTTCCCTATATCTAGGCAGCGGATCGCAATGCCATGAAACGCTAGAACGAAATTAATCTTTCAATTCGACGCACCTACGGTATCAATGAAGGCATTTCAATATTCAGCAAATTTATTCTTGCGTTTTTCACTTTGCTAAGTTCCCACCAATATTGTAGCTTGGTTTTTCTATTTATAAACCATACACAACCCACAATTCCTCTATTTGCATTGACTAAGGGCTAACAATCGAAACGTCGGCTCTAGGGTCTCTTTGCTGCTTATAATACACTCTAGCGACGCAGTACCGCAGTTTCTGAAGAAACTTACTCCTTTCAAACGAAGGAAAAGTAGTCTTATTTGTGTACCGTGTTCAAATATCTAACTTTGCTTGAAGATATCGACGAATGTAAAACTGAAAATGTGTGTGGTGAAAATGCGGTATGTGTGAACAACAAAGGATCATTCTGGTGCAACTGTAAGAGCGGATTCTACGGAAATCCTCCATCTGAAAAATGCGAAGGTAAAATGGTCATTCTATTAAGTTGAGAATGAGAGAAAGAAATGCGATTCTTGATCAGAAAAGGAAAGCTGTCATAATCTCAGTGATAGATAGAAATTATCCACTTAGGTGTAGGTAAAAATCCGCCACTTTTACAAAGGTCTCAAAGGGGTGATCCGTAAAACAGCTAAAAAATTAGCTAATGATATTTGAAAAATTCTAACCGTTTGTCATAACAAAAGGTAGCCCTTAAATTTTCCCATCGTTAATGGGTCATTTTTCGTCACTGTCAGCTGTATAAAATAACCAAACTTTTAACCCCTTTGCCGTAAAAGCCATCACTCAATTGAGACTCTTTCATCGACACTGATGTGAATAATTGTTTGAGTATATACCACACAAGAACAAAAAACATTCGTTTATTTCTGTCAATATACCGTAAAGTTATTTCTGTCAATATACCGTAAAATTATTAAAGACGCACGGTTTTCTGTACCAATTCTGCGATAGGCTCTTCTGTTTTGGTATAGTATAAACATAAAGCATATCTGTACTTTTGCTTTAAGATGTCGATGAATGCGAAGTAATAGACTGCGGTTATGGATTTAACTGCACCAACACTGTGGGGTTTTATGTCTGCTCTTGTGCCGAAGGCTTCCATCCGAGCAAGGAAAATCAGGAAGAATGCGAGGGTCAGTGCTGGGTTGTGATTTCCTTTGTTGAGATATTGAGCGGTCTTCTGTTGAGTGTCGTAAAACCAAAACCCACGTTATTACGACTGCCACTCAGCAGAAAGGAAAATATCTTGAGGAACCAATTAGAATTCAAAGTGAAAACAAGCAAAGCGCCTAAAGTACGGTAAAACGCACTGATTAGTAATAGTTTTGCTTCTGATTGGTTGAGAGAGTGGTGCGAGTTTCTGGGCCAATCAGAGCAAAGTAAAGCAAAATTAGTGGAATACTGGATTACTTTGGACACTCAATTGAAAATTGCTCTACGTACCACTGAATTGCAACTGAGTAATCTGCTATCATATGTCGAGGATTCCCTGGAACGAAACAAAGGACTGTGAGTACACCGACTTCTCTGAATTTCCTTCTCCTGCTGACCCACGGGCTAAACAGAGCAAGTTGAACAACTTGTGGCAAGAGAGTAACCCCCATCCTTACTCCTCCAGCTCAATGAAATTGATATTTTTGGAATATCGCTGACGCTTTGATGTCTTGGAAAACATAAATAAGGGATTTCAAGTGGATGGTTTTACATGATAAGCTGAATCCTACGCCTCTTTTGATTGTTTCTTACTTATGATCTATTGGTAAACAGACGCATAGATGACGTTATCATTAAACATTAACACAAGCTACGCCTCGTGAGTCACTGATGTTCCTACCGCATTTTGATGTTACCTGTGATCTGTTATTGAACCGACACACGGCAGCATGGAATCTGTTTGATAAAAAGAAACCTTTTAAAATTAACTTAGCAAGGTTTACTGATCAATTATTCTGCAAAATCGAGAGAGAAAAATTAATTTTTAACGTTAAATTAATTTTTTTTTGTTATCGTAGATATTAATGAGTGTGATACCGATGACCCGTGCCGTGAAAACGGGGAATGCGTAAATGAAATTGGAAGTTACACATGTCACTGTGATAACGGCTACAACTTCAACATGAAGTACAAAGAATGTCAAGGTATGCATTATTTCAAAATAACCCAAAATTATTTCACTATTTTTAATCACCAATTCTTTTGATGGACCTTAGCTTCCCTGCTTCTTTGTTCAAAGTAAATAATACCCTGGTGGTGGACATATCCTTATGCCCCGAGTTCATGGCAAAAGACCCTCTCCCAGTCCGACCACCTGACCTCTTTTCAATGTGTAATACATACACCTTGTTTGATGGTTTCAGAGATTTGCAAGTTTTGTAGTATTTCCCCGAGCCCCTAATGGGCGCGCAAAACTACGAGTCATGTCATGAGGGACTTATCATTCCACTTTTGTTTCACTTTTAAGTCCTGACTTGGCTTCTAGTGTTTGAAACACATCTTGGGGAGTTGGATGAACACAGTATCAATCACATTAAAACACAAATGAAAACACTGAAATGGTTTTTATGAGTATCAAAAATTAAAAGTCTGATGCACTCGGCCTAAGCTTGAAAGATGAAATAAAGCCAAGTTGGGATTGTTCAGTGCGGCCATTTTGTTTTTCCACCTTCCGTCCGTGCCCTGCTCTACAGTGTAATGTCATTGCGTATTTACCGCGTTCCGATGCCCTAATATGGTCAAATAACGTACTGGTAGAATAATGACATTCATCCTTTGTCTTTAGACATAAACGAATGCGAGCAAGGGGCTAAATGCGTGGAGAACTCAGAATGTGTGAACACTGCAGGTAGCTACGACTGTGCCTGTGCCAGCGGATATTCCGGCGATGGAAAATACTTTTGTGAAGGCAAGAAGTATAAAAATAATCATAGACTTGGAGTCCAACGTGGTCTGTGACCAAACCAGTGATTTATAAAATCGGATCACCGCGAAGCGGAAGCCCGATTTTGGAAACACGACTGTGACTAGATAGAATTGAACAACACAAAGTCCTGTAACCAATTAATCAAAACTTTGAGAAATTCGAGAAACGAAAAACTCATCGGTTAAATAAACAAAAAAAATGCAGTTGCTACAATGGCGGAGCATGGCACGTTCATTGTTATATTAGAAATGGTTATAGAACTAAGTGGAGTACAATTTGGTAAATAGACGGGCGAGTGATTGCAAAATTTGCTGAGCGCGTAGCGCGAAGCTGATTTAATATAACAAGCACGGTTACCCTTAAATTGAACTACACGAGGTTCACTTACCAATAAGTTGTGCCGATTATAAAAAGCTAGCGCTCAGGAATGAAATAGCTACATCGATAACGCATAATATCTAACTGCAATCGAATAAATTTTGGGTTGAAGAAGACTTCTAGACTGAGAAGTCTACGTAGCACGACTTAGGGTAAACTGAATTAAAAAAGTGATTGTGCGTGAAATTAACTGGCTTTAAATACCAAAGGACTGCAAAACTACATGCGGTTTGAGAAACGTGTAAATGTAAAAAGAAAAAAAGTGAACAAGCTTAACAAAAAACGAGGAGGAGGTATGAAGAAATGAAAGGCCGAAAATTTAATAAGTACAAAATACACCACAAATAATCAGGCAGTGCTTTAGATCTTACTACACGTACTGATAGAAATTGTATGGGAGACTACATTAGCGTTCAGACGAGAAGCAAAGAGTAAAGCATTCCTATCAATTACCTCTTAAAAAAATAGAATAAATCTGTTATGCTTGTAACTGACTTTTTTTTTTCTGTTTTGTTATTTGCTTGCAGAAACTGATGCGACGGTGAGCATCTCAAACCAGGCTGATAAGGTGTTCTTTGTCTTCTTTGTTTCCCTCTCAACTGTTCTGATAACAGATACTTAAAACATTGATACGTTTCTCACTTTGCACCTTTTGTGGATTCAACAATAAAGTTATTTTTCAACCTGACTGTCTTTAGATTTCAAGAACAATTTTTGTTATTTTGCTGGGACGAACCAAGGGTTAGGGTGGGTAACAGGTGATGTTCCGTCGCCCCGAAATATGGCCGGGTCGCCCCAACTTAAAGTTGCATCGTTGATCTTGTGATTCACTGAGTGAAGGAAGGGTTTGGACATATTTTGACATAAGTTTTCAAGCTTAGAGTTCCGACGGCCCAAGTATCAATACCTTCAACCAACAATAGCAATGTCTCTACTGCTTGGTAAAATGGCTGAAGATCCCTCGTAACTCAGAGCTGGCTTACGTCAATACGTTGAGAAAGATTGTTAAGAGCACAGATTTTAACGCGCACGACTCCGGGTCGAGAGATCTATGTGGGCCTTTGCTAGAGCATCTTTTTGAGCTTTCCAGCAATACACTTTCCTCTCGTGCTGCCTCTCTTCAGTCAGGATTATTAGGTGCGTACTGGAGAACTGTGTTGGACATCTTGCAACGCTCAATGGATTGAACAGTGTATTATCATCCTATTTTAAAGAATAGGTAGTACTCCTGGTCGTTTTATCTTTACGAAACCAGATCACACTTCGGCCTCAGCTACGGACCTTATAGGGAACTGATATTTTAAGTAAGTCTTCATGTTTTGTTGAGTTCGGTTTGAGAGAAGGAAATTTGTATATTGCTGTTTTAAGAGTAAAAAGTCACCCCTACTCAGCATTTCGATATCGCCGATTTCATTCGCCACCATTCGCTAAGTGTGACGATGACCTGTATATAGGATAAGCAAGCGAACCCAAATCAGTTGATGGCAAACGTCAATGAAATTGTTATCGATTGATGGTAAAAGCCCCGAACTAGGAACCAAATTTAGGCATTCCCTTCATCTTAGCTCGCAAAATGCTGCTGCTGCTATAATTTATTGCGAGAGGAAGCGCGATGTACTATCTTCAGTTTTTTATGCAATTTTCAAAGAGTTTTAAATTAAAATTTTATGTGCGTTTTAGAATGATCACTTACTTACACAGAGGAGCTTATGTGAAGATGATTGTTCAGCTTGTCATCAATGACTTAGTAAGTGAGAATGAGGCGCCGTTACTTTTCTTTTCTTGTTGTTACATTCTCCGGATGAATACAAGAGTAATATACTTTTTTTTTAAATCTTAATGTGTTCTATTACAAATAGTTGGTTTATCAAAAAGTTTTCTCATCATCTTTCTCTACTCCTTGTTTGAATTTTTACGTTTTTTGAAAGAAGACGTTTGCTATTAAAGATGAGCCATAATAGTTATTAACAGTTATTCTCCTTTAAAGCGTATTTTTTCAGGTTTAGCCGAAGTTCTACACAGGCAAATCAGCTAAAGAAATTACCTACCAAAATGCGACAGAGCGAAAGGTTTGTCAATATGTCAGATTATTTCCAGTAGCCTACAAGAATAGAGCTTGCCTGAAGATAGAAATCTAAGTAATGCCATATGTAGGTAAGCATGTGAGTCTTTGTATTTTTTATATTTTTTAAACTGAATCGAGCTCAATCCACATAGTTCGACTGGAAAGTTTTCGTACTCAACGGAAAAAAGTGCTCCTTTTTTTCAGCTTGAAACTATTCGAGCAGAACAGTTCTTAGGTTCGATACCAAGGGAGAACTGACAGGGCTATCAGAATTGATCGCAGCTGATTTAGCTTACTTTAATTTCAGTCAAATACAAGGCAGTGTTTATACTAGATAATTCTGTTAAGACTGGCAGCTATGACATGAGCTACGCGCTGACATTAGTTATCGAGGTGAACGGCAATTTGCTGCAGGTAACCGTGATGAAAGGAACAAGAACGAAAACTGTGTACGACAGTAGTTTAGGGGGCTACCATACTGGGTAACCAATCACAGCGCCGGAACAATAGAGTTCACACTTAAGAACGATAGAACAATATCGGATTTTCCCTGTTGTCGATAAAGTTGAACTTGTTCATCGAAGAGTTCACTCAAAGATTCTTGTACTTGATCAGTCAATTCTACCCATGGATTAGCATTATCATAGTTGTCATCATTGTCGTCATCATTCTTTTTGTTTATTAATGATGGCGTCTTTATTTCGGTAATAGTCTTTGCGGTATTTCTCAATGCGTTCTTTTTTCTTTCGGTGATAATGTTTACTATAGGCTAGGTGACTGTCTCGTGTCCTCAAGTAACGTTCATGCAAACAGTCTTTGCTTTTCTCGTCATACTTTCGTTATTGCCCCCTCTGCTTAACTCTTCTCTCTTCCTTCATGGCAAGCGGTTTTGTCACCATGATGTCATATAGGTAGCGTGACTTAAATACTTTGTGACAATTGTTCTATTGTTCTCCTTTGTAAACATGCCGACAACCTATTGTTCTTTTGTTCTTAGGTGTAAACTCTGTTGTTCTAAAGTCCCACAGGGACCAAATCCGGCGCTAGCCCCCTATACTACTTACGACTTTCGGTTAGATTATGGAAAGGTATTTAAAATATTTTAATTAATCATTCTAGTCCCAGATTAAGCATGAAAAGCTAGAGAAAATAATTAAAATAAGAATGGTCATTCAAGTTTGGGAAGGCTCAGCGGTTGCTCGCGACTTTGGAGTGACTTCATCAGACGCTAAAGCTTGGTGATTTTTCTTTCGTGAATTTTTGCGAGACATTGCTGTTTCTTCATTTTGCACAAGCAACCTGTATTTGTGGTCTAAATCAAAAGTGTGAAATGACCACAATGAATTCGAACTAAAAGACATTTTTTTAAATAGTGGTGCAGCAACCACATCCGCATACACGCACGATCGAGCTCGTGTTTCCAAAACATGCCTAAAATCATAATTGCGAGCACAATTCCTAAGGGCCTATGCTAATACCCAGCAATTTCTTTTAGGAAATTACTTTAAAAAGTGTCTATAACACGAAATTTTTTTTGCATTTTTTGATTGATAGCTATATTCAAACTAAGAATTAATCGATTTTAGCGACTAGCGAGTTCTCCTTGGCCATTTTTTTGTGCATTGAAAATATGATTTGACGGCTAAAAAGTGCTCCCATTAAGCGCGCGGCCAAAATGATCAGCACCACAATTTCATTAGAAACTTATCCCTTTATGCATATTAAATGCCCTTCCTTATTGTTCTTTACTAATGATATTGAAGGCAAACAATTAATAAGTCAGCGTGTTTTGAAAACTTAGAAGTGTCTTCTGGGACTATTGTAGACTCCGTCTCACTCATTTCCTCAAAAGAGGTGGTTTGCCAAGTTGCGTCCGATGATGGTTGCACTAAGATAATTCCCTACCTAAAATGAACAACTTCCCTATGGTCATTAGAAAAAAAAAAAAACAAACGACACCCGAGGGGCCTGGTACCTCCACGGGGACATCAGCAGTAACATTATTCTCGAAAGTTTCAAGAGGAACGTCACCCGAGTGGTTCGGCACCTCTTACTCGACGGAGGAGCGACCTCCGAGGCACCTCATGGGGGACAACAGCAGGTAACCTACGTGAAGCCGTGCCCTTCCCCCCGCCAAGGTGAAACGGAGGCGAGGTAACGTCTACCCAAGCCTGACACTAATCGTGTACCGTGACGTTACTCTTACTCTTTCGTCAATTCTGATTGGCTAGAGTTGGTAATTTATTTTCAAACTAAAGAACCAGACGGTGAACAAAATGCTTTTATCGTCAACTTTTCAGACAACAGCGATCTACGACGAGGTTTTACGGCAAGTTTGCGCGACGTTAGGGATAGAGACATTCAAGAAGAACAGCAGAAAGCCATGGATATGTTTTTCGAAGGTAACGGTGTCTCCATTTCGTTACCAACTGGCTTTGGAAAATCTTTAATACATTATGCAGCGCCAGTTATCGATCGCCTCTCTTCTCCGAAGAAACCGGTCGCTATATTTATTGTGCCGCCCTTTAAAGCTCTCATAGAAGACCAGGTGCACTATCTTAATGTACTTGGGCCAAGATGATTGTCCGCCTTCAACCCTCGGTCTCTTTGCGAACGGTGCTGCGAAGCTATCAAAACCGTGTCCGGCTGCCGGACGTTTAGTCACTTAAATTAAAGCTTGTTGTTTCTTTCAGCGATTCTTTTGACTGAGAAAAGAGTCGCTCTTTCTTCACGCTTGCAGGGTAATTATCTCTATAGGAAATCTATAAAAACCACGAGACTCTGCTACAAATGATCCAACTTTTTTAACCGTGGCATTGTTCACAAATGCAAGCAGAAACCGCGTGGACTTTCAAAGGCACGATGCTAATCGAACATCGTCGTCTTCTTACTCTATACAAAAAACGCTCTTAATCTTTTCCTATATCCTTAAAGCAAAATATATATTTTCAATCGGACGCTGAATTGCAAATTTATTGGAAAAAATGAGGATGAATTCACTTCAGTCTTGTTGTTTATCTCTTACTTCGCAATAAAATATTATCAAATGACATTATTTTGCATAAATTAGAGTGACGTCACGGAACACGATTAGTGACAGGTTTGCGTAGACGTTCCCTCACTTCCGTTTCACCTTGTGGGGGGGGGGAGGGTACGACTACACGTAGGCTAAACATCAGGCTCCACCGACATTGGTTCGCTCATAAAAGGTTTGTACATTTACGGGCCCTCTGCTCAGGGGGCCTACACCTCTTACACTTCTTTTTTTTCCCTTTTTTTTGTTTTTAATTTTATTACAAAAAAATAATTATATATTTTTTTGGTAAATTATTTTTATTTTTGTGTTTATATTTACGATATTTGTCAACAATAATAACTTTTTGGCAATGGCAATCCTAGGCCACCACAGTGTAGCATCTTTGAGTAATTTTTTTACTCTTTGTTTATATTTTGACGAGCTCTTTTGCAAAGAGTAAAAAATACTCAGTGATGCTACATACTAAAACATCTAATAAGGATATTTAGTGTGTTGCACAGGTTTTCTTTCTGGACCGGGATTCTTAAGCACCTCGCGTGGTTCGTAACAATTATTTCAATTCTAATTGTAAAAATTCAGTCTTGATGCTATGTACTCATACTCGACAAGGTCGATGTACAACAATGCATACGATTTGTCTTCTTGACAAGGGTAGCAAATTAAAGGGGATTTTTTCTTAGGGTGTGGGTCTGAAGGCCTAAAGTAAAGGAAAATATTTGAGCTCGTCACTTGCAAAAGTTCTTTAAGTATGGTCTTCTCTATAAAGGACTTTTCGCTCGTTGTCGATGAATGATACCAAATTTGTTGCGAATTTCAAGATGTCGTTTACAATGGCAAAGCAGGAGTCACACTTGACAAAGTCATCGCTGCTCTTGCAACCATCTACGCCTGCAGTGAATTTTGATGTTTTAACTTACTCCCTACTTATCATTTGCCAGAAAATTGTTTTCCCTATCTGACAAATGTTTTATTATCGTGTTTAACCGTCAGCGTATTTTCTGTTTTTCAAGGAGATACTGTTTGACAACAAAAATTAAAGCAGATTAATATATCTACAACCTTCCGGTAGGTGGGTTAGGAAATAGATAGTAACACTGGCTTTTTGTGGTGGCTGAGAAAGAAGAAGGGGGGGGGGAAGAGATCGTGAAAAATCCCACCGTCAATATAGGGAGATAAAAAAAGACATGAAACTCTTAAAAGAGGGGGGGGGGTCATCACGTAAATGTCCCGTTTCCTCAACAAAAATCCTCCTCTCACCACCCCCCCCGTCACCCCTACCTCCTTTCCAGACGATAAATTACTAGTAATTGCCAGTCCCTTAGGAGAAGCCTCTATTTTCCCAAGAGAATATAATCTCTTGGTTGACACTGTTATCATTTTTTTTCGCAAATTTTCTCTCAATTTAGCAAACTTTAATCGGGCTAACCAGTGAAACAGTCGCTGACATTGTAGGCTAAACAGAGACGTTCTTTGAGATGTCACGCAAAGTCGATGGACACTTGAGCGAGATCCGGGAGAGCCTGGGTGTCACACAAGACAGGTTGAAACTTATAACGCTTTCCAGATCAAAAACATCACGTGCATCATAAATCAGACTTCAGTTATAGCAAAAGCATCATGGCTTCATACGCGCAGGACAGACTGTGGTCGTGGCTGGTTTGCGCTTCTGCAACTCTCTCATGGCTGGCCGCCTTAGGCTTTGTGTTCAGTTTTGGAATTTTCTTTCCTGTCTTTATGGATTACTTTCAAGAGAGCAGAGAAAAAACGGGTAATTTGTACTCTTAAACAACATGATTCTGTAGGACAACATCTGACCTAGATTTGCTTGTTGGTCAGCCGGTGCAAGCGGAAAGCTTGAAAATCGGCGTAGATGGCTACGAAGGAAAACGAAAAGAAAAAATGATTTAATTTGAATTGAATCTCTTACGTATTGAGGCCAAATTATGTAAATCGAACCAGGTCGATTTGCAACCTGTTGAGCTGATTTCAGTTTAGGTGTTCGGCGACATTACTTACGTAGGTGACTAAATTCTACTCCAGCGAGCGCAGCTAACAATTTTTGCGGCGCTGCTGTTTTGTGATCGAATTCGTATCTCAAACGTGAGCTATCTCTTTTCGAGAAAAGAGGCATGATTTTATGGAAAAATCGGATGTCTGCCAGTGCTATGAAATTTTTAAATATCTCAATCAAAATCTAGTATCCCCGGGAAAAATTTTATTAAAAGAGGGATCAAGCGACCTGAGAGTAGAGTAACAGCAAATATTTACTGAACGAGATAATTGCCAAGCGATTGGATTTTCTCTTCACTACAGTCGAGTCAACTGTTCGGTGCCGGTTAGTGTCCCCGAAGCCGCCATCGGGTATAATAAATTATCCCCGTCATATCTTTTGTTAGCCTCGGGGCGTAATATGCTATTCAGGGGTACATTTTTGTTGATTCAGAAATTTTGTTGACAGCGGATACCGAATGCTAAAAATAATCGATTACAAACAGCGTCACACGTTCTCAAGGTGTGACCATCTAGCCAAATGTTTGAGCGTGACTTTGGGAGACAAGCTATGCCAGCTTTTTCGGTTTAACGATTTAGCGTTTCGTTACTTACCTCTAAAAAGCTCTTTTTTTAATTTCGCTCTCTAACCATCATTTGCTCTTTGATTAGGAGTTTTCTTTCATTTTGTATAAAGTAGTCAGCGATAAACGCGTAGGATTTTATTTGAGGAAGCTTCGTCACAAGTTAACCCTTAACCCCCCCTCCCAGAGGAGTGTTAAGCAACTAATTTCTCATAACAATATCACCCCTGAATCAAACATTAAGGTCACCAGAATAAAGGGAAATGATTAAGAGCTTCTCTAGAATCTAGAGAAGCTCTTGATTTTTTGACAAATTCTCCCTGTCAGTACATTAAGAAATTTTTTTGTATAGAGAACAGTATGGAGAATTTGCATACTGCTGTCAGGGTGTAGAGGGTCAAGAGACAGTAGAATCTGAATACAGTGGAGAAGGAGAAATTTACTCAATAGCTCTGTTCAGCAGAAATAGTTTCTTGACCACATTGGTGGAGGGATCATGAAAAATCCCACCATCAATATAGAGGGATTAAAAAAAAAAAAAGGACATGAAATATCTCAAGGGGGGGGGGATCATCACGTAAATTTCCCGTTTTCTCAACAAAAATCCTCCTCTCACCACCCCCACCCCTTTCTCCTTTCCCGATTATAAATAATAAGCAGACCCTTAGGAGAAGTATCTATTTTCCCAAGAGAATATAATCTCTTGTTTCCCCAATATCCCTTGACACTGTTGTCATTTTTTTTCGCAAATTCTCTCTCAGTTTAGAAAATTTGAATTGAGCTAACCAGCGAAACAGTCGCTGACATTATAGGCTAAACAGAGACGTTCTTTGAGATGTCACGCAAAGTCGATGGACGCTTGAGAGAGATCCGGGAGAACCTGGGAGTCACACAAGACATGTTAAAACTTATAACGCTTTCCAGATCAAAAACATCACGTGCAACATAAATCAGACTTCAGTTATAGTAAAAGCATCATGGCTTCGTACGCGCGGGATGGTCTGTGGTCGTGGCTGGTTTGCGCTTCTGCAACTTTCTCATGGCTTGCCGCCTTAGGCTTTGTGTTCAGTTTTGGAATTTTCTTTCCTGTCTTTATGGATTATTTTCAAGAGAGCAGAGAGAAAACGGGTAATGTAATTTGTACCCTTAAACGACATGATTCTGTAGCGCAACATCTGACCTAGATTTGCTTGTTGGTCAGCCGGTGCAAGCGGAAAACTTAAAAATCGGCATAGATGGCTACGAAGGAAAACGAAAAAGAAAAATGATTTGATTTGAACTGAATCTTTTACGTATTGAGGCCAAATTATGTAAATCGAACCAGGTCGATTTGCAACCTGTTGAGCTGATTTCAATTTAGGTGCTTGGCGACATTACTTACGTAGGTGACTAAATTCCACTCCAGCGAGCGCAGCTAACAATTTTTGCGGCGTTGCTGTTTTGTGATCGAATTCGTATCTCAAACGTGGGCTGTCTCTTTTCGAGAACAGAGGCATGATTTTATGGAAAAACTTTGTTAAAAGAGGGATCAAGCGACCTGAGAGTAGAGTAACAGCAAATATTTACTGAACGGGATAATTTCCATGCGATTGTATTTTGTCTTCACTACAGTCGAGTCAACTGTTCGGTGCCGGTTGGTGTCCCTGAAGCCGCCATCGAGTATAATAAATTATCCCCGTCATTTCTTTTGTTAGTCTCGGAGCGTAATATGCTATTCAGAGGTACATTTTTGTTGATTCAAATTGTCGACAGCGGATGCCGAATGCTAAAAATAATCGATTACAGATCAGTTTGTGACAAGCATTCACAATTTTGTGTCACGCAACAGAGTCACACGTTCTCAAGGTGTGACCATCTAGCCAAATGTTTGAGCGTGACTTTGGGAGACAAGCTATGCCAGCTTTTTCGGGTTAACCGTTTAGCGTTTCGTTACTTACCTCTTAAAAACTCTTTTTTTAAATTTATTCTCTAAACATCATTTGCTCTTTGATTAGGAGTTTTCTGTCATTTTGTATAGAGTAGTCAGCGATAAACGCGTAGGATTTTATTTGAGGAAGCTTCGTCACAAGTTAACCCTTAACCCCCCCCTCCCAGAGGATTGTTAAGCAACTAATTTCTCCTGACAATATCACCCCTGAATCAAACATTAAGGTCACCAGAATAAAGGAAATGATTAAGAGCTTCTCTAGAATCTAGAGAAGCTCTTGATTTTTTGACAAATTCTCCCTGTCAGCACCTTAGGAAATATATAGAGAACAGTATGGAGAATTTGCATACTGATGTCAGGGTGTAGAGGGTTAAGAGACAGTAGAATCTGAATGCAGCGGAGAAGGAGAAATTTAGTGAGTAGCTCTGTTTAGCAGAAATAGTTTCTTGGCTACATAGACAGCTCAAGTTAGAAACCATGGGAACCCATAGGATACGTTGATAAATCACGAGCCTACATTAATCGAGTCAGTTTCTTGCATTGCCTTGTGATTTGCTCTTTGATAAACTTCTTCTCTCTGTTAATTTTTAGCTTGGATAGGTTCGCTGGCCATCGCGATAATCTTTTTCAGTGGGCATGCGTCGGGAGCTCTCATCAGTAAATTTGGCTGCCGTGTCACTGCTCTACTCGGGGCATTTTTGTGCGCCCTAAGTCTCGGTGTCTCTTCCCTGGCGAAAAACATTCTCGTTTTGTATTTCACCTATAGTGTGCTGTATGGCCTGGGTACTAGCTTTGTGTTCTCATCGGGCATCAACATCATTAGCAAGTACTTCAAAAAGAGGCGCTCGTTGGCAATGGGGATTTTGACGTGTGGACAAGGGGCAGGAGTTTTGATCATGGCACCCGTTTTACAGATGATGATTGACGCGTATGATTGGAAGACAACCTACCGAATAATGGCAGGCGTGATTTTCTTGATGTGTCTAACAGCACTTACCTACAGTCCTAACGTAGAAGGTGAAGATACTGAAGGAACACCGGCGGAGGAAGAAGACAAGGAAAAAGGATGTTACATTGATGTATCAGTGTGGAAAGAGCCCAAAGTCTTGGTCCTTATTTTGTCTTCAACCATAATTATGTTTGGACATTATACACCGCAGATTCACCTGGTAAGTTTACAGTTCAACAACCATAAACACTCTAGTAAGCCCAAGTGGGGGGGGGGGGGGGATGGGGGTATTAATTCCAGGGCTTCCAATAATTCTAGGGTGGTTATTAGAGGAGAGAAGGTGGGGAGGGTCAGGGGTTTTTAAGAAAATATACTTGTATCGAAACACAACTATATTTTGAACTGAAACGTTTTGGTTTGCCTTTTTTCCTTTTAAGGGGAGGGGGGTTCGTTTTGGGAAGGAAGGGGAGGAAAATGAGAACTTTTAGGTTAGGAGGGAGGTTGTAATCAATGAGGCATGGGGCATGAATGACACCAACGATATCTCTGATACTATTCTCGTTACTGAAATTATATAAGTTTTATTTTGTTAAAAAAAAAAGCCCAAAATGGACTAAATGAGACTGGATGCCTGTTTATGTTGATTCTTAGGTGCGATATTGTGAAGATATTGGAATCACTGCTGACGCGGCCTCTCGACTATTTGTTTATTATGGGCTGTCATCGTGTGCAGGGAGACTGGTATCTGGTCGTCTTTGTGACTTCAAAATGATCAACACATTCTTTGTGTATCAGATTGCCGAGATAGTCGCTGGAATGTCAATTCTATTTGTAACAATGGCAACGTCATATGTGCACATGATAGTGTTCATTGTAATTTTTGGATTCTGCGACGGAGCTTATATTACAACACTTAATCTCATCGCCATTACATGCACTAGCCCCGATAAAATAGCCCTTGCGCTTGCATGGCAAATGCAAATGAGTTCGTTTACTACAGCCAGCGGTCCTCCCATAGTGGGTAAGTCAATGTTTTTTCTGCCGCTGATTCTTAAGCAAGCCCGTGAAAACTGAAGTGGCCTGAAGGTAACCGTAAACTATGAAACTAAACGTCAAGATTATGCTCCTCGTGAAAATTGAACTGACCTGGAGGTACCTGTTAATCATGAAACGAAACATCAAGATTATGCTCCTCATGATGCTTGGAAGTCTCCTTAAATTTTTACTTCCTGAGGGGGATCTTGGGGTTTTTCAAAGGGAATTCGGAGGGGGGGACATTCGGTGCCAACAGGGTGTAAAGGGGGTCTAGACAAACTAGGGAAGACAGGGGGTTCATGAGAATATTACAGAGCCCTATGGGAAGATCAGGTAAATTTATCATCACACAACAAAAATCCTCCAATTCCCTCCCCCCTCCCACGCATACACACCCACACCCACACCCACACCCACCCCACACCCACACTCACCCAGGCGATTAGTGAGCACGGTCCCATCATCTGCTCAGGGTAGGGTGAGAAGATGAAAGAATGAACAGGTTACTTTCGTAGAAAAAGTAATCAAATTTGTTTTCCTTCAAACAGGTCTGGTGGCAGACACAATGGGCTCATATACGCCAGCGTTTTATATGGCTGGTGGAGTAGTGCTCGCGGGCTCCTGCATTCCTTTTTTCCTTCTCTGTAGGAAAGAGAGAAGCGCGTCACGTGATCTTTGGACCACGTTGGGCCCAACTGCAGAATCGACAGATGTACCTGATTGGAGGAAATCTGTTGTCTACACGGTTGACAAAAAAGCATCGATTCGTGATCCTAACTAAAGACCGAATTCCCTTAAAATGGACGGCATGTACGTTCATTTTGTCGCTGATTCAGTTCACAATTAGCTTGTTCTGGTGGTTCGGAGCGAAATAATAAAAGGCACGAGAGTAGCGGCCAAGTGAAAAGTGAGGGAGGCTTGGGTCGGGTCGGGTCGGGTAAGTCCCAAACCTCCCTCGGTTTTTCTCTTTGCCTCGCGCCGTTTTAGCATTTCGCTCTTAACGTGTGGAACAAACTACTTCACAATTATATTAGCTTTCTAATGTTCCTGGAATTTTTAAGAGAAGAGATTGAGATGAAGTACTATCACGACTAATAGACAATTTATAAGAACTGATCTGATGGGGTAATAATGTTGGGAAATTATACTTGATATCTTCTTTTCCTCGCAATATGTTGTGGAATTGTTAAGAAGGACACATTGCTTATATTCTTCCCTAATGATGGTGTATTGTGTGTGATTGTGTTATGTGTGATGTGTGCAATGTGTGTGATGAGCGCGATGTGTGCGATGTGTGTGATGTGTACGATGTGTGTGATGTTTCATTTCTTGTTTCGTCGTGTTGCTTTATGCGTCTTTGAATAATTAATAATTTGATATTTTTTTTAAGTTTGCTGTAATTTTTTGAATGAACTCTAGCGTAATATGCCATACGCTAATGATGATGTTTCTCAAATCTGATAATGTTTATTGAATTATTTATTAATAATTGTAATAGGATCGAGTTGGGTCCAATCTGTTCTGTAATTGTTTGAATGATTGGAAAAATCAGGCAACATGAGTATGAATGCAGACAGAATATGGCGACACAAAGTCGTGTTACCATCAGATCAAAATTATGAAAAAAAAATTGAGTTATGAAATATCTAATGGTCAAACATGTTATTTAGTAAAAACATATATTAATTTTTTAAACCAGAAATTGAACTGAGTAGTCCACATAGGAGCGCACGCAATGACGAGCTTGACGTCAAGTCTGTTCGGTGCATGAAGTATGAAGCGACTAAGAATATCGCTCCTCCCCCTGAATGCTGTTCCATCGTTTTTTACCGCCCAGCGTTTCGTCTGATTACCTTGACAATTCGCCGGTACTGGTTTAAACTCCTGGGTGGAGAGCGTTAAGTGTCTTGCTGAATAAATTAACACAACTACTCGGCCAGGTCTCGAACCCAGATCTCTTGTTAACGTTCGACCACCGCGTGTCCCACTAGCTACATATGCGTGCCATGTAAACTTTTTTATTACAATGTTCAATTACGAACGCAAGGCTTACATTTACTATTAGTACTCAACTTGGGCTGATGATTGCCAATCACACTCGTAAACTTTTGTTACAGTTTTTTTTATTATTTTTTCATTTCTGCAGCTGCGTGAATTCCTTTTCAATTATGAGGATATGGCTACACAAAATTAAAAAAAGTCAGCTTCTCGATGGTGTTTTCTACGAAAAATTCTGACGTGCGCGCGGGCTCACTTCATCATGACGACAAAGTGCTTGACATTGATCAGATCTCGCGTGTCACGGCTTAGTGAAAACGAGGAGAGGAACTTTCTTCGTCATTTTTCTCTTTCTGTACATTTCTATATCTACTGGAGCCTCTCGTAAGTTACAATTTACTCTTTTGATAAATTTTCTGATAACTCTTTTTGCTTTTCCGCAAAAGTTCTAAAAGTTGCAAAGTTGGTTTCTTTTACTGAATTTCTAGTCTGTGGCTTTGCACTCGGAGTGCGCTGGGGGAGTGGGGATATGATTCCAGATAATAAAATAAGTGCCTCAAGCGAAGACCAGAGCCATCCCGCAAAGAATGGCCGACTTGAGGATAGGGGTTGGTCCCCAGATGAACACAACAACCACGATAAGTTTCCGTATCTGTATCTTGTTTTGGATTTATAATTCGAGGCTATTCCGATATGAGGCTACGCCCCACCTGGTTAACAATAAACAGGGTCCAGGTATCACCTGAAAAGGGCTTTCGGGACGACTGGAATTCCATAAAGGTTTGGTTTTTGCCTATGTCTTGTTTACTTAAGTTTCCCTTTTTTTCACTTAAATATGCCTAATTGTGGAGATCGAGTTTGACAAAGACAAGTAGAACTACTGACCTCCCAACTATGATATTTCAACGTATGTTATTTTTTTTTTTTTTGCCGCGGCCGGAATTATCTGAAGGCACATCAGCCAGTGCTTTGATCTCCGAAGTGAAAGAACGAAAATTTGGGCAATATGTCAGGATATTTCCAGTGTCTTTCGTGATTAAGATATGCATGAAGGTAGAAATCCATGGATATCCTTACGTATGTAAGTATTCCATTTTATTATTTTTTTTCGATGATAGAAACTCCGTGTGCGATCGTATAATGTGAACACACATTACAATGACACGCTCAGCAATAGGCAGTAAGTGAAATGACACTTCGGCTTCTGAGCAGCGGCGTGTCCGATGGCACGACTAAAAAAGATTTTCCTTTTGTTTATGTGGCTCGATAGGAACAAAGGCACGTGCCAAGAAGAACCTTATACCATGTTTGTCGTATGTAATGAATCCCAGAATTCCTAACATTATGGCCATTCCAGAATTTAGAAACACTTATTCTTGTTCCAGAAACAGCAAAAGATTAATACGGAATTATATTTCTTGTAAAAAATCTCTTTCGTTTTTCTAAATTTCAAGTCACAATTTTTCTCTTCATCTCCCCCTTCGTAGTCTTTTTGTATTCACGTGCGGCGCGCGTGAATTCACAAATTAACCAACCACGTCAAAGAGCCTAATCCTTGACATTGGAAAACTTTCGCGTACTTTTTAGTTTGTTTTCGCGGAGTTTTAGTCAGTTATTTTTTTCAGCTTTCGTTCGCGTAAATTTGTTCTCCTTTGTTTGGAATTTAAAGAGGTTTCGAAGTTTCTATTTTAGCCAAATGTTGTGGTTCATTAAATAAGGTTAATTTGTTTGGACTCAAGTCTTTTCATTTGGATTTGTTATTTAAAATATTGAGGTTTCTCCCTGGAAAAATTTCTGATTTTGAAAAAGAAATGTTGATCCGGTTCATTAAATAAAAGTTAAAACATATTTTGAACCTCCTCTGCGAATCAATTGAAAGCTTTCGGATTGCTCTTACGGAAAAACTCAATGTCCTTGGAGCCCTGGGCGACGAAATTCTGGCTTTAATGACAGTCGAAGATGAAATCAAGGAAACTGGGCAGTTAAACGCAGTTGATCTGGAAAAGGCCGGAAACACAGATAAGTTTTACTGAAAGTCTTGCAAAGGCAAAACCCAATCTCAATATTTCCCATTTCTAATCCATTGGGACTCATTTGCAGTTTATCAGATGTTGACAAATTCAATTATTTGAGAAATTTGTTAAAAGGGCCAGCCGCAGGAGCCATTCGAGGGCTACCGCTTACAGCAGAAAATTACGAGTCAGTTAAAGCCATTCTAAAGAAACGGTTTGGGCAACCCCAAATATTTTCTAATCATTAATTCTCATATGGAGGGAAAAGTGAAAGTATCAGCTGTAAGTGTGGAAAATGATTTATGACGTCTTCGCCTTCTTTATGATCGAATTGAAGCACACGTTCGAGCATCACAAGCCCTGGGAATAAACTCTGAATCATATGTGTTACCCCAAACAGAGAGCTAACACATCTGCATAAAAAACAGCTTAAAAACAACTCCAAAGAGTTGAACAAACAACAAAAGTACGCGGCAATGTCAACGTCAGTCTTCAATGTCAAGCTTAGAGTTCTTTGGCCGTATTGGCTTATTTTGTGAAATCACTCGCGCCGCGCGTGAATACAAACATAATACACACTTTACCAGGGGGGGGGAGAGGAAAAAAAAGTTTCAATTTAAAATTTTAAGCAAAAAATATTTCCTTCAGTGTTCATCCACAAATAACGTAGAAATGCTAATTTACAATCAAAGTTTCTTTCACAGGAGGCGGCCGTTCATGCTCAAATAACTGCATACATTTGTATGTCACCTTTGATTTACCAGTGGAAACTTATCTGAGTAACTATCTTTTCATTGCGTGGTTAACTATGGTGATCACGATTAACAACCTTTACTCGGTATCGCAGCGTGAGCGTGTTGTGAGCGTGCTCTGAAACGTTGTAAGACTGCGTATGAGCAATCATGTCTTTAACATTCCTGTTAAAGGATTACGTTATTTATCGAATGATACAGGCAAACTCGTCGATCTTACGACCTTTCGATTACTATTCATCAGTACGTTGTCGTTGTGCCGAAGCATAACGTATCGACATTCCTATCGTAGCGGTATTCAAGAAGGTTGTCATCTTGGACCTATACAAAAGAACCTAACTTGCCACGATTCTCCTACAACTCAGTGATAGAGCATACGAAGTATATACCGGAAGATCGACCCTTATTGGAATATCTATATCCTAAGTTAGACCCCTTTTGAAAGCACCGGGAGTTCTTTTCTTCCGAGCATGTCTGTGCCAATCTCTGAATAACATTATCTTTCATTTGAAGATCACCGGACTTAAAATTTAGCATCTTCATTTACATCATCATCGCCATTCCTCCAGATCATCTTTCAGCGATTTGAACTTTATCATACTTACAGGAAAGCCTTTAAAGCACCTCAACGTCTTCCGGGTCAAAAGCAATTGTTGATCAATTGAACATTTTTAATTATTGCTTTTATTCGAAGCTTTCGACGAGTGTTCCACTGGAAATAAGCGTGGGGAAAACGCGAACTGTGCAAATCGCCTGACTGGTTTTTACCGAAAGCGTATTTGTAGTAGGACTGAAAACTTCGCACATCGTTTTACAACGAAAAAATTGTTCGAGAGAGTTCAGATATTATAAATGAGTGAAAATTCCATCGATTAATTCAATTGTAAATAGATATCTCATAAGTTTAACTTTCTAAGTTATTTTTTGTGAAGGATAAGAATTAATTACAAAGGGTTCTTAGGCCGCGTGTCAAATTATTTAATAATGACACATTTGCTACCACAAATTTATGTCGAAAACAAGTTTTTGCCAACAACCAAAGTGATTTGAGAGAGAGAAAAGAGAGAATGGATAAGTTTAATATGGTCAGCCGGCAAAACGAAATGTATTTATGAAAAATGGCAACCTTAAACCTTGATGAGAGATGAAGCATTGAATTGTGCTTTCATGGTAAAAATTAATAATTCGCATAGACAAAATAAGTTGTCGCGTCATCAGTGCATCAAATCATACTTATGTTTTATTCAAGACATCTTATGCAGTTTCTTTTTATATAGGGTTTCGTAACAAAACAAAAAATTTAAGATTATTTTGATATTAGATGTAACTGACCTAGGTTATCAAAAGAGAAAGAGAGAGAGAGAGTATGAATAGGAGTATGAGTTTAGCCACCGTAGCAGTAGGAAAGTTTTTCGAAAACCGTAATTCCTAGCTACGGAATTATTATTATTCGCGAAAATTGAACTCCTTTACCATTTTTTTTGGCTTATAGCAAGTGGCACTAGACCAAGCATGTTGATTTCGGCGGTCCGAGACTATTTTCCCCTGCCTGTTTCTCCCACAACTATTCTGATAATCAGTCTTTGACACACTTTAACTGAAAACACATTGTATACACGGTGGAGTTATCTATAATTAAAAAAAAAGAATTTCTTTTTGAGTTGTCAATTAACGATTTGCTTTAAACTAACGTTAGCGTTTTTCACTTACTATGTCAGTTATTAGTTTTCCTTTAATGGATCGGATTAGTTACAAATAAGATCTGCGAGTCGTCTTCCCTTTGCGTCCTCTTCTACCAATCTTACTTATGAAATTATTCCAAAAAGCTACTTGGCTGGCTCTAAAGCGTTGCTTCAGCCTCGGTTTCACGTCGAGGGCTACGTAAAACTGCTCGTCTTTGGTAAATTGTCGCCATGTGATTTTCGAAGAACCGGGAGGAGTAGGAGATCTGAAAAGGAAAAATAACCTATTAAGTAATAACTCTGCTATGTGCGGAAAAGACCGTTTGATTCTAAGCGACGCGTGGCGAGAGAGGCCGTGATCCTCCTAAAAGTTGGCCCCATTCCGATCCCTAAATTCAAAATTTTTGAAGGAAGAAGTGGAAACTAAGGAACACCCTGATCAGTTCTTACCCAAATTTGGCAAAATCTGTCCACAGTTTCATCATGTATAGGCTGAAGCCCTTTTCGATTTCGGAAAATCTGGGCGTGAAATAGTCGATTAAAGAGGAAAGCTTCTTAAATGGTGCTCCGAACACAAAAGAGACATCCATCCCGCGAACTGTCCCAGCCCATGCCGGGAACTGCGTAAAGTCCGGACGATGCTCAAATACGTAGAGGTAGGTTCTCTCTCTCGTCTAAAATGCAAGATATAAAATAAAAACAGCATATTATTAATTACTTATAATTTGTGCTTTGACATAGGGACGATACTATTCACTGATTAAAAAGAGTTGGAGCCGGCAAGTTGGTAAGAATTTCTTTAAAATCCAAAGCACATGCAATTACATGCATACCACCGAAGTTTGGCATTTGTCTCTTTAAATTTATAAAGCATATATATTGGTAAAAAAGTCAGAAAAAACGAGCAACAACCTCAAGTTGCGTGTTTTAATCAAGTTAACTGAGCTATGTTTGTTTTACCTCCGCTAAAGCACTGGCCTCAAATATTGCCGGCGCTAGATATTTAAAGTCGCTTTCAAACTCCAGCATCATTTCCCTGATGGCAGTTTTGTTGCTAGGGTCATTATGGTCTGTGTATCGATACTTGACCAGCTCTTCTATAACTCTATGTCGATCTCTGTTTTGCCAAAGACCAAGTGAACGTTTTATGGTAAATTCAAACTCCTTTCTGTCGACATGGGCGAGATTTCCCGCCTCTAGGACCAAATCAAGAGCTCCTTCGTGTGAAGTAAGCCCTATCATGACGTTAACACTTTTGTCAGGAAATCGTCTTTCTTTGAAAAGCTTCTGGGGAAATTCAGGAAGGAATTCTCCATCTGGAACAGGCGTGGTAACTTCTGTTGATATCTTAGTGGGGAAAAGCGATGAAAACCTTGTTTGAGTATCAATAATTTCCGCCGGGCTTTTGCTCCGTAAACAACGAGTGAGTTCCATGTCTGGCCTGCATTTAGCGACTTTCTTCAATTCCTTCAAGGTGTGAGTGCTTGCCCCATTACCTCTAAGTATAGGTGACGTAGCAAAGCCGCTCTGAATTATGGCTCCTTGAAACAATCCTTTCGACAACGGAGAAATAAGATGAAGGGAGACACTAATTCCCCCAGCACCCTCACCAAATATGGTCACATTGTTGGGATCTCCACCAAAACTTGCAATGTTTTTATTGACCCATTGCAAAGCCATCACCTGCAGATGTAAAACAAAGTAATTCTTAGATATTTTTGTTCGTTGGTTAACTACGTTTTACACAAGAAGAATGGATCTTGAAGTTTTTAACGAAGAAAAAAAGGAGTCAAGTTTAATTCTTTATTTTTTGTGTGTATAGTTTGTAATTTAATTGCCAAGTGTTTTGTATGATAACACTGTCTTCTTTACAATACATTTTAACAATGCATTACCGCACAATTAGATCGTATACCTGATCCTGCATTCCATAATTTCCCTTTAAGTCCGTGCCAGGGATGTTCAGGAATCCTAATATTCCAAGCCTGTAGTTAAAAGTTACCACGATCACGTCGTTTAATGAAGCCAAGATATGGGCCGGATAATGAGCCGAGGAACCGAATGTGAAGTTGTGGCCTTGAATCCAAACCATGACTGCTTTCCTGTCGCGGGCTTTTGTAGTGGATGCCGGTAAAAAAACATTCAAGTAAAGGCAATCTTCGTCCACTATGAGAAAGGGAAGTGTTTAAGCAAGAGTTAACAGTAACTTCGAACAAATATATGTTTATCAGAAATCGTTGCTCTGTTGCTATATGTTATTTTATATGAAAGCGTCATGCCTTACCTTCTCCAACTCTGACATTAGGTATTGGAAAATCTGGCTGAGGGCACGCAGCTTTGTAGTCTGTCGCTTGTCTGATCCCTGTCCATGGTTTGGCCTGGTTTGGAGCAGCAAACCTCAATTCATTCACAGGAGGCTCGGCAAATGGGATCCCAAGATAAGTGAGGACTGATTTGCCAAGTGGGAGGCTTTCAATCTTGCCGACAATTTTTCCAGACTCTATTTGTACGACGGTTGAGTTTTCAAAGCCTCTAACCTGCAAACGTGGATCAAAGAGATAGATTCTAGATGGCGTTATTGAGAGACGACGAATATATGAAGAAAGCTACTAATAATGATCCGGTTATTGTGTTGATTAAATAACAAGTTTCAAATCAGCCACACAATGAATTTAATAAAAAAAACTCAATCCATTGAAGCCTGAATCCAGAAAAACTCACCAGCTCTGAATCTGTGAAAGTTTGATTAGAGTTAGACTTGATGCGATTTGTCCCTGAAACAAAAAAAAAGTCCTGAGTGAATAACTCACTTCTCCTTAAACAGCGCCACCTGTGGGACGTTTAAAGCATATCATATATCATCCCAAGTGCCATTCGTTCAAACTCATCAATGAAAAATGTTTTGGTATACCCAAGTTCAGTACGTTGTTCATACACAATTTGCTATATATGTCGAGCACGGTTTCTGAAATAAACACCCATGCATGTCTTCCAGGTCAATTTGCCGCGTCTCTTGCGTGATATCTGTTCATATTTACCAACTATATACCATTTTCACATTGAAGTAATGTCCTTAATGAGGAAAAATATGAAGGAAGTTAGAGCTTTTCATAAGATTCGCTACCGGTCCTAATATCTAACCTTCGGGTATTTCTTCTCTCAGGCAAATCTTGAGCGTGAAGCGCTCATCCCGCCCACCGCTACGGACACCGTTTTTCCAATAAATCACAATTGTCATCTCAAGGCCATCATCTTCTCTCTTTATTCCATTAAGCATCACGGCATTATTATTCAGCATAAATCTGTCTCGAAACCCAGGCCAGCCATGATCTAGTACTTTACATTGCGTACTTGTGCAGTACGCAATTGCTTCCTTTGCATCTGGCATACTTCTGATATAAAGGTCCTCTACTCGTGTCCATTGCCGCACCATCTTGACTAAGTGGTGAGTCAGGTTCACATCGCTTCCCTCTTGGGCCCAGATACCTGGAATGAAAAGATTAGTAAATAAAGTCCTTTTGCAGACAAACGACAGACTGGAAGCTGGATGATTATAAGGGAAATCTTAAAGCCATTCCTTTCCTTGCTATCACACTCGGGTGGAGATACATTCTTTATCATATCCTTCGTAGACTGTAGAGTAATGTACTTATAATTTTAGTCTCTTAGGGCTTGTTTTGCGTATTGAAGACGTCCTTTTTTCGATTGCTGTCCGCCAACGTTCATTCATTCAGCAGGCATGACCAGTATGCTACCACTAGATAAAATGTTACCTGATCGAATTAGTTGCTCTAGCGCACGGAGAGAAATGAAAAAAGACTTACATTTGGTGGAAAGATCAATCACAACTGGGTTATTAGTGGTTCGACTTCCATATTCGACCTCGCATGTAAAGGTCACTTTTCTCTTCTTTGCCTCTCGTGTTGACCGTTTTATGATGAGACTTTCTTTGGATACTCCTTTAACAATTATTCCGTCAAACTCCTGTGAATGACTCAGAAGAATACATTTCTGGGAATTGTTGCAATAAGCAATATCAATCATTTTCAAGCTGTTAGAATCCCTAACTTTCCATTTGATGTATTCATTCGAAGATTTCAGTTCTCTACATTCCAGACGTAACGTCTCGTTGGGACACATATGCTTTTTCGGTATTTCACCTAAAGAAAAATGATAAAACTTGTTAAATTCACGTTGATCTCTATTCTTTCCTAGGGGCACTCTTAAATTTTGTTGTTACTGAGAGGTGGTTGTCTCTGGTGTAAAAAAAACTTCCATCGGCCGACCAAGCTTATTATAAATAAAAGTGTACATTTTAAACCACAATAAACCTGTTGTCCCTGTTGTAAAACCCTTTTATCCCTTTAGAGTTTGAATTTTAGTTTTGAGGCAAATTATATACAAATAAAACTTCACTGACTGCAGGAAAAGCCCTAAGTAGTTAAGGATGGATGGCTTTTTCTGGGACTCATTTACAACACGAAAGGAGATAGTACATTCAAAATTTCATTTTATTTGTCATACCCGAAAAGTTTACCTTTCACCATGAAATTTTGAGCTCAGGATCAATTTATTCTATAGTCCGAGTCTTATTTCGTCAACTTATCATTGGTTTGTTGATGCAAAACTGCATTGAAAATACAACGCCGTGATTTTGATGACTTCCTGTTTTGTAGAGCACAATGCAGTCAAAATAGTTTTTTTTAGTCAAATCGGGAATTTGCCTTGTATTTTTTTCTCTTGTAGAGTGACGACGCTCTAGCAAATTAGTAGTGCTCTAACCTTGGACAGTAAACACAAAGCCCTGTAGTTGACCTGTAAAAAGAAGTAAGTCTCAATGTATTATCTTCATATCAAATTACACACGTAAGGGGAAAAGATGATAACTGAACGGATAAACAGGACAGATACTCGAGGACTCCCGGGATTTGTGGAAACCGAAAATACTGAAATGAGGAATATTATCACAGTTGCATGTATCCATTTCATTGGCTGGTTTTAACTAAAGGAAGTTGCTAAAGTGAAAGTGCTTACTATGGAGAAAGTGACTTAGGAAATGACTCGTTCACAATCAAAGCTGGGGAATTTAGAAGCCCCTCTATAATTTTTCAAAATCATTTGAGTCTAAGATTTCGTAGCTGAGAATCATGAAATGCTCACAATCAAAGCATTTCTTTGTTGGTCGACGAGAAAGAAATACTCGATCTGACGGCTTGTATTGGCGAGATTCGAATATATGCTTCGGTTTCGCTTTGTCAAGACTTTAATCAATTTGAAGTTTAATGTAAGAAGAATTTGAGCTAGAGAAGATGTTTTCAATATCGTAAGACTTAGTGAGAATGCTGATCCTCGAATTAAGCAGCGACGTAAATAAATCAGATTATTATGTCACAAAAGTCATCACGTGTGAACTGATTAATAGTCGTGTTCATTGATCTGCAAATTTCTTCCTGTGATTTCGTAAAATCCCCTGAATATCTTTGGTTTTTCCCCCCAGGAAAGGAGGCACGTTCGTTTACATGTAATAGTTTTTTCCGACAAACAGTTTCACTTACATTGATCCACCAAAAGTTAAATTTGTTGAATCCGTGCAATAAAAAAAGCCTGATGTGGGTGACTTATGGGCTCAGTCATGAAAAACCTTCTCGCCAAACAACTGGCAATTTGAAAGGAATTTTACCGAAAAGGACAAAGGAATCAGAAAGAATGAAATTTGAATACATAATTTTCGAAAAAGACTAATACAAGTTTAAAGATCTTTTTGCAGTATTTTTTTTTTCATGTTCATGTATAGTTATCAGAAAAATCTGAACTCTTTATAAACTTTTCTGAGCTCTCCCTTCATTGTTATTTGAAAATGTGGCTTCGACTGTTATTATTTTTCACTTTGTGAGCACATTTTGAAAATTGAGGTTCACCACCCAAAAAGATGACTGGGATGATGAGCAATTAAAAGACTCAACTTAACTCAGTCTAAATGAGCGCACGCCACTGCACAAGAGACACAGACATATTGTGACGGAAAAAGCATCAATGACCCTCATTATTTAATCAATACGGTCTCATTTAAGTGCCGAAGCATTTAAAAAACAGTTCATATTCTTTCAACTTACCTAGGGTAAGCAAAATCAACAGAGCAGTAAAGGAAGACATGTTTTGATTCACTCAGGGAGTTTCGCTTGAAGTTTAGTGAACACCTGTCTGCTGGAGGGAAAATGTAAAATTGCCTTATCATCTAATCTGTCGTTAGTATTTGTGATCTGGTTCAATATTTAAAGACAAGCTGTTTCTTTCGTTGGTCAGCATTAATTGTTTCCTGACATCGTCCTTCAGCTGTGCCCTGATACACGTTGCAACAATAATAGATCATAGATTTTCAGTTAATTGATTAGTAGACATAAACACACTTATAGTTTCCTTGGGTCAGCACAGGATTTCCTAACGGGAACAAATGAATAAATATTTAGCAAGCTTTATAATACAACCACTTACTTCTCGTAGGTTGCCTTTTCCTCGGCAACCTCAGAGGTAATATGATCTACCTCAGTGATGAAGGAACTGCTTGTGAGTAGTGTGAGGACGAATCTGTCCTACCTTTTCAAAGCGAGACTTTATAACAATATAATTGTTTTCATTTGCGCATGAGCATGATATGAGCTAATAGTGTAATAATAGTAAAAGTAGCCTTTCAATTTTCGCTTTTCAATGCAGCGGAAGAAACATTAATCAGTATCCTGTCACACCCGAAACTGTTTCCCAGAAGCACTCAAATGACAACTTTTCAGCTTTTAATATTAGCCCAAAATACCTTGTCTGGCCAGCGAGTCAATTTACATTTTTCAATAACGAACGGTTCCACTTATAAAAAAAATATCCTCAGGCCTTAGAAACTATTCTAAGCGAGTTTTATTAAGGTTACCTGTATTTCGTGTCTTGTGCTTGCTCAGTGGTACAGGAACAGAAACGGAAATGTGCTAAAGGAAAAAGGAAATCGCGGGATGGTTTTTAGCTGCGTTAAGAGATCACATTATCCTTAGCTGTTCCTGTCATGTTTACTGAGTGATGTTTGATCTAATTTGACAATGATAAAACGTTTCAAAAAGTGTACTTAAGATACAAATACTTAGTAAAAATGATTTAAACACATGTACACACAAACTGAAAATGCTCAAAATCATGACCCCAGAACAAAACCGCCTTATTTATACTGTCAACTTTCCGCAAACGGATACTATCGTAAGCGGAGCTTTCTATTCAAGGACACCAATTCCCATGACCTTTTTGCTTTCCAGTCAAATTCTGTGTTTACATCGTTATTGAATGGCATCCCCGTAAGTGGACACTCTCTCATAAGTGGACGTGGACACTTGAAATTGAAAATTGGATTTTATTTTGCTTACGCTTTCTCGGACACCCATAGATAATAACTGATTCTTAGCAAAACAATTTGTGCAACCAAAAAAAATGAACTTCGACAGAGCAACGGAACAATTAGGATCGCTTTTGTCGAATCTCTGTTTATCCGCGGGAGAGCAAGCTGGCAGGCGGTTTGTTTGACATTAGCCAACATCCACACTACTTTTCTTTGCTTTCCACTCACGGGAATAATTTTAGTAGGCGGACAGTTCTAGTAATGGAAACTTTTTCCAATTCCTGAGGGTGTTCGTTTAGAGATAGTTGACTGGCTGTGATTTATCATCCAAATTACCATGCACGAGTAACAGAGGTTATGAATACAATACAACTTTATTACCTCTTCCGGTTATCAATTCAAGATAGGCAAATCGGAAGAGTCGAGTCTTCCTCTTGCAAGAAGGTGCGTGGTGCAATACTGTGTTTGAATTACGATCATAACTTTCATGTGTTTGAACAGGAAAAGCTAAAGATTCTACAAAGAACCTTAAACAAGACGCCATTTTTGTAAAGATTCAAAGAACGCTCTACCTGTTAAAGTGTAACTCAGAAAACAAGAATATCAAAAAAATTAATAGAAGCGTTACTCGAGTGCACATAGTCCATCTGAACGATGGAGAGACTATTTAAGAAAATAATCTTTGGCCAAGGCAGCGACGTTAGTCTACTTATCGGGCACGAATGTGACGCTAGACCTCTAGTTGTTTACTACCCAACGACAAATCTTTATTTCTGAGTTTACCCGCTATTTTTTGTATTTAAATTTTATACTCAGTTCAAGTCAAGGACGAGGCTGGACCAGACTGCTGAAAGGGAAGCAAATTCCAGTGATTTGGATACCTCAAGATCATGATTTGGACCTAAAACCAGGTTTCTTCGCCATACCAAGTATTGCCTTTTTCGTTTCATACATAAAATAAAGATAATCTCAAGAAGCAAATCAACGCAAGCATTCGATTTGAGGTTAAAACTGTTCTACCACCGTACGTTACACTGTCTGTTGAAGCAGAAAACAAAATAAACAAATAAAAAGAACTACTCAGCAATAACTTATCTACGTCGCTTGTTTAAACATCAATTAGCCTTTTTTCCCTCAGGATTAGGTTTAGATTAGAGAAGAGATTTTCTGATCATATTCATTAAAAACCCGTGCCCAGATGTTTATTGCGATCATAAAATCTTACATCTCGGGGTCGGCGCGCAGATGATCACATCGATCGTGATGCTGTCGCTACATCCAGGGGTCTTAGATTCGTATCTTACATCCAGGGGTTTTTAACTGTACCTCTGAATGGTCGCTATGTAACAATGGCGAGTTATATAAGGGGGTGTTTTGTTAAAATTGTACGGTAGTTTTACATAAGGGTCTGTTCTCAGCTACTGATATTGATCCAAGATTCTTTCACTGTGTGACCATTGCGTGACACGTTGACGCGAGCGGCTTTGTCTGAAATCTTATCGACAACGGTATTTCACCTAGAGAAAAATGATCAAACTTGTTAAATTCACGTTGATCTCTATTCTTTCTAAGGGGCACTCTAATATTTTTTTGGTACTGAGAGGTGGTTGTCACTGGTGTAAAAAAAGCTTCCATCGGCCAACCAAGCTTACTATAAATAAAAGACATTGTAAATCACAATAAACCTGTTGTCCTTGTTGTTAATCGCTTTTTCCCGTTTAGAGTTTAAATTTTAGTTTTGAGGCAAATTATATGCAAACAAACAACACTGACTGCAGGAAAAGCCCTAAGTAGGTAAGGATGGAAGGCTTCTTCTGGGACTCATTTACAGCACAAAGGGAGATAGTATATTCAAAATTGCATTTTATTTGTCATACCTGAAAAGTGTACCTTTCACCGTGAAATTTTGAGCTCAGGGTCAATTTATTCAATAGTCCGAGTCTTATTTCGTCAACTTATCATTGGTTTATTGATGCAAAACGGCATTGAAAATACTACGCCGTGATTTTGATGATGCCCTATTTTGTAGAGCACAATGCAGTCAAAATAATTTTTTTTCCAGTCAAATCGGTAATTTCCCTTGTATTGTTTTCTCTCGTACCGACTGTAGGAAACAATTTTTTTTTGAATAATTGACAAAATCAGGCAACATGAATATGAATGCAGACAGAATATGGCGACACAAAGTCGTGTTACCATCAGATCAAAATTGTGAAAAACTTGAGTTATGAAATATCTAATGGTCAAACATTGAATAAAAACATAAAAGTTTAATTTTTTTAAACCAGAAATTGAACTGAGTAGTCCACATAGGAGCGCACGTAATGACGAGCTTGACGCCAAGTTTGTTCGGTGCATGAAGTATGTGAAGCGACTTCCCCTGAATGCTGTTCCATCGCTTTTTACCGCCCAGCGTTTCGTCTGATTACCTTAACAGTTCGCCGGTACTGGTTTAAACTCCTGGGTAGGGAGTGTTGAGTGTCTTGCTGAAGAAATTAACGCAACTACTCAACCAGGTCTCGAATCCAGATCTCTCGCTAACGTTCGACCACCGTGCCATGTAAACTAAACTATATAATGAGTGCATCGAGCGAAGACCAGAGCCATCCCGCAAAGAATGGCCGACTTGAGGATAGGGGTTGGTCCCCAGATGAACACAACAACCACAATAAGTTTTCATATCTGTATCCTGTTTGTGGATTTAAAATCCGAGGTTGTTCCGACGTGAGGCCACGCCCCGCCTGGTTAACAATATACAGGGTCCAGGTATCACCTGAGAAGGACTTTCGGAACGACTGGAATTCCATAAAGGTTTGGTTTTTGCCTATGTCTTATTTACTTAAGTTTCCCTTTTTTCACTTAAATATGCCTAATTGTAGAGATCGAGTTTGAAAAAGACAAATAGAACTGCTGACCTCCCAACTATGATATTTCAACGTATGTTTTCTTTTTTTTTTGCCGTGGCCGGAATTATCTGGAGGCACATCAGCCAGTGCTTTGATCTACAGCAAAGTGAAAGAACGAAAAAAAAGTGAAAAAAAGTTGGGCAATATGTCAGAATATTTCCAGTGTCTTTCGTGATTAAGATATGCATGAAGGTAGAAACCCATGGATACTCTTACGTATGTAAGTATTCCATTTTGTTATTTTTTTTTTCGATGATAGAAACTCAGTGTATGATCGTATAATGTTAGCTCCCAGTTTTCCAAATGTGACCCTCCACGGGAAACGTGTACTAAAGTGAACGCACATTACAATTACACGCTCAGCAATAGGCAGTAAGTGAAATGACTCGGCGGCCTCTGAGCAGCGGCGTGTCCGATGGCACGACTAATAAAAATTTTCCTTTTGTTTATGTGGCTCGATAGGAACAAAGGCGAATGCCAAGAAGAACCGTATACTACGGTTTGTCGTTTATAATGAATCCCAGAATTCCTAACATTATGGCCATTCCAGAATTTAGAAACACTTATTCTTGTTCCAGAAAAACAGCAAAAGATGAATGCGTCTGAATCATCTGTGTTACCCCAAACGTTTGAGCTTTACAAGCCCTGGGAATAAACTCTGAATCGTATGTGTTACCCCAAACAGAGAACTAACACATATGCATGAAAAACAGCTTAAAAACAACTCCAAAGTGTTGAAAAAACAACAAAAGTACGCGAAAATGTCCACGTCAGTCTTCAATGTCAAGGTTAGAGTTCTTTGGCAGTATTGACTTATTTTGTGAAATCACTCGCGCCTCGCGTGAATACAAACATAATACCAGGGGGGGGAGGAAAAGAAAAGTTTCAATTTAAAATTTTAAACGAAAGATATTTCCTTCAGTGTTCATCCACAAATAACGTAGAAATGCTAATTTACAATCAAAGTTTCTTTCACAGGAGGCGGCCGTTCTTGCTCAAATAACTGCATACATTTGTATGTTAGCTTTTATTTACCAGTGGAATCTTATCTGAGTAACTATCTTTTCATTGCGTGGTTAACTATGGTGATCACGATTATCAACCTTTACTCGGTATCGCAGCGTGAGCGTGTTGTGAGCGTGCTCTGAAACGTTGTAAGACTGCGTATGAGCAATCATGTCTTTAACATTCCTGTTAAAGGATTACGTTATTCATCGAATGACACAGGCAAACTCGTCGATCTTACGATCTTTCGATTACTATTCATTAGTACGTTGTCGTTGTGCAGAAGCATAACGTATCGACATTCCTATCGTAGCGGTATTCAAGAAGGTTGTCTTCTTGGACCTAGGTAAACGACCTCACTTGCCACGATTCTCCTACAGCTCAGTGGTAGAGCATACGAAGTATTTACCGGAAGATCGACCCCTATTAGAATATCTATATCCTAAGTTCGACCCCTATTGGAAGCACTGGGAGTTCTTTTCTTCTGAGCATGTCTGTGCCAATCTCTGAATAACATTATCTTTCATTTAAAGATCGCCGGACTTAAAATTTAATATCTTCATTTACATCATCATCGCCATTCCTCCAGATCATCTTTCAGCGATTTGAACTTTACGTTACTTACAGGAAAGCCTTTAAAGCACCTCAACGTCTTCCGGGTCAAAAGTAATTGTTGATCAATTGGACACTTCTAATTAATGTTTTTATTCAAGCTTTCGACGGTGGTCAGCCGGCAAAACGAAATATATTTATGAAAAATGGCAACCTTAAACCTTAATGAGAGATGGAACATTGAATTGTGCTTTCATGGTAAAATCAATAATTCGCATAGACAAAATAAGTTGTCGCGTCATCAGTGCATCAAATCATACTTATGTTTTATTCAAGACACCTTATGCAGTTTCTTTTTATATAGGGTTTCGTAACAAAACAAAAAATTTAAGATTATTTTGATATTAGATGTAATTGACCTAAATTATTAAAAGAGAAAGAGAGAGAGAGTATGAACAGGAGTATGAGTTTAGCCACCGTAGCAGTAGGAAAGTTTTTCGAAAACCGTAATTCCTAGTTACGGAATTATTATTATTCGCGAAAATTGAACTCCTTTACCATTTTTTTTTGGCTTCTAACAAGTGGCACTAGACCAAGCATGTAGATTTTCGGCGGTCCGAGACTATTTCCCTCTGTCTATTTCCCTCACAACTATTCTGATAATCAGTCTTTGACACACTTTAACTGAAAACACATTGTATACACGGTGGAGTTATCTATAATTAAAAAAAAAGAATTTCTTTTTGAGTTGTCAATTAACGATTTGCTTTAAACTAACGTTAGCGTTTTTCACTTACTATGTCAGTTATCAGTTTTCCTTTAATGGATCGGATTAGTTACAAATAAGATCTGGGAGTTGTCTTTCCTTTGCGTCCTCTTCTACCAATCTTACTTGTGACATTCCAAAAAGCTACTTGGCTGGCTCTAAAGCGTTGCTTCAGCCTCGGTTTCACGTCGAGGGCTACGTAAAACTGCTCGTCTTTGGTAAATTCTCGCCATGTGATTTTCGAAGAACCAGGAGGAGTAGGAGATCTGAAAAGGGAAAAAAACCTATTAAGTAATAGCTATGCTATGTGCGGAAAAGACCGTTTGATTCTAAGCAACGCGTGGCGAGAGAGGCCGTGATTCTCCTAGAAGTTGGCCCCATTCTGATCCCTAAATTCACAATTTTTGAAGGAAGAAGTGGAAACTAAGGAACACTCTAATCGGTTCTTACCCAAATTTGGCAAAATCCGTCCACAGTTTCATCATGTATAGGCTGAATCCCTTTTCGATTTCGGAAAATCTGGGCGTGAAATAGTCGATTAAAGAGGAAAGCTTCTTAAATGGTGCTCCGAACACAAAAGAGACATCCATCCCGCGAACTGTCCCAGCCCATGCCGGGACCTGCGTAAAGTCCGGACGATGCTCAAATACGTAGAGGTAGGTTCTCTCTCTCGTCTAAAATGCAAGATATAAAATAAAAACAGCATATTATTAATGACTTATAATTTGTGCTTTGACATAGGGACGATACTATTCACTGATAAAAAAGAGTTGGAGCGAGTTGGTAAGAATTTCTTTAAAATCCAAAGCACATGCAAATACATGCATACCACCTAAGTTTAGCATTTGTCTCTTTAAATTTATCTTCAAATCGGTAAAAAAGTCACAAGAAACGAACTACAACCTCAAGTTGCGTGTTTTAATTAAGTTAATCGAGCTATGTTTGTTTTACCTCCGCTAAAGCACTGGCCTCAAAAATTGCCGGCGCTAGATATTTAAAGTCGCTTTCAAACTCCAGCATCATTTTCCTGATGGCAGTTTTGTTGCTAGGATCATTATGGTCTGTGTATCGATACTTGACCAGCTCTTCTATAACTCTATGTCGATCTCTGTTTTTCCATAGACCAAGTGAACGTTTTATGGTAAATTCAAACTCCTTTCTGTCGACATGGGCGAGATTTCCCGCCTGTTTGAGTATCAATAATTTCCGCCGGGCTTTTGCTCCGTAAACAACGAGTGAGTTCCATGTCTGGCCCGCATTTAGCGACTTTCTTCAATTCCTTCAAGGTGTGAGTGCTTGCCCCATTACCTCTAAGTATAGGTGACGTGGCAAAGCCGCTTTGAATTATGGCTCCTTGAAACAATCCTTTCGACAACGGAGAACTAAGATGAAGGGAGACACTAATTCCCCCAGCACCCTCACCAAATATGGTCACTTTGTTGGGATCTCCACCAAAACTTGCAATGTTTTTATTGACCCATTGCAATACCATCACCTGCAGATGTGAGACAAAGTAGTTCTTAGATATTTTTGTTCGTTGGTTAGCTACGTTTTACTCAAGAAGAATGGATCTTGAAGTTTTTGACGAAGAAAAAAGAGAATAAAGTTTAATTCTTTATTTTTTGTGTATGTAGTTTGTAATTTAATTGCTAAGTGTTTTGTATGATAACACCGTCTTCTTTACAATACATTTTTACAATGCGTTACCGCACGGTTAGATCCGTATACCTGATCTTGCATTCCATAATTTCCCTCTAAGTCCGTGCCAGGGATGTTCAGGAATCCTAATATTCCAAGCCTGTAGTTAAAAGTTACCACGATCACGTCGTTCAATGAAGCCAAGATATGGGCCGGATAATGAGCCGAGGAACCGAATGTGAAGTTGTGGCCTTGAATCCAAACCATGACTGCTTTCCTGTCGCGGGCTTTTGTAGTGGATGCCGGTAAAAAAACATTTAGGTAAAGGCAATCTTCGTCCACTATGAGAAAGTCACTTCGAACAAATATATGTTTATCAGGAATCGTAGAGCGTTTACATTTGATCTAATTTCCCTAGATAGCACTGGAAGTCTTTTTTGCTCTGTTGCTACATATTATTTTATATGAAAGCGTCATGCCTTACCTTCTCCAACTGTGACATTAGGTATTGGAAAATCTGGCTGAGGGCACGCAGCTTTGTAGTCTGTCGCTTGTCTGATCCCTGTCCATGGTTTGGCCTGGTTTGGAGCAGCAAACCTCAATTCATTCACAGGAGGCTCGGCAAATGGGATCCCAAGATATGAGAGAACTGATTTGCCAAATGGGAGACTTTCAATCTTACCGACAATTTTTCCAGACTCTATCTGCACGACGGTTGAGTTTTCAAAGCCTCTAACCTGCAAACGTGGATCAAAGAGATAGATTCTATATGGTGTTACTGAGAGAAGACGAACATATGAAGAGAACTACTAGTGATGATCCGACTGTTGTGTTGACTAAATAACAAGCTTCAAGTCAGCCACACGATGAATTTAATAAAAAAGGTCAATCCATTAAAGCCTGAATCCAGAAAAACTCACCAGTTCTAAATCTACGAAAGTTTGATTAGAGTTAGACTTGATGCGATTTGTCCCTGAAACAAAAAAAAAAGTGAGTGAATAACTCATTTCTTCTCAAACAGCGCCACCTGTTGATCGTTTCAAACATATCATATATCATCCCGAGTACCATTCGTTCAAACCCATCAATGAAAAATGTTTTATTTATACCCAAGTTCAGTACGTTGTTCATACACAATTTGCTATATATGTCGAGCACGGTTTCTGAAATAAACACCCATCTTCCAGGTCAATTTGCCGCGTCTCTTGTGTGATATCTGTTCATATATATACCATTTTTACACTGAAGCAATGTCCTTAATGAGTACTTGATTGAATTAAAGGAAGTTAGAGCTTTTCATAAGATTCGCTAACAATCCTAACATCTCACCTTTGGGTATTTCTTCTCTCAGGCGAATCTTGAGTGTAAAGTGCCGCAGTGTATGATTTTTCCAGTAAATGAAAATTTTCATCTCAAGGCCATCATCTCCTCCTTTTATTCCTTTAAGCATCACGGCATTACTATTCAGAATAAATCTGTCTCGAAACCCCGGCCAGCTGTGATCTAGTACTTTGCATTCCGCACTTGTGCAATACGCAATTTTTTCCTTTGCAGGTGGCATACTTTTGACATTAAGTTCCTTTACTTGGTTCCAATCCCGCACCATCTTCGTTAAGTGGCGAGTCAGGTTCACATCGCTTCCCTCTTGGGCCCAAATACCTGGAATGAAAAGATTTGTAAATACAGTCGTTTTGCAGACAAACGACAGACTGGAAGCTGGATGATTATGAGGGAAATCTAAAAGCCATTCCTGTCCTTGCTATCACACTCGGGTGGAGATACATTCTTTATCATATCCTTCGTAGACTGTAGAGTAATGTACTTATCATTTTTGTCTCTTGGGGCTTGTTTTGCGTATTGAAGACGTCCTTTTTTCGATTGCTGTCCGCCAACGTTCATTTATTCAGCAGGCATGACCAGTATGCTACCACTAGATGAAATGTTACCTGATCGAATTAGTTGCTCTAGCGCACGGGGATAAATGAAAAAAGACTTACATTTGGTAGAAAGATCAATCACAACTGGGTTATTAGTGGTTCGACTTCCATAATTGACCTCGCATGTAAAGATCACGTTTCTCTTCCTTGCCTCTCGTGTTGACCGTTTTATGATGAGACTTTCTTTGGATACTCCTTTAACAACTATTCCGTCAAACTCCTGTGAATGACTCAGAAGAGTACATTTCTCGGAATTGTTGCAATAAGCAATATCAATCATTTTCAAGCTGTTAGAATCCCTAACTTTCCATTTGATGTATTCATTTGAAGATTTCAGTTCTCTACATTCCAGACGTAACGTCTCGTTGGGACACATATGCTTTTTTGGTATTTCACCTAAAGAAAAATGATCAAACTTGTTAAATTCACGTTGATCTCTATTCTTTCCTAGGGGTACTCTAAATTTTTTTTGGTACTGAGAGGTGGTTGTCTCTGGTGTAAAAAAAGCTTCCATCGGCCGACCAAGCTTATTATAAATAAAAGTGTACATTTTAAACCACAATAAACCTGTTGTCCCTGTTGTTAATCGCTTTTTCCCGTTTAGAGTTTGAATTTTAGTTTTGAGGCAAATTATATACAAACAAACTTCACTGACTGCAGGAAAAGCCCTAAGTAGTTAAGGATGGATGGCTTTTTCTGGGACTCATTTATAACACGAAGGGAGATAGTATATTCAAAATTGCATTTTACTTATCATACCTGAAAAGTTTACCTTTCACCGTGAAATTTTGAGCTCAGGGTCAATTTATTCGATAGTCCGAGTCTTATTTCGTCAACTTATCATTGGTTTATTGATGCAAAACGGCATTGAAAATACAACGCCGTGATTTTGATGACGTCCTATTTTGTGGAGCACAATGCAGTCAAAATAGTTTTTTTAGTCAAATCGGGAATTTGCCTTGTATTGTTTTCCCTTGTAGAGTGACGACGCGTTAACAAATCAGTTGTGCTCTAACCTTGGACAGTAAACACAAAGCCCTGCAGTTGACCTGTAAAAGGAAGTTTATCTGCGTAAGTCTCAATGTATTACTTTCATATTAAATTACACACGTAAGGGAAGAGATAATAACTGAACGGAAAAACAGGACAGATACTCGAGGACTCCCGGGATTTGTGGAAACCGAAAATACTGAAATGGGGAATATTATCACAGTTGCATGTATCCATTTTATTGGCTGGTTTTAACTAGAGGAAGTTGCTAAAGTGAAAGTGCTTACTATGCAGAAAGTGACTTAGGAAATGACTCGTTCACAATCAAAGCTGGGGAATTTAGAAGCCCCTCTACAATTTTTCAAAATCATTTGAGTCTAAGATTTCGTAGCTGAGAATCATGAAATGCTCACAATCAAAGCATTTCTTTGTTGGTCGACGAGAAAGAAATACTCGATCTAACGGCTTGAGTTGGCAAGATTCGAATATATGCTTCGATTTCGCTTTGTCAAGACTTTTATCAATTTGAAGTTTAATGTAAGAAGAGTTTGAGCTAAAGAAGATGTTTTCAATATCGTAAGACTCAGTGAGAATGCTGATCCTCGAATTAAGCAGCAATGTGAACAAATTAGATTATTAAGCTACAAAAGTCATCAAGTATCACTGATTGATAGTCGTGTTCATTGATCTGTAGATTTCTTCCTGTGATTTCGTAAAACCCTTATGAACATCACAGGTTATTTTCCCCAGGAAAGGAGGCACATTCGTTTATATGTTACATTTGTTTCCTACAAACAGTTTCACTTACGTTGATCCGCCAAAAGTTAAAATTTGTTGAGTGTAATAAAAAAAGCCTGATGTGGGTGACTTGTGGGCTCAGTCACGCAAAACGTTCTTGCCAAACAACTCGCAATTTTATGGGAATTTTACCGAAAAGGACAAAGGAATCAGAAAGAATGAAATTTGAATACATAATTTTCGAAAAAGACTAATACAAGTTTAAAGATCTTTTTGCAGTATTTTTTTTTTCATGTTCATGTATAATTATTAGAAAAATCTGAAATCTTTATAAACTTTTCTGAGCTCTCCCTTCATTGTTATTTGAAAACGTGGCTTCGACTGTTATTATTTTTCACTTTGTGAGCGCATTTTGAAAAGTGACATTCACCACCCAAAAAGATGACTGGAATGATGAGCAATTAAAAGACTCACCTTAACTCAGTCTAAATGAGCGCACGCCACTGCACAAGAGACATAGACCTTAACTCAGTCTAAATGAGCGCACGCCACTGCACAAGAGACACAGGCATATTGTGACGGAAAAAGCATCAATGACTCTCATTATTTAATCAATATGGTCTCATTTGAGTGCCGAAGCATTTAAAAAACAGTTCATATTCTTTCAACTCACCTAGGGTAAGCAAAATCAACAAAGCAGTGAAGGAAGACATGTCTTGATTCACGCAAGGAGTTTCGCTTGAAGTTTAGTGAACACCTGTCTGCTGGAGGGAAAATGTAAAATTGCTTATCATCTAATCTGTCGTTAGTATTTGTGATCTGGTTCAATATTTAAAGACAAGCTGTTTCTTTCGTTGGTCAGCATTAATTGTTTCCTGACATCGTCCTTCAGCTGTGCCCTGATACACGTTGCAACAATAATAGATCATAGATTTTCAGTTAATTGATTAGTAGACATAAACACACTTATAGTTTCCTTGGGTCAGCACAGGATTTCCTAACGGGAACAAATGAATAAATATTTAGCAAGCTTTATAATACAACCACTTACTTCTCGTAGGTTGCCTTTTCTTCGGCAACCTCAGAGGTAATCTGATCTACCTCAGTGATGAAGGAACTGCTTGTGAGTAGTGTGAGGAAGAATCTGTCCTACCTTTTCAAAGCGAGACTTTATAACAATATAATTGTTTTCATTTGCGCATGAGCATGATATGAGCTAATAGTGTAATAATAGTAAAAGTAGCCTTTCAATTTTCGCTTTTCAATGCAGCGGAAGGAACATCATTAATCAGTATCCTGTCACACCCGAAACTGTTTCCCAGAAGCACTCAAATGATAACTTTTCAGCTTTTAATATTGGCGCAAAATATCTAGTCTGGCCCGCGAGTTAATTTACATATTTCGATAACGAACAGCTCCACTTATAAAAAAAATATCCTCAGGCCTAAGAAGCTATTCTAAGCGATTTTTAATAAGGTTACCTGTATTTCGTGTCTTGTGCTTGCTCAGTGGTACAGGAGCAGAAACGGAAATGTCCTAAAGGAAACAGGAAATCGCCGGATGGTTCTTAGCTGCGTTAAGAGATCACATTATCCTTAGCTGTTCCTGTTATGTTCACTGAGCGATGTTTGATCTAGTTTGACGATGATAAAAAGTTTTAAAAAGTGTACTTAAGATACAAATACTTAGTAAAAATGATTTAAACACATGTACACACAAACCGAAAATGCTCAAAATCATGACCCCAGAACAAAACCGCCTTATTTATACTGTCAACTTTCCGCAAACGGATACTATCATAAGCGGAGAGTTCTATTCAAGGACACCAATTTCCATGACCTTTTTGCCTTCCAGTCAAATTCTGTGTTTACACCGTTATTGAATGGCACCCCCGTAAGGGGACACTCCCTCGTAAGCGGACGTGGACACTTGAAATTGAAATGTGGATTATATTTTGCCTACGCTTTCTCGGACACCCATAAATAACTGATTCTTAGCAAAACAATTTGTGCAACCAAAAAAATGAACTTTGACAGATCAACGGAACAATTAAGATCGTTTTTGTCGAATCTCTGTTTATCCGCGGGAGAGCAAGATGGCCGTCGGTTTTTTGACATTAGCCAACATACACACTACTTTTCTTTGCTTTCCACTCATGGGAATAATTTTAGTAGGCGGAAAGTTCTAGTAATGAAAACTTTTTCCAATTCCTGAGGGTATTCGTTTAGAGATAGTTGACTGGCTGTGATTTATCATCCAAATTACCATGCACGAGTAACAGAGGTTATGGATACAATACAACTTTATTACCTCTTCCGGTTATCAATTCAAGATAGGCAAATCGAAGGAGTCGAGTCTTACTCTTGAAATAAGGTGCGTGGTGCAATACTGTGTTTGAATGACGATCATAACTTTCATGTGTTTGAACAGGAAAAGCTAAAGATTCTACAAAGAACCTTAAACAAGAAGCCATTTTTGTAAAGATTCAAAGAACGCTCTACCTGTTAAAGTGTAACTCAGAAAACAAGAATATCAAAAGAATTAATAGAGGCGTTACTCGAGTGCACATAGTCCATCTGAACGATGGAGAGACTATTTAAGAAAATAATCTTTGGCCAAGGCAGCGACGTTAGTCTACTTATCGGGCACGAATGTGACGCTAGACCTCTAGTTGTTTACTGCCCAACGACAAATCTTTATTTCTGAGTTTACCCGCTATTTTTTGTATTTAAATTTTATACTCAGTTCAAGTCAAGGACGAGGCTGGACCAGACTGCTGAAAGGGAAGCAAATTCCAGTGATTTGGAAACCTCAAGATCATGATTTGGACCTAAAACCAGGTTTCTTCGCCATACCAAGTATTGCCTTTTTCGTTTCATACATAAAATAAAGATAATCTCAAGAAGCAAATCAATGCAAGCATTCGATTTGAGGTTAAAACTGTTCTACCACCGTAGGTTACACTGTCTCTTGAAGCAGAAAACAAAATAAACAAATAAAAAGATCTACTCAGCAATAACTTATCTACGTCGCTTGTTTAAACATCAATTAGCCTTTTTTCCCTCAGGATTAGGTTTAGATTAGAGAAGAGATTTTCTGATCATATTCATTAAAAACCCGTGCCCAGATGTTTATTGCGATCATAAAATCTTACATCTCGGGGTCGGCGCGCAGATGATCACATCGATCGTGATGCTGTCGCTACATCCAGGGGTCTTAGATTCGTATCTTACATCCAGGGGTTTTTAACTGTACCTCTGAATGGTCGCTATGTAACAATGGCGAGTTATATAAGGGGGTGTTTTGTTAAAATTGTACGGTAGTTTTACATAAGGGTCTGTTCTCAGCTACTGATATTGATCCAAGATTCTTTCACTGTGTGCTATTGCGTGACACGTTGACGCGAGCGGCTTTGTCTGAAATCTTATCGACAACGGTATTTCACCTAAAGAAAAATGATCAAACTTGTTAAATTATATGACTATGATATTTCAACGTATGTTTCCTTTTTTTTTTGCCGTGGCCGGAATTATCTGGAGGCACATCAGCCAGTGCTTTGATCAACAGCAAAGTGAAAGAACGAAAAAAAAAAGTGAAAAAAAAGTTGGGCAATATGTCAGAATATTTCCAGTGTCTTTCGTGATTAAGATATGCATGAAGGTAGAAACCCATGGATACCCTTACGTATGTAAGTATTCCATTTTGTTATTTTTTTTTCGATGATAGAAACTCAGTGTATGATCGTATAATGTTAGCTCCCAGTTTTCCAAATGTGACCCTCCACGGGAAACGTGTACTAAAGTGAACGCACATTACAATTACACACTCAGCAATAGGCAGTGAGTGAAATGACTCGGCGGCCTCTGAGCAGCGGCGTGTCCGATGGCACGACTAATAAAAATTTTCCTTTTGTTTATGTGGCTCGATAGGAACAAAGGCGCATGCCAAGAAGAACCGTATACTACGGTTTGTCGTTTATAATGAATCCCAGAATTCCTAACATTATGGCCATTCCAGAATTTAGAAACACTTATTCTTGTTCCAGAAAAACCGGAAAAGATGAATGCGTCTGAATCATGCATCTGTGTTGCCCCAAACGTTCGAACTTTACAAGCCCTGGGAATAAACTCTGAATCGTATGTGTTACCCCAAACAGAGAGTTAACACATATGTATGAAAACAGCTTAAAAACAACTCCAAAGTGTTGAAAAAACAACAAAAGTACGCGAAAATGTCCACGTCAGTCTTCAATGTCAAGGTTAGAGTTCTTTGGCCGTATTGACTTATTTTGTGAAATCACTCGCGCCGCGCGTGAATACAAACATAATACCAGGGGGGAGGAAAAGAAAAGTTTCAATTTAAAATTTTAAACGAAAGATATTTCCTTCAGTGTTCATCCACAAATAACGTAGAAATGCTAATTTACAATCAAAGTTTCTTTCACAGGAGGCGGCCGTTCATGCTCAAATAACTGCATACATTTGTATGTTAGCTTTTATTTACCAGTGGAATCTTATCTGAGTAACCATCTTTTCATTGCGTGGTTAACTATGGTGATCACGATTATCAACCTTTACTCGGTATCGCAGCGTGAGCGTGTTGTGAGCGTGCTCTGAAACGTTGTTAGACTGCGTATGAGCAATCATGTCTTTAACATTCCTGTTAAAGGATTACGTTATTCATCGAATGATACAGGCAAACTCGTCGATCTTACGATCTTTCGATTACTATTCATTAGTACGTTGTCGTTGTGCAGAAGCATAACGTATCGACATTCCTATCGTAGCGGTATTCAAGAAGGTTGTCTTCTTGGACCTAGGTAAACGACCTAACTTGCCACGATTCTCCTACAGCTCAGTGGTAGAGCATACGAAGTATTTTCCGGAAGATCGACCCCTATTGGAATATCTATATCCTAAGTTCGACCCCTATTGGAAGCACTGGGAGTTCTTTTCTTCCGAGCATGTCTGTGCCAATCTCTGAATAACATTATCTTTCATTTGAAGATCACCGGACTTAAAATTTAACATCTTCATTTACATCATCATCGCCATTCCTCCAGATCATCTTTCAGCGATTTGAACTTTATAATACTTACAGGAAAGCCTTTAAAGCACCTCAACGTCTTCCGGGTCAAAAGCAATTGTTGATCAATTGGACACTTCTAATTAATGTTTTTATTCAAGCTTTCGACGGTGGTCAGCCGGCAAAACGAAATATATTAATGAAAAATGGCAACCTTAAACCTTAATGAGAGATGGAACATTGAATTGTGCTTTCATGGTAAAATCAATAATTCGTATAGACAAAATAAGTTGTCGCGTCATCAGTGCATCAAATCATACTAATGTTTTATTCAAGAGACCTTATGCAGTTTCTTTTTATAAAGGGGTTTCGTAACAAAACAAAAAATTTAAGATTATTTTGATATTAGATGTAATTGACCTAAATTATTAAAAGAGAAAGAGAGAGAGAGAGTATGCCAGGAGTATGAGTTCCTAACTACGGAATTATTATTATTCGCGAAAATTGAACTCCTTTACCATTTTTTTTGGCTTATAACAAGTGGCACTCGACCGAGCATGTAGATTTCGGCGGTCCGAGACTATTTCCCTCTGTCTGTTTCCCTCAAAACTATTCTGATAATCAGTCTTTGACACACTTTAACTGAAAACACATTGTATACACGGTGGAGTTATCTATAATTAAAAAAAAAGAATTTCTTTTTGAGTTGTCAATTAACGATTTGCTTTAAACTAACGTTAGCGTTTTTCACTTACTATGTCAGTTATCAGTTTTCCGTTAATGGATCGAATTAGTTACAAATAAGATCTGGGAGTTGTCTTTCCTTTGCGTCCTCTTCTACCAATCTTACTTGTGACATTCCAAAAAGCTACTTGGCTGGCTCTAAAGCGTTGCTTCAGCCTCGGTTTCACGTCGAGAGCTATGTAAAACTGCTCGTCTTTGGTAAATTGTCGCCATGTGATTTTCGAAGAGCCGGGAGGAGTAGGAGATCTGAAAAGGAAAATAACCTATTAAGTAATAGCTATGTTGTGTGCAGAAAAGACCGTTTGATTCTAAGCGACGCGTGGCGAGAGAGACCGTGATTCTCCTAGAAGTTGGCCCCATTCCGATCCCTAAATTCAATTTTCAATTTTCTTGAAGGAAGAAGTGGAAACTAAGGAACACTCTGATCAGTTCTTACCCAAATTTGGCAAAATCCGTCCACAGTTTCATCATGTATAGGCTGAATCCCTTTTCGATTTCGGAAAATCTGGGCGTGAAATAGTCGATTAAAGAGGAAAGCTTCTTAAATGGTGCTCCGAACACAAAAGAGACATCCATCCCGCGAACTGTCCCAGCCCATGCCGGGAACTGCGTAAAGTCCGGACGATGCTCAAATACGTAGAGGTAGGTTCTCTCTCTCGTCTAAAATGCAAGATATAAAATAAAAACAGCATATTATTAATGACTTATAATTTGTGCTTTGACATAGGGACAATACTATTCACTGATAAAAAAGAGTTGGAGCGAGTTGGTAAGAATTTCTTTAAAATCCAAAGCACATGCAATTACATGCATACCACCTAAGTTTAGCATTTGTCTCTTTAAATTTATCTTCAAATTGGTAAAAAAGTCACAAGAAACGAACTACAACCTCAAGTTGCGTGTTTTAATTAAGTTAATCGAGCTATGTTTGTTTTACCTCCGCTAAAGCACTGGCCTCAAATATTGCCGGCGCTAGATATTTAAAGTCGCTTTCAAACTCCAGCATCATTTCCCTGATGGCAGTTTTGTTGCTAGGATCATTATGGTCTGTGTATCGATACTTGACCAGCTCTTCTATAACTCTATGTCGATCTTTGTTTTGCCAAAGACCAAGTGAACGTTTTAAGGTAAACTCAAACTCCTTTCTGTCGACATGGGCGAGATTTCCCGCCTCTAGGACCAAATCAAGAGCTCCTTCATGTGAAGTAAGCCCTATCATGACGTTAACACTTTTGTCAGGAAATCGTCTTTCTTTGAAAAGCTTCTGGGGAAATTCAGGAAGGAATTCTCTATCTGGAACAGGCGTGGTAATTTCTGCTGATATCTCGGTGGGGAAAAGTGATGAAAACCTTGTTTGAGTATCAATAATTTCCGCCGGGCTTTTGCTCCGTAAACAACGAGTGAGTTCCATGTCTGGCCCGCATTTAGCGACTTTTTTCAATTCCTTCAAGGTGTGAGTGCTTGCCCCATTACCTCTAAGTATAGGTGAAGTAGCAAAGCCGCTCTGAATTATGGCTCCTTGAAACAATCCTTTCGACAACGGAGAAATAAGATGAAGGGAGACACTAATTCCCCCAGCACCCTCACCAAATATGGTCACTTTGTTGGGATCTCCACCAAAACTTGCAATGTTTTTTTTTACCCATTGCAATACCATCACCTGCAGATATGAGACAAAGTAATTCTTAGATATTTTTGTTCGTTGGTTAACTACGTTTTACTCAAGAAGAATGGATCTTGAAGTTTTCGACGAAGAAAAAAGAGAGTCAAGTTTTATTCATAATTTTTGGTGTATATAGTTTGTAATTTAATTGGTAAGTGTTTTGTATGATATCACTGTCTTCTTTACAATACATTTGTACAATGCGTTACCGCACGGTTAGATCCGTATACCTGATCTTGCATTCCATAATTTCCCTTTAAGTCAGTGCCAGGAATGTTAAGGAATCCTAATATTCCAAGCCTGTAGTTAAAAGTTACCACGATCACGTCGTTCAATGAAGCCAAGATATGGGCCGGATAATGAGCCGAGGAACCGAATGTGAAGTTGTGGCCTTGAATCCAAACCATGACTGCTTTCTTGTCGCGGGCTTTTATAGTGGATGCCGGTAGAAAAACATTCAGGTAAAGGCAATCTTCGTCCACTATGAGAAAGGGAAGTGTTTAAGCAAGAGTTAACAATCACTTCGAACAAATATATGTTTATCAAAAATCGTAGAACGCTTTCAATTGATCTAATTTCCCTCCAGTGCTTTCCTGATAGCACTGGAGGTTTTTTTTTGCTCTGTTGCTATACATATTATTTTATATGAGCGTCATGCCTTACCTTCTCCAACTCTGACATTAGGTATTGGAAAATCTGGCTGAGGGCACGCAGCTTTGTAGTCTGTCGCTTGTCTGACCCCTGTCCATGGTTTGGCCTGGTTTGGAGCAGCAAACCTCAATTCATTCACAGGAGGCTCGGCAAATGGGATCCCAAGATAAGTGAGCACTGATTTTCCAAGTGGGAGGCTTTCAATCTTGCCGACAATTTTTCCAGACTCTATCTGCACGACGGTTGAGTTTTCAAAGCCTCTAACCTGCAAACGAGGATCAAAGAGATAGATTCTAAATGGTATTATTGAGGGACGACGAACATATGAAGAAAGATACTAATGATGATCCGGATGTTGTGTTGATTAAATAACTAGCTTCAAATCAGCCACATGATGAATTTAATAAAAAAAGGTCAATCCATTGAAGCCTGAATCCAGAAAAACTCACCAGCTCTGTGAAAGTTTGATTAGAGTTAGGCTTGCTGCAATTTGTCCCTGAAACAAAAAAAAAGTCCTGAGTGAATAACTCACTTCTCCTTAAACAGCGCCACCTGTGGAACGTTTCAAGCATATCATCCCGAGTGCCATTCGTTCAAACCCATCAATGAAAAATATTTTGACATACCCTAGTTCAGTACGTTGTTCATACACAATTTGCTATATATGTCGAGCACGGTTTCCGAAATAAACACCCATTGTATGTCTTCCAGGTCAATTTGCCGCGTCTCTTGCGTGGTATCTGTTCGTATTTACCTATTATATACCATTTTTATACTGAAGCAATGTCCCTAATGAGTAAATGGCTGAATTAAAGGAAGTTAGAGCTTTTCATAATATTCGCTAACAGTCCTAATATCTAACCTTCGGGTATTTCTTCTCTCAGGCGAATCTTGAGCGTGAAGTGCTCTTGCCGCTCACCGCTCCAGCGAATCACAATTTTCATTTCAAGGCCATTATCTCCTCCTTTTATTCCTTTAAGCATCACGGCATTACTATTCAGAATAAATCTGTCTCGAAACCCCGGCCAGCTATGATCTAGTACTTTGCATTGCGTACTTGTGCAATACGCAATTGTTTTCTTTGGATTTGGCATACTTCTGATAAAAAGGTCCTCTACTCGTGTCCATTGCCGCACCATCTTGATTAAGTGGTGAGTCAGGTTCACATCGCTTCCCTCTTGGGCCCAAATACCTGGAATGAAAAGATTAGTAAATATAGTCGTTTTACAGACAAACGACAGACTGGAAGCTGGATGATTATTAGGGAAATCTAAAAGCCATTCCTGTCCTTGCTATCCCACTCGGGTGGAGATACATTCTTTATCATATCCTTCGTAGACTGTAGAGTAATGTACTTATCATTTTTGTCTCTTGGGGCTTGTTTTGCTTATTGAAGACGTCCTTTTTTCGATTGCTGTCCTCCAACGTTCATTTATTCAGCAGGCATGACCAGTAAGCTACCACTAGATAAAATGTTACCTGATCGAATTAGTTGCTCTAGCGCACGGAGAGAAATGAAAAAAAGACTTACATTTGGTGGAAAGATCAATCACAACTCGGTTAGCAGTGGTTCGATCTCCATAATAGACGCATTTAAAGGTTACGTTTCTCTTCCCTGCCTCTCGTGTTGACCGTTTTATGATGAGACTTTCTTTGGATACTCCTTTAACAATGATTCCATCAAACTCCTGTGAATGACTCAGAAGAGTACATTTCTGGGAATTGTTACAATAAGCAATCTCAATAAATTTCAAGCTGTTAGAATCCCAAACTTTCCATTTGATGTATTCATACGAAGATTTCAGTTCTCTACATTCCAGACGTAACGTCTCGTTGGGACACATATGCTTTTTCGGTATTTCACCTAAAAAAAGACGATCAAACTTGTTAAATTAACATTGATTTCTATTCTTTCCTAGGGGCACTCTAAAATTTTTTTGGTACTGAGAGTTGGTTGTCTCTGGTGTAAAAAAAACTTCCATCGGCCGACCAAGCTTATTATAAATAAAAGTGTACATTTTCAACCACAATAAACCTGTTGTCCCTGTTGTTAATCGCTTTTTCCCGTTTAGAGTTTGAATTTTAGTTTTGAGGCAAATTATATACAAACGAACTTCACTGACTGCAGGAAAAGCCCTAAGTAGTTAAGGATGGAAGGCTTTTTCTGGGACTCATTTACAACACGAAAGGAGATAGTACATTCAAAATTGCATTTTATTTGTCATACCTGAAAAGTTTACCTTTCACCGTGAAATTCTGAGCTCAGGGTCAATTTATTCGATAGTCCGAGTCTTATTTCGTCAACTTATCATTGGTTTATTGATGCAAAACGGCATTGAAAATACAACGCCGTGATTTTGATGACTTCCTTTTTTGTAGAGCACAATGCAGTCAAAATAGTTTTTTTTCAGTCCAATCGGGAATTTCCCTTGTATTGTTTTCTCTTGTTGAGTGACGACACGTTTGCAAATTAGTAGTGCTCTAACCTTGGACAGTAAACACAAAGCCCTGCAGTTGACCTGTAAAAGGAAGTTTATCTGTGTAAGTCTCAATGTATTATTTTCATATTAAATTACACACGTAAGGGAAGAGATAATAACTGAACGGAAAAACTGGACAGATACTCGAGGACTCCCGGGATTTGTGGAAACCGAAAATACTGAAATGAGGAATATTATCACAGTTGCATGTATCCATTTCATTGGCTGGTTTTAACTAAAGGAAGTTGCTAAAGTGAAAGTGCTTACTATGCAGAAAGTGACTTAGGAAATGACTCGTTCACAATCAAAGCTGGGGAATTTAGAAGCCCCTCTATAATTTTTCAAAATCATTTGAGTCTAAGATTTCGTAGCTGAGAATCATGAAATGCTCACAATCAAAGCATTTCTTTGTTGGTCGACGAGAAAGAAATACTCGATCTAACGGCTTGTGTTGGTCAGATTCGAATATATGCTTCGGTTTTGCTTTGTCAAGACTTTAATCAATTTGAAGTTTAATGTAAGAAGAATTTGAGCTAAAGAAGATGTTTTCAATATCGTAAGACTTAGTGAGAATGCTGATCCTCGAATTAAGCAGCGATGTAAACAAATTAGATTATTAAGCTACAAAAGTCATCAAGTATCACTGATTGATAGTCTTGTTCATTGATCAGCAGATTTCTTCCTGTGATTTCGTAAAACCCCTATGAACATCACAGGTTTTTTCCCCCCAGGAAAGGAGGCACATTCGTTTACATGTAATATTTTTTTTCCCTACAAACAGTTTCATTTACATTGATCCACCAAAAGTTAAAATTTTTTGAATCCGTGCAAGTAAAAAAAGCCTGATGTGGGTGACTTGTGAGCTCAGTCGCGCTAAACGTTCTTGCCAAACAACTGGCATTTTAAGGGAATTTTACCGAATAGGACAAAGGAATCAGAAAGAATGAAATTTGAATACATAATTCTCGAAAAAGACTAATACAAATTGAAAGATCTTTTCAACTTTTTTTTTCCTGTTTATGTATAGTTATTAGAAAAATCTGAAATCTTTATAAACTTTTCTGAGTTCTCCCTTCATTGTTATTTGAAAACGTGGCTTCGACTGTTATTATTTTTCACTTTGTGAGCACATTTTGAAAAGTGAGATTCACCACCCAAAAAGATGACTGGAATGATGAGCAATTAAAAGACTCACCTTAACTCAGTCTAAATGAGCTGAGCCCACGCCACTGCACAAGAGACACAGACATATTGTGACGGAAAAAGCATCAATGACTCTCATTATTTAATCAATACGGTCTCATTTGAGTGCCGAAGCATTTAAAAAACAGTTCATATTCTTTCAACTCACCTAGGGTAAGCAAAATCGACAAAGCAGTGAAGGAAGACATGTTTTGATTCACGCAAGGAGTTTCGCTTGAAGTTTAGTGAACACCTGTCTGTTGGAGGGAAAATGTAAAATCGCCTTATCATCTAATCTGTCGTTAGTATTTGTGATCTGCTTCAATATTTAAAGACAAGCTGTTTCTTTCGTTGGTCAGCATTACTTGTTTCCTGACATCGTCCTTCAGCTGTGCCCTGATACACGTTGCAACAATAATAGATCGTAGATTTTCAGCTAATTGATTAGCAAACATAAATACACTTATAGTTTCCTTGCGGTCAGCACAGGATTTCCTAACGGGAACAAATGAATAAATATTTAGCAAGCTTTATAATACAACCACTTACTTCTCGTAGATAGCCTTTTCCTCGGCAACCTCAGAGGTAATCTGATCTACCTCAATGATGAAGGAACTGCTTGTGAGTAGTGTGAGGACGAATGTGTCTTACCTTTTCAAAGCGAGACTTTATAACAATCTAATTGTTTTCATTTGCGCATGAGCATGATATGAGCCAAAAGTATAATAATGGTAAAAATAGCCTTTCAATTTTCGCTTTTCAATGCAGCGGAAGGAACATCATTAATCAGTATCCTGCCACACCCAAGACTGTTGACCAGAAGCACTCAAATGACAACTTTCCAGCTTTTAATATTAGCCCAAAATATCTTTTCTGGCCAGCGAGTCAATTTACATCTTTCGATAACGAACAGTTCCACTTCTAAAAAAATATCCTCAGGCATTAGAAACTATTCTAAGTGAGTTTTGATAAGGTTACCTGGCGTGTCTTGTGCTTGCTCAGTGGTACAGGAGCAGAAACGGAAATGTGCTAAAGGAAAAAGGAAAATCGCGGGATGGTTCTTAGCTGCGTTAAGAGATCACATTATCCTTAGCTGTTCCTGTGATGTTCACTGAGCGATGTTTGATCTAATTTGACAATGATAAAAAGTTTTAAAAAGTGCACTTAAGATACAAATACTTAGTAAAAATGATTTAAACACATGTACACACGAACCGAAAATGCTCAAAATCATGACCCCAGAACAAAACCGCCTTATTTATACTGTCAACTTTCTGCAAACGGATACTATCGTAAGCGGAGCTTTCTATTCAAGGACACCAATACCCATGACCTTTTTTCCTTCCAGTCAAATTCTGTATTTACACCGTTATTGAATGGCATCAATTTTTATTACCTCTTCCGGTTATCAATTCAAGCTAGGCAAATCGGAGGAGTCGAGTCTTCCTCTTGCAAGAAGGTGCATGGTGCAATACTATGTTTGAATTACGATCATAACTTTCATGCGTTTGAACAGGAAAAGCTAATGATTCTACAAAGAACCTTAAACAAGAAGCCATTTTTGTAAAGATTCAAAGAAAGCTCTACCTGTTAAAGTGTAACTCAGAAAACAAGAATATCAAAAAAATTATAAAAGCGTTACGCGGGTGCACATGGTCCATCTGAACGACGGAGAGACTATTTAAGAAAATAATCTTTGACCAAGGCAGCGACGTCAGTCTGCTTATCAGGCACGAATGTGACGCTAGACCTCTATTTATTTATTGCCCAACAACCAATAATCTTGCAGCTCATCGTTTATCGTTCCGTTCTCAATTTTTATCAGTAGCATTCTTCTCTCCCCCTTGAGTCAACGCTCGGAATACTTTATTTCTGAGTTTACCCGCTATTTTTTGTATTTAAATTTTATAGTTAGTTCAAGTCAAGGACGGGGCTGGACCAGACTGCTGAAAGGGAAGCAAATTCCAGTGGATTTGGATAACTCAAGATCATGATTTGGACCTAAAACCAAGATTTACATGTTAACGACATCCGTCTTTGTTGACCTTTCTTTGATAAGAACGTGAGTAATGACCATGATAGTAGGAAAATGAGACTTATTTGTGACTGAGGTTTCAAAATAGAGATCTTTTTTTTTTTTCACGGATTTAATACCTTATCCATTCTTGCCGGCAAAGTAATTTCATGCTTTCACCACCAAGAGCCTCAGTTCTGTCTTCTTTTTGTAGTATTTTGGCGTTAATATCGTTAAAAACCAAGACAAATTCCTGAAAGCTACTCCAAACACAAAACCGGTCTCTCCATGACTTACAATATGGAGAGAAGGTTCTAGAATTTTCAGTCAAATCGCAAATTAGTAGTGCTCTAACCTTGGACAGTAAACACAAAGCTCTGCAGTTGACCTGTAAAAGGAAGTTTATCTGCGTAAGTATCAATGTATTATTTTTATATTGAATTACACACGTAAGGGGAAAGATGATAACTGAACGGAAAAACAGGACAGGGTACTCGAAGACTCCCGGGACTTGTTGAAACCGAAAATACTGAAATGAGGAATATTATCACAGTTGCATGTTTGCATTTCATTGGCTGGTTTTAACTAAAGGAAGTTGGTAAAGTGAAAGTTGATGGTGAGGTTAACAAATCGAAAGTGGTTTAGCGTAGTCTTAACTCTTATTGGATATTCGTCGGCGCAGTGGTCAAAATGTTGTGGACTCACGAGGCGTAGCATGCTGAGACCGCAAAAAATTAAATTTTGACAACGGTGATGAAGAATATCGTTGTCGATAAGAGTACAGACCACACCAAACTACTGTTGATTTGTTTTTTTACCACAATATCGACGTCAAATAAAATGATTCTTTCATTGTGTGACCATTGCGTGACACGTTCACGCGAGCGGCTTTGTCTGTACTCTTATCGACAATGGTAAATTGGCCAATTGCATTGCGACATTACTGCCGATTATTCCTTTTCTCGCAATGCAATTTCAATATCTCCAATGCTAAAACATCATGGTACATTCATCATCATGGTACATTCATCAATCATCTTTCTGACTCCTGAGAATGATGAAGCTTTCCGACAAATGAATGACAAAAAGTCTACATGTTGCCATTGCTGAATTTTCTACGAATTTTGATGACTATCGTCTAATTGTAACAGAAAATGCCTACAATAGATAAGTTAGCGCACGGAAGGAGTCTATCCGCAGAGCCTCAACCAGGAGAAATTGATCGAAACAGAAATTGGGGAAACACACACTCGTATCATTTGATAGAACAGCCATTAGTACTTACTATATACCACAGTATGATCAGATACTTCATATGATGCCGGTTTTGCAGCTCGTAACAAGAAGGAAGTTATAATTACCTTGTCCTCCACGCCGACACTTTTCAAACCTAAGGGACGAGGAGAGTCCTTGGGATCCGATGGATTCGGATTTGACACACTTTCCAAAGGCATTTTTTTTTAAACCACGAAATTCTTTTCAGCCGACAATTGTGAGAATTGTGCGATGAGCCTGTGCTGTCTGTCAATTTGCAAATCAGCGTACTCTGGTGGTTATGCTGCATGGTATGAACGTCGGCAGCAGGATACAGAGATCTTGGGAATTTCAGTTTGTGAACAAAATGAAAAAGGAAAAAAAACCACAACAATAATTACTTTTACACCACAACATAAAGAGTTGATTCTTTAAAATCACCAGTACCCGTAAGTGCTTTGAGATGTTTATTTGGTGCGTCGAGCGAAGGTGTCCGAAAACCGATTTGCTTCCTGAGGATTGAAAATTAATCGTAGTTCTAAGCTGTCAAATAAACAAACCAGAGAACAAGGAAAGTTCAGAAAAGTAAATAAACAATTCGTAGAACTGTAACATGTAGCGTTCAGCATCTTTATTTTTTACGCACTATTTTCAGTTCTTTAACTCACTAAACACAAGATGGTTTCTAGGCTGTTGTCTACTGTAGTTTCCTTTCACTTATAAAATGCTTTCCAAGACATTTCTTGCCTATTTCTTGCTCGTTAGAGCGAATGACAAAGTGCTAACGCTCGAAACGTCAGCTTTAAAACTCTTTACGATGGCCAATTTACGCTATCAACTCAGTTGATGATATTAAATTACTAAGTTTTCACAGTTATAAATACGGATCATCCAGTCAAGATAGTCCTAAAGCTTGAAACTAAGTTAGTCACGTGGCTTGCCTCTTTGAGCGTCTGAGTCAACGGAAACTTGTAATAATAAGCTATCCAAAAAGATTCTTTTTATGAAATGCTGATAATGTTTTGAGTCAGCGTGAGGTTCTGATATAGGGCAAAATAACTAGTTATTGACAGTTGCCGCTGAGAAAAGCATAAAATAGTGTCAAATCACTTAGACATATTCTGGAGTAAGGCGAAGGCTCAGTGCTACTCGACTTTACCCGTGCAGCAGTCGTGTGTTTGATAACACGGCTACGAGTTTGAATTGCGCGTTGATGGAAATTTCTTATGCTTCCGCGGAAAAATTGCACTTCGATCGATACACCGAGGGAACAGAGAGGGAATCATGATGTTCTGCCGTTAGGAAATGAGTTGTATGATTTGGTGACGAAATGCTAATGTCGAGGACGAACTTGCTTTACTCACGTTTAAGGGCAAACTCGCAAAGTTGGTGTGAGGCGAAGCAAAACATGGCAAAAGGAGAGTGAATCGGCGCAAGGACCTATTAAAACAGGAATATAAAAGAAAGGGAAGGGGTAGAAACAGAAAAAGGAAAACAATTTTTAAATGCTTTTGAATTGTATGTTGTCGCAGGGATGGCGAGTGATGTCCTCTATCCTCCCCTCCACAAAAACCTGTCCAAATTCCAGTTCGACCTAAAAACATTAAACGAAAAGCCACCTCGAAAATGTACTTCTGCAAAAATCCAATTTGAGTGTTATTTTGAGCTTTAATCCTGAAATAAAATGCACAGCTGCTAGAACAAAGATATCTGTTAACCGTAAGATTCCGAATCTGCATGGGAATGAAAAAGACTGAAATAGAAAGCGATTGTTCCTTTCTAAAAACAAAAGTGCATCGATGTAAGGAGCTTTTAAAAGTTCACAGTTCTGTGGTAAAAATGCTTTGTTTTCGCAATCGTTTACAGCTCGTCTTTTGTTGTTTGCGTTTTAACTTCCTTCTTCTGCATTTGTGATAACTCCGTCAGTTTAGGAACAATCTCATTCCAAAATTTCACTCTTCTTGCCCTGTATCTGCGTTTAGTCTTTGGTTTCAAGCCAATGATAAGATATTCCTGGTCTTGCTCTGTAAATTTAGGCCAAGTGACGGGTGAGGGTCCTGATTCGGGGGGCGTCGGGGATCTGTTTGGAAAGTCAAAGATGCAGCAATTATTTGCAAGTAGTCATATGGGTAAACCATGATTGAAATGGAATATTTACTTACACTGAATCATAAGAAGATAAACCTTTATTCACCAATTGACTTACTAGTAAATACTGGGAGTTTCAACTATTTTCAAGTTACGGGTTCATAAAACACGGCAAAAATTAAAAGGTTTTCTAAGAGGCCGTGGTGTTTCTGCAGGCACCATTTTCTCTTGGTACAGAAAATGATAACAATATTTTGAAAAATTGTAGGTCTTTCATGATGCTAATTTTTATACTACGAACGAAAACGTTAAGGACCTACGATCCTGCAAAGAATTTGGAATTTGAAAAACATGAAGAAGATTTGTGCCACCTTTATTATTATTTTTTATTATTTATTTTTACTCACCCATATTTGGCAAAGTCCGTCCACATTTTCATGACATACAAGCTCAGCCCTTTTTCAATGTCAGAAAATCTTGATGCCAGCTTATCAATGATCGGTTCCGACAAGCTTTGAAAAGGTGCACCGAACACAAACGGGACATCCATGCCATGCACAGCTCCAAACCACTCAGGCAAAGGCGAGAAGACTGCCTGGTAATCGAAAACGTATACAAATGGCGGCCTCCCTCCCTGTAAGCAGAAAAATATAAACTGATTTAATTATCTAAAGTCATTTTTTCCAAATATATTTTAGTCTTGACAGACGCTATCACAATTGTGACAGTCAAGTTTTTTTTCACGGCTCTAATTACAAAGTGAATTAATTGAAGGATTAGATTGTCAGTCAATGAGTCATTTTTAGCAATCAGTTAATTGGTAATTCACCAGGCAGTGACTCCGCTTTCAGTGAAGAAATCTCTAGATATTGTTTTTGTAATGTATCTGATCACAAATTATTTACCTTTGCTAAAGCATTGGCTTCAAGTAGGGCAGGCGCTACAAAATATGCATCACCAATGACGTCCATCAATGATTGTCGATGGGCAGCCTTGTCATCGGGGTCTGCATGGTGAGTATACTCGAATAAGATAAAGTCCTCTATTAGTTTACTCTTTTCACGAGCATAAAGCAATCCTTTCGTTACAAGATATTTGAAGATGTCCAGACTCGTTCCATTTTGGACCTGTTGTGGCAAGAACATGGCCATCATAGCACCTTCGTTGTCAGTGAAACCAGTAATTACGTCAACTTCTGAATGAAATTTGCCGGTGTTAAACAGATTTTCAGGCAGATCTGGCAGAAAGTGGCCATCAACTACAGGAGCTAAGATGTCAAGTGGGCCATGATAATTAGCATGAGAAACTCCTTCCTGTCCTTTGATGATTTCATTGGCTGATTTACCTCGTGCACACTCCACCAAACTTAACCCCAAAGTGAAGGGACAGTTTATAGCCTTTGCAAAAAGTTCCAACTGTTTTGGCTGAGTGACTTTTCCACAAAATAAAGGCGAAGAGGCTGCGCCACTTTGTATGATGGCTCTTTGAAAGAGGCCTTTGGATAATGGCGAGATTAAATGGAGGGAGACACTATTTCCCCCAACACTTTCACCAAATATGGTCACTTTGTTTGGATCGCCACCAAAACTCGCAATGTTGTTTTGAACCCACTTCAATGCCAGAACCTGGACGCAACAAATGAATTATTAGTCCACGATTAACAATTGAATCGCAGCCGATTTATTCTGGTGATATTCTGCCAAATAAAAAATACTAAGGTATCGGTATTCGGGTATTCAGGTATTCAGATCCTCTAATTTACCTGTTTGCGAAAAAGAGTCCTCAAATTCCCTCCCGTCTACACCACAATCAAAACTTAGTGTAGCGAGTTAGTTTCCTGCTGGGCGTTAACGATCATAAAATACATGAACCCAATACTAGGATAAGTGGCTGCCTGTACAATATCATTACGAAAAGTTTATGCTTTAAAATTTAAAAAGAAAAGTAAATACCTGATCCAGCATCCCATAATTTCCTGTGATATCAGTGCCAGGAACGTTGAAAAATCCGAGTATTCCTATTCGGTAATTAAATGACAGAAAAATTACATCATTGAAGGCGGCCAAGACTGCACCAGGGTACGAAGAAGAGGAACCTTGCGTGAATCCACCGCCATAAATAAAAACCATCACAACCATCTTTTCGTCGAGTTTAATCGTCGATGGAACGAAAATGTTCAGGAAAAGACAGTCCTCTTCATCACTCCCTGAAACAGTAGCACAAACATTACATTTAGGGGTTCTTACAATCAGGGGTTTATATCAGTATGTCTTACATGACATATCTGTGCCCCGATGTTCACATGAATCGGAAAATCTTACGATAAGGGGTCTGTGTAGATCGCAAATTCTTACCTCCAGTGCGTATCCTGTGCTCAGCTGTTGATATTGACCTTACAATGTACCTCCATGTTAAACCCGTGCCTAGATGTTTATACCGATCGAAAAATCTTACATCAAGGGTCTGCTCGCAGATGTTGATATCGATCGTAAATGCTTTCCTTACACCCAGGGACCTAAAATTCGTATCTCACATCCAAGGAATTTCAACTGAAACTCTGAATTGTTGCTGTGTGACAATGACGTTTTATATGAGGGTTTTTCTATTAAAATTGTGCGGTAGTTTGTTATAAGAGTCTGTTCCTAGCCACTGATAATGATCCAATATGTTTTTGTATACAATTAGAGATGTACCAGACAATATTGACACGGATATTCGACTGTGATGTATGCTTATGAGCGTCAGCTCATTCACGACAAAAAATATTAAGATGGTAAAACGATCACCGCAATGACATGGAAACTTGAGTCGGGTTAAGAGAGTGAGACAGAAAAAAAAAACATTAGACCATCGTTATTCGAGATGAGAGCTCGTTATCCCGAAATGATGAAAGCAGCTGAGCCGTGAAGCTAATGACGTCAAGAGACAGCCATTACAGATTAATCGCCACACTTCAAACAAAAATTGATTTCACCCGCAGCGTCACGCAACGATCTCGTTTACGATCTCAAAGACATGGAAATCAGGAGTTTCAGCAGACTTTCAACTAATTTCATTCTATAATCCAGCAGTAATGGCAAATAACTTTATCAGCTCCTTGGTTAAAGCAGTGTAAAGGAAAACTGCACTGGTTCTTTCGAACAAGATGCACTTTAATACCAAGCAAATAATGTACGACGCAAACATATTCGCTGGTATATCAAGGAGAAATTTCCGAAGAGCTGTAGTCCGTTGATTTGAGCCATAAAATTTCCTTCTTATTAACTAAGATGTTAATCATGCATTTAAAATAGAATACCTGGACGAAAAAGGCCGGCATTAGGATAGTTCAATGCCGGTTGTCCACAAGTTGCTCCAAACTCAGTGGCTTGTTTTATCCCCGTCCAAGGTTTGATGGGCTTTGAAGCTGCAAACCTCAACCCTCCAACTGGAGGCTCTGCATATGGGATACCAAGATACTCATACACTGATTTACCGTTTGGAAGGGCTTCAATTTTACCGATAACTGCTCCAGACTCGGTGTGAACGACGGGGGAATTCTGAATCTCCTCGGGTTCAGCTCGAGTTGATTTTGAAGCAAAAAGAATTGCAAATGTGACTACGACCTCGAGAGGAAATAAAGCTAACCCCCAATTCATATCGATAAGCGTGAGTTACCTCGTCATTGGTGTTGTAACCTTACAGTTGACGTGATGATGTCGGGTGTTTAGCGCATTTTGTCGCGTCCAGTGCAACTCGTTCTTGAGCCGCAGCACCACTGAATTCAGGGGTCTGGAAAGTCACATTCTTGTTTTTGTCACGCGATAAACGTTGTTATCTTTCCGTTTTAGTTTGGTCAATGATGATAAAGCGCCGGGTGACAACCGAGGTGGAATACGACGTGTGAGGAGTTCAGAAAAGGTCAGGATGCCTATTACAACCCAAACTCCTCTCTTACTGGCACTTCCACGCATAGTAGTCAGCCCCTATTATTTAAATTCGCTCCACATAGGCTCTGCTTGCCAATGTAAAGCGTTTGGGTTTCCTATCGATATTCCATCCAAAGCACTTCAAAAAACATTCTGAACACAAAATAACTCTTCTTAAAAAAAAAAGCAAGCTTAAACGATTGCGTGTTATGATTATGTCTTATACTGTAGGGATTCCGTTTTGTACTACTCTAATTTTTCAATTCAGGTTCCCGTCGCGTTAATTCGGAATGTAACGGAGAAGTTGTTGAGAATTTATTTTCTGCTTAAGATCAATAATAATTTCTTCTCTCATTTCCTTTCATTTTTTTTATTTTATCGACTTTCACTGACCCTACCTGGTTTAATTCTTAAATACGTTAACGCCATCGATAAGTGTAGAAATCGATAATAACCGATTCACAATTACTCATCGACACAAATACGATCGGAACCATCCTGGGAAAGTCCTTAGTCGATTACTCGCCGATCATTGATACCAATCAATCAAACACCATTGGTTTTAATATCGATTTATATCCATTTTGCTCGGTTATGCGTTCAAAGATTGATTTACAAGCCTCTCCAGGAGGAGGTGTCATCTGTACCTTGAAACCCCTGCCTCAAGCTGCACGTGACATCACGAAATCTGTTCAACGTGGCACGTTTACACATGTAAGAAGGAAATTTTCTATAAATGAAAACAACGAAACTCGTGTCCTTTTAACCTACATAGTTCTTCGTTTTGTTTAAGGAGAGGTACAGCGCTTCACCCTCATGATAAAGAGAAGTATCGATCCCTCTGGAACCGTGATGATCCCTCCTGACTCTTCGCCCAGCATGTGGGAAAGGTCTCGATTAGTTAATTTCGCCAGGGTTTCAGAAGCCTAATCCAAGTCGAGTCCGTTTGCTCATTTCTCTTTTTGGTGGGGCAAATCTCTGCAAGTCACCGTAATAATCCTTATTGATCAATAAACTGGAAATTAAACGTTGAAATCTTGGATCTCGTGATGGATCTTTTGAACGACGTTCCTTGTAGTAATCAACATTCAAGGTCAATGAATTTATATCGGGTAATAATTGCACCTCCTCGTCTCTCAAGCTTGATCTCTTACTCCATCTGCGTACCCCTTTCCTCGGCTTTTCCCTACTTCCAATAGGAGGCAATTTCGTTGTAGCATTTCTACCTTTTGTCTGGGAGTTCTTTCGCCTCTCAGTGTTTCCTTTCGCCAACAGCGACGAATTACCAGAATCATTCTTTCGTTTAGCTTTCCTCTGGATCTCGATAATTTTTTTGTCTCTTTCCTTTCGAGCTCGAGATTCAGTGCTGTACAGCTGTATGATGTCCTTTCCCGTTTGTTGTTCGTCTTTCCACTCCGTCTGTATTACTTTAAAAGAAGATTTGCTTCGCCACATGTTCAACTCAGTGTTTTGCGATAACCATGGACCACCGTTCTCAAGAGTTACGTGAAATGGATCGATTGGATTACAGGAGTCTCGGGATTATATTGAGTTGCAAGTCTTCTTACGTCAGTTAACCAATAAGAGGGCCTTCCTCAAATGTTTTCCTTCAATGTGTTACTAAAATTACTCTTCAGCATAGAGACCGCTCTTATGTTTACAAGCTGTATAGTCTGTTTGTGAGCGCGTAATGAGATGTCGAAAGTGGTTGATACGGGGCCTCAGGCGATGATGAACTTAGCAGACACAAAACAATGTTGACATTCCAAACTAGATTTTTTAGCCGGCGTGTAATTGTGCGATCAGGTGGTAACTATGTAAATAAACTTTTCAATTCTTCGAAGTCTTGTTTGTGTTATATCGCCTAGAAATCATCTGCCGGATGACGCTGATAGAAAATGAAAACACATACTAAATGATATTCAGTACGTGATAAATGTGAATTGCGTGCGAACTAAATATATTGAGCAAACAAGCTAGTGTCTCTTTATTAAGTGAACATGATATGCGACTGACACTAAGGAACACTTGTGTCAGTTATGCGTGACTATCTATTTCAATGAACAAACATGACACTTTTGTTATTCGTCAGATGATGTTTGTTTACTTTTCGCGGCTTTGTGGTAGCTATCAAGGTATCAATTTCTATTTTCGTATCACTACATGAGGTAAAATCATTTGGAGGATTTATGATCTTTATTGTTTTATGAATTTCAGATATTGGTTTTTCTGTGGATGATTTTTGTATAACAATAACAGTCTACTTTGAGGATATTAGGGAATGCCACTGTGGAATCGCATTTTTCTGGGGGTTCGAAATGATGACCCATATTGAAAATAGTATTTCTGAGGTCCAAGAGCATTCCATTGGAAATTAGAACAAGTGAATAATCAACGTCACAAGAGAGAATCTTACTTACACAAGGATAAACTTTAAAATCATCACAACTGATATCGGGCCATGGTATGGGAAGGCTTCTTTCTTACCCTCGTTTAAACTAGACGGATCGGGCTTTTGAGCAACTCGGAAATGTTTTGTTCAGACAGAATAGTTCAAATAGAAGATAGATTATTTCCAACGTAATATTTTACTAGTATTGGTATTGACAAAGTTTTCATTTTAGAATATAACGGGGCACAAACTTAAGGATTAATTAGAAGATTGAATATGACAGTGGTGTATAAACGGGGCAAGCAAAAATTTTACACTTTTTATTTACGAATTCTCCCGTATCCTAGCTTGTGGGCTTTCTGTATACTTGCTGCTGGACTGGAAACTGGATGTGTTGAGAGATTGAGATCAACTTTGATTTTTTTTGTGGTTCTGTATGTAAGCTTATGGTATCTGGGGAAATTAAACTGATTTCAAGTATCTGTTAAATTCTCTTTATCTGTATGTGTAACTGCGGCATTCCCACTTAGTGATTTCTTTCCTAGGACGTTCCTAATTACATTTTCGTGTTTTTTCACTCACATTTTTCTTATTGTTTTCGCATACTTTTCACCCACGGCGATTTGTATTCTGTTAGATTTTTCGCATATTTCTTCTTTGTTTGATTTCATTCGTAAAAGTTTCTCAAAAAAATTGAACATTGGAGTTTCAGAGTGCATTAGGTTAACATCAATTCCTTCACTGCGAACATCTTTTAGTTTTTCTGTCCTTCGTGCTCGCAAGCACACAACGTTTGTAAGCGTCTTTCCTTGTCCGATTGTATTTCCTCTGTTGTTTGGCGTTTTCCTATTCCTTCTACTTCGTAATAACTGGTAATTGTTTATTCCTTTTAGCAACCACGATCAACCGTAATGTAAATAAATTTTATAGCGTTCGCGTGCTGAAACCTGACTTTGTTGGCCGTCACAATATGTTAAACAAATTTCAGCATAGAACCTCATAGATAAAAATCTCTATGTCGCACTTTGTATGAAGAAGTCTATATATCATGCATGCAGTTTCGTCCACCGAGAATTGCTTTTTTATCCTGATAATATCTATATTTTTTATTTCACTGGCCATTTCAGAGTTATGTTCATTGTCAGAATTTCTTTTTTCATTTCAAAGCTTAAGAGGGTCAGACCTAAGGGCGCCAACTAAACTCCCATCGCAACTGAAGTCTCCTACAGTACTCATTTAATTTCAGTTCATTTAAGTGGCACTAGGATATCAAGAGGCAAAGACTCTCTATCATGAAACAGGTTTCGTTGAATGTTTTTCTACTTTTTTACGGTCAGCGTATCTATGAGAAAAAGTGTTAACTCCAAAAGGGAAATCTACGACTTAACCAACCGTTTGAGATGTATAAATGGTGCTAAAAGTGGTGTATCTACGGAAGATTAATTATGTCGAGGAAACAATAGACATCATTAGACTTCTTGGCACCTCGCAAAACTCTCGTTAGAGTTTATTTCTGACGAGATTTGTCTAATCTGAAATAACAAACTTTTTACTTTCCGAATTGTCCTCACGTCACACATGCAGGCTTAGAGAGATTGGACGGTATCTTTCTAAAGTTTGCGCTTTATTTGAAGAAATAAGTAACGCCATTTTCTGATGCTGTGCGATCTATGGTTGACCGATGAGGTCCTCGTGCCTAAATCGGATGCTATACTGAGCAATTTTTCGAGCAACAACAAGTTGGTTGGGTCGGAAAAGCTGAGATGACTAAACTTCTGATCGTAGCAGAGGTAGAATAAAATCAAAATTTAGTTTTTTGCAACCATTTCCTTGAGGTGCTAAAAGAAATTACAGGTTAAAGAGATTAGAAGCATGTTTCCATTGAAAGGCAATTACCACAACAGAATATCGGAACAAAAGGATTTTGTCTTTCAATGTGGTCTAAGGGGTGATCAAAATGTTTTGTTCTCCTAACTCGTTAAAGTAATTTATTTTTCATCAACGTTTACTTAAAAACATGCTGTTAAACACTGAAAACACCCGAATGTCCAATATTAGGAATTTTTGTTTAGACCTTTGCAGATGCGCGAGAACTAATCGAACCGCTTCTGAACTGACTACTGTAGGTTAAGTATTCCTTCCACTCGGTAAATATTCTATTCCACTGCTTTTACCTTGTAATTATCCTAATTGGATCTTGGTGATAATATTATCATATGGGAATTATCATTGTGTTCAGGGTTAAATGAGATGATGGAAAACTTCTGAAATTTCAGCATATGTAACCAGCTTACCATGGCCATGTGCACCTGCTTATCAAAACTTTTTTCGTGCATAGCCTTACGGAAAACATGTGATACATTCTGAACGAGCAATTTTTTTGTGTGCATTTTTTCGATTCCGCAAAGAAATCACTTTCACTTCACATTGTGAAATGCTGCTTCCTCGTAAAAGAAGGCGACCTTTCAGAGCTTTTTGTCAAAGGAACCAGACGGGATATAAGTTTTTGGAATCTCGGATCCTTTCCAATTTTTCCGTCTCTTTCTTTATTTTTTCTGCGATAAATTTTGGGTAATATTCCATGACGTTCCTTAATTGGATCTACAGTATCTGTGCTGGTTTCAACTTTGATATCGCAGCTAAATCTCTTGAGCGGTGGCAGTATGGTTCGTTGGCCTGTAGGTTTGCAGATGATGCCGGGCGAGCTGTATGCTGCCTTTTCCGAATCCCTCAACTTTGCACTGCATTGTACTTTCCTTAGTCTGTCCTCTCTGGCCATATTGTCTTTTCTAAACTTTAAATACGATCGAAGAGTATCATGTTGTGGCGAGTCGAATAGCTGTGGCCTGCGTGCTAGCAATGCCTTCGTAAAGTCCTCTGTAGTATTCTGTAGTGTATCTGACCCTTCTTTGCGGTCATCGGTGGTCTGTTTTTGATCAAGATCACCAAACCCTGCCGCAGTTTGTGAGGCTTGCTTATCTCCGGTGTTGTTTTCTTCTTTACCTCTGTTTACGTTTAACAACTGCTGACTACTCTGTCTCTTTTTCAGATGCCTAGGAAGAAAGATATCGTCGTGGTCATCGGAGTCTTTATGTTGAGTGAAGTCAACAGCGTGAGAATCAAACACTTCAACTTTCTTTTGCTGTTGTCATTCGAAAGCAAATTTAGCTGCAAGTTGGTGCGACTCTGGCTCGCTTATTTTCCGGAATAGATTTCTTCCTGCATTGGAAAGTTTGTGCTTTCTTTCCAATATTTCCTGATTTTTCTGCTTGTGTTTTTCATCAATGGTTGGCTGAGGAACATGTTTTTCAGTGGTTGTACTGCATTTGGGGCATTTCACATGTTTATCGCTGTCGCAATTTGAGTCTGCCACTCCAACAGAACCTTCCATGGCGCAAACTAAGTCTTTTTAAAAAAGCAATTGGTTCCTAAGCAATAGTAAATGTTAAGTGGTCTTTTCAATGAAATATTATCTAGGTCGGCTCACATAAGCTCAGAAATCTTCATAATAATTGGTTGGGCATTCTGGAAAACGCCGCCTTTTTGGAAATCGGTATTGCAATTTACGTTTCATTTAACATAACAAAAGGTACGGCTTCCTTTGTTTGTGTGTACAAATTAGTGCTTTTGCCGCCAGGCAACTCAGACTACCACATGAAAACAAAGCTAAAATTTTTTTGGCTTGTTTACGATTACTTCATTTCCTTTCTTATTTGCTTATGACCCGTTGAAAGTAAATATTCCGTGCACATCGTCGGTCGCTGGACGCCTCTCGAACACGATCCGCGAGAAGGGTCCATTGTTTAAATCAAAACTCAAGTCTCGGTAATTCTTTTTTGCGAATGCACACTGCTCTTGAGGTAAATGATAAAAGTCAAATAATATTCAGCCAAGTGCTCACAGTTAACGCTTATTAAATCTTGTTCATCGACAGAGTTCTTTGCCGGGTGGATCAATTTTTCACACTCTCGTTTTTTCGATGTAATTTAATGGCCTTTTCATGCGCAAACGGATTATTGATTTTTCAACTGATTTCCTGTGATACATTCCTCCAACAAAAAAATTTTTATTAGCCAATAAAAACTTAAGCTTGCCATGAAATTATTTCTTTTAACTTTGATTGATATGTGAAGTTCTGTTATCAAATTACCCCCTGGCTCTGTGGCATTAATATCAAATAGGATATTTGGATTTTTTTTTTCACGATTCACGTTTCCATTCCTGTGTCGCGTCGTTCAACGCACGATTATCAAACCGGAGGTTAGCCCTAGCAACAATTTTTAATTAGTTTTGTAGCTTTGTAGACATTTTTAATTGTTTTATTTTTTTCCTCCAGTTTCCTTGACGCTTAGATAAAACCTCTCAAAACGTAACCCCAATAAACGCTTTATTTCAAGAGAAATCATGAACAACTTAAACTTTTAATCCAGGATTATTGCTAACCGCCTTTCAAACAACCGAGCCCTCCAAACAAAAATCGAAAAGCCCTGACCTAGACCTCAATCAATTAGATAATCTTTTTGTCTGTAAACTGACCTCAATCCGAGCCAACAAGAAATGTTGGTTTCCATTGGATAATGTCGCTGCATTAGTTAAAATATTCTTCACTGCTTGGTGCTCCAGCTTCGTTTAGTTCGCTGTCATTAGTTGAGTTCAGTGCTGCAATGGTCACACGCAAATAACTAAGAGCAAACTCTTGAATTTCATAGCCTAGTTGAAGCTTGTCTTTCGTATTTTTTGTCACTGAACTTGGTCAAAATCTTTTGCCTCGGCTAAAATATTTCACAGTGTTTCACTCATGCATACAACACTCTTTTTCCTCAGTAAATGGTTGTGGTGATCTTTTTAATTGTTATTCTGGTACGAAATCATGGGTTCTACATTTGCATCCAATAATCAACTCAGCTTTTCAAGGATTCGATGGCTCTTGATTGGCGGACCTAGCCCGAGTGATTACAAGCTGCGCCTGCGTAAGCGAGTACTCTCGCGAGGAAAAATGACAGGCGACCGCTCTCCTTCTGCGTCGTCGTGACGAGGAGCGGCATTGCAAGTTGTTCCTTAGTTCTCTGTTACGGGCCAGTCTCTCGAAAAGGTTGTTATAGAAATGTTAAGCATAAATATGGAAACTAAGATACTATAGGGATACATTTTCGCAGAGTCAAGAATTTCGATTATAGACATGATTTTTCAAAATTATATTTCATCGATGTAGCCTGCTTAGGCTTTGGGGTAAACATAAGCTAATTCAACAAAAGTTCCTGCCCCATAAAGAATTAACAGTTGGATAATGTTTAGTCACACTCGGACCCCTTACATGTATTCCTCGAGCTCAGTAGACGTAAAAAAATTAGTTAAATTTCGCGAGTTCTTTTCCCTTATGTCATGGACGCCATAGCCAAGACACAAAGATTTCGCACCTCGGGCGATAAATCACGTATGTACCTAACATTTGGAGTTGGAGGAGGAGCAATACCAACATCATACACCTTTTTATTTTTCTGGCGAGTAGTTGTCTTTTTCTGTGGAGTAATTTTGATCACATCTGGAAGAATGAATGATGGCGAACGAGTATATATCGGTTCGTTAAATTCCACAAAAGACTGAGCTTTCTTGAATCGTTGAAAAGGAGTAAAACTTGTTGCATTTTTATACGTCTGTTGATATTCCCTGTTATTGCTTTTCCACGGACTGCTGGTCGTTAATTGCTCACGGATGTCTTCTTTATGGTCTTCATCGCCTGTAATGGCTGGAAAAGTTCTTCTTTTGAGCTTTATTCTGTTAAAAGAAATTGTCTTCTCGTGACGACCATCCAGCGCCTTGTTGCAGGAGTAGCAAAGAGATGGTAATTTGTCCTGTGAAGACAATTTAGCTCTAAGTAGATCATGGGAGACGCAATTCCTGAAATAAGGCGACAGCTTACTCAGCAGATGATCATTGTGTTGCTTTTTGTAGGGTGATACTAACGCAGCTTTTCTGTGTTCCTTTTGATCGAAGGCTGTCTGCAATTCAGTACCTTTAAAATTACACGGGATTAAAATTCTTAGGAGATTTTTTGACTTTGTCTCCAAGATATTGTGTGGATTTTGTTCGAACCTTGAATTTACTTGAGCGATGGACGACCTTTTCGCTTTCAACATCTGGGCGCGAAGAGACGTAAGTCTGTCGTTAAGCAAGGTACTAGGTTCTTCAGATAACTTTCATTAGCAATTTACCCTTATGACACGATTTCACGTATGCAGAATAGGAAATTTCAATAATTTTTTAAAACCTCTGTTTACATTAAGCCTTTAGCCAATCGCATACTTCACAGAAACCTACTGGGACTAATTTAAAATAGACTTGAACCGCTCTAGTTAATTATTTTGTTTATCAATGATTTTAGTGACAAAGCGCTAACAAAAGAATCTGTGGGCAGCTGTCCCTTTACAATCAATGTATTAAATTCCGGCCCTTGATGATATCTTTGGGTTCAAGTTTAGTAGCGTTCATACGCGTGATTTTTATGTTCCATTTGTGGATCAGGCAGTTGTCCTATCAAATGTTCTCGCTTTTGCACAGACCTTTCCATATCTGCGCATTTAAAAAGATACATGCTGATGTATGCGTGGTCTTCTGAGCGGACAGCAATGTCACCCACACGACTATGTAAAGGAAAATGGCTCCTTTATTCTACTAACCTGACAAGTGAACGAGCAAAATCTTAAGATTGATTTTCAATTGAAGTGTTATGACAAATCTATACATGTAACTATGAGAATTGATGGTCAAAGAAAATGACCATTTTCTGCAGCCATGAAGGGGGTAAGTTTTCAAAGAAACTGTGGAGCTGCGTCAGTAGTGGGTATCACAGAATAATTTGTTCATATCAACTGAGTTGATAAAGTAAATTGCCACCAAAAGATTTTTCAAAGCCGACGTTTCGAGCTTTAGCCCCTCGTTAGAGCGAATGTCAAAGCTTTACGGTGGCCAATTTACTTTATCAGCAGGTAGTATGCAGTTGATAAGGTTTAACAGACCGTAACTGACTAAACTTCTTGATATTTTTCCCAGATGAGGACGAGGCCACCTACAACGACCTGACCAGTTTTCTATATAGATTCTCTCACATTATCACATTGACTACCTGTATAATACAAACGCGTAATATCGCGTATTGTTATATTTTCAAGGATGGCTATAGTGCAAAAGTGAACGTGCAAGACTGATGTGATCCATGACCATTAAAATAGGAATCGGTATAGGCGTGTTCACCTGTCTGTGAAAGTGAAACAGCCCGATAAAGAGCTAAGCCGTTAACCGAGTATAATTATCTTGTTGCTAATAACTGCTCAAGGTCAAATTCTGAAAGCGTATCTTTTGATTATGATGGAGTTCATATAAATATCTCATTAGAGGTTTTGGTGTGCAGTATCGCTGAATATTTGTGTGAGTTGTGCCGTAAAATACAAACAACGAGTAAAAAACACCAAGCGATACCCCACAACAAAACGTCTACTAAATTATTTATTATCCAATTGCTTTATTGTACGAGCATTTTTTTATAGGGAGGGAAAAACGAAGCAGACGGAGTAGTGTAGCACGTGCAGCTGACTGGTGACACAGGTTTTTATACAGAACAAAATAACCAACTGTCTATATATCGCGTGATACTTGAATTGATAGGAAGGAAGGAATGCCTTAAATTATCGCTGCGAACATTGAAGATTTTACGAGATAAATCCAAGAAGATGTGATCAGGATCAAAACTTGCATTGTGTAGTGTTAATTTATTAAGGTATT